TGCAATGATATCGACAGCCTCATTACGTAGCTTACGTCCCAACGGGCCAAATTGCGGGAAATCATTCACCAGCGTAGCCGCTGCCATACTCTGCATGGTCTTACACATGGCCAACGAGGAGCCCCAAAGGCGGGACACAGTCGACCGAAAAGGGTTCATTTGACTGTCATAGCTTGAGAACAAAGCTGCTACCTCTTTAAAATAGTACTCAATGAGAGTCCAGGAAGGGTTATTCAACAGCTGTGGGATTGACGTAAGGTCGCGCTGGGGTGGCTGTGAGTTTGACGGAGGGTATTTCCGTACGATTGCCGATGGAGAGAAGCCGAGAAAATTGGGCAATTCATGCTGGGATTCAGGCGCTCTCGAAGAAAACAAGTTCAATGGATTTCCAGGGTCATTGGGGGTATCAAGATCAAAAATCGAGCTCGCTCGCTCGTGCCCAACCGCAGAGGCCGATGCTGAAGACGGTGACGGACCCAGATCTGCTAACTCTGGGAGGGAGCCGGGTTCTGGGAGACCCCACAAGCTGTCATTCAATGTATTGCTTCCATCTAATCCCAATCCCTTTGGTCCCGGATCCTCATGGGTGGTTGTCTGGTTCGCATCCCCTTTGATTAATGGAGACTCAGCTAATGTATCGGGGAACTGCGATGGTCGGGGGGAGGCGGTCGAGGGCCCTGGAGCTGGAGAATGGCCGGACCCCAGTGGTGACCTATTCAGTTGAGCATTGCTATCGTAATCCTCAGTACCGGATGGATACTTGGTCACCCAGCGCAGAGACTGAGCGTAACCGGGACATTTCACGCCCAAGCGGGTGCATCGACTGCAGTAAGGCTTCTCTTCCCCACATTTGACCTATTGGGAAGAAAACTGAGTTACCATCGTTAACCTCCACTGTTCCATGGATGTATCATACCCGTTTGCTTTTACACCTCGCACAGCCGTTGCGGGATTTCTTGACACGTCGCATTATCACCGGATTCTTTCACAACAGGGTTCCGGATAGTGCCACTGAGAAGAGCGACATCATGATGTCGAGTTAGCGATGATTGTTTCCCGGGGGGAGAAATAATCCTCTTGTGCGGGGAAATTTGACTTCTTATCAGTTTCCATGCGGTGGAACCAATAGGAACCTATCCGGGTACTTTGCCTCGTTTGGGGAATTTTGGAGACTCGACTGGGAAGTCATGTGTGTTCTTGTGGATACCTCAGGCAAAGAGGCTTTGAAAAGAACTCATTGCTGAACTTGAGGTGAGTAGTGGTATGGACAATACTCGTTGACTTGTGGAATGGGTTGGAAAAGCAGGCATCATCATCACCATCAGGGCAGGCCATTGAGTAGAATTGAACTATTGTCATCTCCCTATTGTTCTTGTGGATGCCTGAGGCTGGCACAGCCCCACCATAGCTCAATCCATTCATTCATTGATTTCCCATTCTAAAAGTCCATTCTCCAGGCTCACTACAATCCTCAAGTCAGCTAAGAATATTGCCATAAATATTATTAGAATCCTGCTATCTGCACAATCTGTCACTTAAGAGAGGTGAAACGTTGATCTATGCTTGTGTGGTCGGGTTGTCTCGGTATATCTTTCTTGAATCTTTCTCCAGTAACATTCATTGGATAGTATCACGCTTCCTGAGTTCTTCACCCTACAGAGAAAGCACCCCTTTCACAGAAATGTCTGGCAAATATGCCTCAGACCCAACATGGGCCTCTATTGAGCCCATCCCACTCAATGATGGCTCGGAAACAGGGACCCTTCCACTGGCCACTATTGCCTATTCAGATGAATATCTCGAGGCTACCTCGTACTTAAGAGCAGTGATGGCTGCCAATGAGATGTCCGACAGAGCACTGAAACTCACTGACGATGTAATCGCTATGAACCCGGCTCATTACACTGTTTGGTAAGTCCGGACGTTTCCCTGCCGTACTTACCTATATACGTCGATAACTGACGACGAACGTTTAGGATTTATCGTGTTAAGAACCTTGTTGCTCTCAAGAAGGACCTCACTGAGGAGTTTGAATGGCTGAATAAAATGTCTTTGAAGTACCTTAAGAACTACCAAATATGGTATGCATTAACCCAGCAGAAATCATCGGGAAGCACAAAGATGGTCTAACCATTTACCCATAGGCACCACCGACAGGTCCTCATGTCATCCAGGGAAAACTTCCCGACCCTTCCGCCCAAGGAGCTGGATTTCCTCATGGAGATGTTCAAGCAAGATGCCAAAAACTACCATGTCTGGACCTACCGCCACTGGCTAGTGCGGCATTTCAGACTGTGGGACGAGCCCCGAGAGATCCAGGACGTTGATTTACTCCTGTCGCAAGACGTAAGGAATAACTCTGCATGGAACCATCGTTTCATGCTCCGTTTTGGTCCACGCAGTGATGAGCCAGACGGCGGTATGCCGAATAGCACCGCACCCCCGCCCGAGAAAGGCAGGCTAGCCGTGGTTGACGAGGACCTTGTTGATGCTGAACTGGAGTACGCCAAGGCCAAGGTTATTAAAGCCCCTGAAAATCGCAGCCCGTGGGGATATGCTCGCGGCGTGCTTCGGGCATCCGGCCGGCCGCTGTCGGAATGGAAGGACTTTGCGAAGAAGTTTGTCCAGGAAAAGGTCGAGGACGGCAAGGTGGTGGATGTTGAGGTCAAGAGCAGTCATGCTATAGAATGGTTGGCTGATACATACGGAGAAGAAGGCGAACAAACCACCGCCGAGGCAGTGCGGATGTTTACCTTACTGAAGGAAAAGTACGATCCTATCCGGAAGAATTATTGGGATTATCGGATTCGTATGATTGCGCCTGCAACGTGGAGCCAAGAGATTCCCACTTCGGCATGAGGTGCCAGTGTAAATAACATCAACTTTTAGTATTATTTCATTCCCTTTCTTACCTTTACTTCTCCAATATTAAAAAGTCCGTATATTGTGATAAGGTGCATGCTCAAGAAGTGTATGTTATTTTTAAACGCTAACCCATTAAAAATCATCATAATTCTAAACGCCAATCTAGACACCATCATGACAGAGAACGTTAACATGATCGAAAAAAAAAAAAATAAATAAATAAATAAAGTAAAATAAAACGCAATGGCCGGCCATAAGCATAAATTAAGAAGCGATTAGTTTCCCCAACCCTCATTAAGCAGCTTTTTATACTCCGCCGCCATATCGATTGTAATATTACTTCCACCACACACAATGATCACCACTCGACTATCGGAGTTCAGGTCAGGCACAAGCTGCTTGAGCTTGGATTGGATTTCACTGCCTGCTTCTGACTCCGTCTCGGTCGCTGAGGACCCATCATCCCCGTAGCCCTCATCGCGGTGGGAAGGGTAGTCCGCATCCTCTCTCTTCCGCTTCTTGGTTCCAGATGTGAGGGCGTCGGAGGATGTCGATGACCGAGCTCTCGCCGCGTCACCAACTGCAGCCTCAACGCATACACCACATGCAAGTTCAACAAGCGTCCGGTGATCATCGGCAAGACGCAGCACACCTCTTGCTGCATCAGCATCCGAAAGCACAGCACTGTGTACAGCAATACCTTGCGGCGGGGAGATAGCATATTGGAAAGTACGTTCGGAGACACGAATAGCGCCCAGGGAAGTAGCCTGGGATGTGATCTTGGGGAGGGAGACGAGGGATTTCTTCGCGACAGCGGCAGCAAGGGAATCGGTACCTAGGGTTTCAATGGCGAGGAGGTTGATAGGGTTCGGCTGGGAGTGGGAGATAGGATTGGAGGCATAACTGAGGCTCATCTTCTGGAGCTGACGGTGTCGCTCGATGCCCATGACCAAGCCGTTCAGGAGGCCACCGCCGCCCACGCTGCAGATGATGGCGTCCACGGGTAATGGGCGGCCACGGTGGGTGGCTTCTTCTTCTTCACCGGCTGGGGGAGGGAGTTGGGTGGCTAGTTCGTCAATGAGGGTGCTGTTTCCTTCCCAGATGGGCTCGTTATCAAACGGGTGTAGAGCAATCTTCGCCACGTCTTCACTCTCGTTATCGTCCTTGTTCTTCATGATCACTTCTCGCATGTACTCGCCGGCTGCTAGGAACGTGTCTCCATGCTGGATTACGTCCGCAGCACCTGCCATCCGTAGCTTTTGCACCATCAGGGGCTTTGTCGATAGTGGTACGACCACTGTGCAGGGGTATCCCAGGCTGCGGGCTGCGCAGACAGCGGCTAGGCCTGCATTTCCGCCTGAGGAGGCATAGAAGTGGACGGGTCGGTTGGCGTTTTCTGGCTTGATGAGGTGTGACAGGATCTGGTTGCCCATGGCCCGGGACTTGAATGAACCGCTGGGCTGGACGTTCTCCAGTTTCAAGAATACCCTACATCCTGCGGCACGAGAAAGGGAGGCGGATTCCACCAAGGGGGTTTGCACCCATGGTGTCTTGAAGGAGGGCTGGGCTTCCTCCAAGGCGATGCTACCCATGATAGAGGATTGATACTCGGAGTTTAGGCTAGTGTAGGTTGAGAATACGTGATCAGGATGTCCTGGAAGATATGAGAGATAAGTTGATTGTATATAGTTGACACAGAGTAAGGATTTAAAGATGTATACAAGGAGTATAACCTGAATGTACCACGGAACAATGTGGGAGCAGTAGGGGAATCAAACAAGGAATGAGAGATAAGCAAGCACAACAAAATACCAACCCTTCCATTATATTATTATACACCGTATCGAACACCATAGTATCTCTGATATACAAGCGGATGTCTTTCCGATACCACCTTAGGGGGTTTGCCGCGGGAAAGGCCCGAGTTTTCCGCCCCGATATCTATCGCTCCCAACGTCGTGGATCTGGGCCTTTTCCGCTGATAACCTTGTGGAATCGAGCAAAACCATCGATTGGCCATGACATAACATAAACCCTACCCATGGGGTCGAGCGTGAGGAAACAGAAACCTTGCACGCCAGCTTTATCGAGCACAATCGGGAAAAGCTTCGCGACGTTTCCCTGACCCTTGCGTCAGTGGAGAAATGTGCCAATTAGATCGCAAAATGGTGTTGTAATCTACTTTTTTGATTGGCTTCCGTGGGTTTTCTTGTTATCAAACCGTATGTCCTTGTGACACTTATTGCTCCACGATAAGAGGGGGAAACAAGACGGTCTTCTTAATGCCTTCTCCATATTCTGCATCGGACCCAAATACCGCAGCCGAAAATGCCCGTTTGGAGGGATCGACGCGGAGAACATCTAGAAGCTCCTTAGACTTGGTGGGCATAAAGGGCTGTAGGAGAATGCCGGCGATCCGGAGGGATTCGGCGACATTGAACAACACTCGTTGAGCTTTGATAGCATCCTTCCACGGCTCCGATAGATGTATGTACTTGTTACCCTGAGAAGGAGCGTCAACACGAATATGTCGTAACTAAAAATAGTGACTTGTCTTACCTGCTCGATTAACACCATGATGTTTTGCAAAGCGGCACGAGGGTTAAGGCTCTCCATATGTTCGTCCACTTTAACAGGGGTTTCCCTCAGCAGTTGTTCGAACTGCAAATCTTGCTCATTTGCGGGCGGAAGCTCGCCCGATGTCCCGCTGACAATGTAAGAATGGAGTTTTCCTTTCGAAGAGCCGATTGTTCGGAGCACTAGGTTTCCGATACCCGATTGGAGTAGCTTCTTGTAGTCACGGATGATATAGGAGTTGTCATAGTCAGCGTCCCCCGCCAAGCCTCCTTGGTAGGCAAGGAAAAAGCGCATTGTATCAACACCGAAACGGTCCAAAGAAAAGAAAGGGTTCACCACGTTGCCTGTGGATTTTGACATCTTCTCATGGTTGATCGTCCAGTGCCCATGAACAAGGACATTACGAGGAAGGGGGAGGTCAAGTGCCATGAGGAACGCTGGCCAGTATACACAGTGGAAGCTGTACGCTCATCAGTGTCGTGCTCGCAGTGCTCTACGGAGAACAATGCCTACCGAACGATATCCTTGCCGACAACATGTACATCTGCGGGCCACCCAAGGCCCCCTTCTTGACCGGGTGGGAAAGGGTATCCCGCCTTGGTCAAATAATTGACAAGTGCGTCCAACCATACATAGATGGTCTGTGTCTCGTCGCCAGGGACAGGAATACCCCAAGTTAACCGTTCTACGGGTCTAGAAATCGACAAATCTTGGAGCCCCGAAGTCACCGATTTGACGATTTCTGTCGTGTAATTGGATGGTGTAATGAAGCCTGTCTTGTATAGGTCCAGCAGGCGCTCCTGGAAAGCAGACAGGCGGAAGTGATAGTTTGTCTCAGAGGACCATTCTACTTCTTTCCCTGTCTCGGCGGAAACCTGTATTGTTAGATCAGCTCGTTATTCATGGCAAATGTAGCAGTCCTGTAGGCTAAATACCATTCTCTTTCTTCCAGTGGTAGGATCCAGCGAGTTATGAACCTGTGACGGAGGATAGAATGTTTCATCGCTAACAGAATACCAACCTTCGTGCTTAGAGGTGTAAATATAGCCTCTGTGATTCAGCATTTCCTATGATTGTTTAGTTCTACTATGGAGCGCTTCGAAGGCCCGTCTATCACTTACCCAGAAATACTGTACGGTCTTCTTGTGCGCCGCCTCGGTCGTCCGGATGAAGTAATCGTAGTCCATATTTGCTGCTTTGGCTAGATCCTATCCAAAATGTCAATACCTAACATAATGGAAGCCCTAAGCTGCGAAAATCGGACCGACCTCGAAGGTTTTGTAGTTCATATCGCAGAAGGCCTGAGTATCCATTTCCGCGGCTAGGGCAGCTTGCTGGATCTGTACCGTACAGTCAACACCATGAAAGACTTTCGATTAAGAATATCCCTTCTACCTTCATGCCATGTTCATCGGTACCGGTCAATAGTTGAGCGTCTGTATCTCCGCAAAGTGTTCGCCATCGCTTCAGGATGTCGGCAATTATCATTGTGTACAGGTGACCGACATGAGGGGCTAAGGGAATATGTATTTAGTCAAAAAATAGCGCTTTATAATTCATGTTAGATAGACTCACCGGCATTCACATAGAAAATAGGTGTCGTCACATAGTAGGGTTTCTTGTGCTTTCCAGAAGGCGCTGTCGCGAATCTACGCGGAGCAACAATTGGAGTCGGGCGAAGGGTTCTACAGGTAGTACACTGCCAAGTTGGACGTTTATATGTCAGGAATTGGTTGGCCCATGAAAGGGCATGGAAGCGTGCTCTGGGAAGAGCCATTGCTAACTGGATGCGGAGTGAGGAGGATGACTCCAAATTCTAGACTACTTTTTGATGGGTGATTTATCGGAGTTGGAGAGGCTAATCTCCGGGTGGCCTAAGCTCCCGTACCTTTTTTTCTGCCGCTGGGGCCTCTTCCTCTTTCTTCTTCTCCACCACCACCACCACCACGACGTATCTTTACTTCTGACTCTATTCATATTCTTCTCGATATAGCCATCTACTCCCTATATTATTGTGTCTATATATTCTTCGACAGACCGTCTATCCTCTTATCCACTTGGATTGCGCAGGTGTCAACAGTTACTACACCTGGTACTTGATTCTTTCGCGATGGCCCCCGCAAGTGAAGATGCGCTCACTAAAGTGTCTACGGATGGTATATCTCCCCTGTATAATACTGCTTTCTTTCTGGTCACACCGTTAATCTGTATACTACCGACAGCGGCCACGGAATTTGTCCAGTCATTCTATCCCGCCCTTCAGTCCAACCGTGGTACGATATCAACTTTTTACAACCAAACGATCTCCATGATCCTATTCAATGGTAATGTTGTCGCCGATGGCAAAGCAGTTCAAGAAATATTTGTCAATCAGATGCCGCCGGCGCATTACGAGGTGCAGTCGTTCGATTGCCAAATCATCAACCAAGCATATCCCACGCCGACAGCAACTGGGCTTAAAGCTCCGAACGAGACCACTCTCCGGGACAAATCTATTTTGGTGCTGGTCAGCGGTTACGTGCGATTTGGAGAGTCTCGCGATCTTCCGCAGCGCGGGTTCAGCGAAACTTTCGTGCTAGTGCCAAACCCTTCCGCCGATGGCCCCAAGGGCAAACGCAAGCGAGAATGGCTTATTGAATCTCAAACGTTCCGGCTCGTTGTTTGAGAAAACAATTCCTATTCAAAAAGAGGAGTACATCTTTAGGGGCTGTGCATCAATCACCAGACCTCTCAAGGATACAATGGGGGGTATTATTATTGGGGTATGAGTACAAAGCGACAAAACAATCCAAGGCGCAACATAAACAAAAACTCAAGAGAAACACTCAAAGCACCTGATGATGTGCACAGATAGAACGTGAACTCTGGAATGCACAACATATCACAACAGTACAATCATGTTCTGGACCTGCGCGGTATACGAAGGTTTGCTTTGACTCGTTCCAGAAGCTCTTCACGTGTGGCTTCGTTATTTGGCATAAGCCCCCTCTAGGAGTCGCCGCCGGAGTCAATTTTGGATGCACACAAGAGGTTGAAATGTGATGGTTTTTGGATTTTCACACATTGAAGAAAGCACATACGTTACGGAGCCACCTTTTCATCTCTTCAGCAGTCCAAGTTTCAGGGTCTTTTTAACAGAGTCAGCCTCTAAAGCGTCGTCAATGGTATCTGATGCTTACCTCCCGTTGGGTCTGATTCTGCAGGGAATATGTCGCTACCCCATATGGCCCAGGCCGCTGCAGCAGTGACCATGCCAGCAAACCCTGAATGAGTCGACATTAGCGGTCGTTATTTTATTGCTTTGTCACTAGCGATGTGTACCTAAAAAAAGATTCTAGATACCTGTCAGCTGTTTTGAGAACACCATCTGGGTTTATCTACTGTACGAACCTTTGAGTGCATTGCTCGATCTAGCGCAGTCGGCATTTTGGTTTAGATGTTATGTCTTGATATACGAATGCAATCAAAATCGTGATTTGTATAGATGAGAAAATGACAGATTGTCAGTTTGATCAAGCTCGTGACGTGATGCTGCTTAAGTACGTACCAGGTACTACTTATACTACCTGTCTGCATACAGTATAGTTGCCGCCTAGCTTGCACCGCCACAGTAGTGGATTTACCTGAGATAGGAAGTGACACGCCACAGAGAGGTGGCGCATGTAAACCAGGGCTTCCGGGGAGGCAACCCTAACGATTCCCACACAACGTTAGCGCCTCACCGTCCGGACGCCCGCAAGTCGAGACTTCGAGATCGCGATTGTCCTTCACTCGTCCCGACTTTTTGTTCGACCATCCCGACTTACGTCCCCAATCACCGCCCACCATGCCTCGTGAAATCTCCGACATCAAGCAGTTCATTGAGATCTGCCGCCGCAAGGATGCCTCCTGTACGTTCTCCACGCCCCGTTTAGACGCTCGGGTGTTTTGGGTTGGGCCTGGGGCCCTCCGATGAGCTCCGGCCGGCGATGGATAGGCTATGAGTGTTATGTTTGGATTGATGGTGCTAACGGATGATGTTTGCGATTAGCTGCCCGCATCAAGCGCAACCGTAAGACCCAGCAGGTCAAGTTCAAGGTCCGCTGCCAGCGCTTCGTCTACACCCTTGCCCTGAAGGACTCCGACAAGGCCGACAAGCTCAAGCAGAGCTTGCCCCCAGGTGCGTTGCGTTCCAGGCCGATTTGAAAACACTCAGTCGTTATTCGGATTTCAATCTTGCTCGCTCCGCCGGTTTGCATGCCTAGAGTGGAGGTTCCGGGACATGAAACGAAACATGACTACGCGGTCACAACTACATAAGACTTGATGCTGACGATATTATTACAACAGCCCTCAAGGTCGTCGATGTCTCCAAGGGTGAGAAGAAGAAGGCTCTGTAAATACCTTCAATGATTTGAAGTAGGGAGAGGTGGACTCGGAGGACGGTTGCCGAAGCATAAGTCGACTGTCGAATGGGATTTGGCATTGGCATGGATGCTTGTGTGGGCCGGCACTGGGATGAATCGGTCTGACCTGTTTGATATACAGGAGGATTGGAGTCCCCGCGTCTGTCGGATGCTGTGATCATAAGTCAGGAACGGCACTTTTCACTGGCTAGACGACCTACATATCTAAATCAACTTCCAGAGGATGCTTGGTCGGAGCTCCCTGGTTCTACTATCTAATGAAGAGAAAAACAGTTGAAATGCCGTGCACCTTGTCCAGCTTCCAATGTTACTATGGTCTTCGCTACATTGATTGCGCTCCTCGTCTTGATGGCTGCTGTCATATCACCATGAGGAGATCCTTTGGGTAGAATGTAGATGCGCTGTGGACTTGATATTTGTAAGGCTTTCTGAAACTGCCCGATGTCTCGATCACTCGCTAGTTTTGAGACATGCAGCGCGCTCTGGGATTTAGTTTTCTCTTGTGATTCATATATGGAAATCAGGATAAACCCTGGACTACGATCCCATTTGGCAATTCCCACATAACCAACTGTGGATAAATTGGACGTTGAAATAGTATGATCCATGCATGAGGAAGACCGGCTATATTGAGGTTTAGGGCTCTTGGCGGGCCTTTGGTGAAACACTTGTCAACTTTCCTCCCACTCTTCCTGTCACAGACTTCAATGATCGTCATCCGCCGTCAAATGGACACCCCACCCTTGACCCAATCCCAAATGCCAGAGAAATTCCGTCAGGATCTATCATGTGCTAGGCCTGTCACGACTGGTTTATATGCCAAGTCTAACTGCCATGCCGGCAATTTGGAGGCAGAAACATGGTGTAGAAGTATCCTCGAATCAGAAGTTAGGGCTGGTCTCTGAGCGCTAATCATTTCCATTCAAGTCACGGCAAGTTTCTTGTAGATGATCTATATGCTATTTGGATCACGGAGGACCCCTCTCATCTCGCTGGGCTGAAGACTCGGTCAATAGCACAATACCTTTCTTGGATTATCGAGGCCCTGGGCGTCTCGCGTACCTGAATCCAACGACATAATAGCCATCGGTCCGTCAACCCGAGGGTCGATCAACTCCGGCATTAACTGCCCAGCAGGCATACAGCCTTGAGGCAGGCTATTGGGTGGAAACACAACAGGCCTTGGGTCACATGGCAGGGCTGGCACCTCTTCAGTAGTACTTGAAGGTCATTTGTGGATCTTCATGGCGGACCTTGTTCAATTTTGGCAGAATTGGGAGATGGACTATCACGGCAATGCAATCCGGTATCCAGCATAATCCGCAAGAAGACGTTTGAGCGTCGAATTATGCAGCGGTGCAAGGTGCAGAATGACTGACGCTCAGTTTAATTAGCAGTGCGGCCATGATATCCTATTGGTCTCTGTATGGGCATATGTGAAAACCGACGCACATCTACCTGCCACCGAACTAATTCCGGATAATATCATCCACTGGTCCGGGTGTCGCAGGTAGCCCATAGTCACCAGGGTGGAGACATCCCCCTCCCTACTAGGGTACAGGGAAATAGGAGTTTGGCTGGGCCTAGTATGCATGACGAGCATTATAAAAAGGCAGTGGAATGTCAGGAACTGTCTATTCGTTTCGTCTTCAGACACATTCTCCTTCATTCCTTCTTCCAGGCCTTTGATCGAGCAGGTCCTTCAATCATTGGCCACGGATTTGATATCCTTTTAGTTCCATTCCAATTATACCATCACAATGGCTATGTCCAAGATCATGTCGCTTACTGGCCTCCTGGCCTCTGCCTCTCTCGTCGCCGGCCACGGTTATGTGTCCGGAGTCGTCATTGATGGCCAATAGTATGTTTTTAAAGTCGCAAACATGTTGTTATGGAGGCTAACACATACAAAAGTTATGGCGGATACCTTGTCGACAAGTACTCCTACTCGGACAATCCCCCAGAGACTATTGGCTGGTCCACCACTGCCACCGATCTCGGATTCGTGGACGGCACTGGATACCAGTCCCCCGATATCATCTGTCATAAGGACGGAAAGCCAGGTGCTTTGTCTGCTGAAGTTGCTGCTGGTGGCGAAATTGAACTGCAGTGGACCGAATGGCCTGAGAGCCACCACGGCCCTGTCCTCAATTACCTCGCCCCCTGCGGCGGCGACTGCTCCGCGGTAGACAAGGCCAGCCTCGAGTTCTTCAAGATCGAGGCCCAGGGCTTGATTGACGGCAGCAGCCCTCCGGGCCATTGGGCTACCGATGACTTGATCAGCAACAACAACAGCTGGACTGTGACCATCCCGGCCTCCGTTCAAGAGGGCAACTATGTTCTCCGCCACGAGATCATCGGCCTTCACTCTGCCGGTCAGAAGGATGGTGCTCAGAACTACCCCCAGTGCATCAATATCAAGGTCACTGGCGGCGGAGATGCCACCCCGGCAGGTACCGCCGGCGAGGCGCTCTACAAGGACACTGACCCTGGTATTCTGTTCGACATCTACAGTGACCTCAGCGACGGCTACCCCATCCCGGGCCCCGAGGTTTTCAGCGCTTAAATCGGAGCTTTAAATCCGATTTCAGTGGGTAGTTTTGTGAGTGGGAATGCCTTGTGGGGAAGTATGTAGAGGATCTTTTCCTCTATCTTACCTGGCAATCTATTAGCGGTGGTTATGTATGCTGTTCATAGTTTTATTATTCTTCGAATGTGAATATTCGTTACTTCGCTTCGCATTGAATGGTAGTCTTCGTTCGAGATAATAGCTCAAATACTAACAAGAGAAAGAAAAGTAATAGTAAAAGAAAAAAAAAAAAAAGACAAACAATATGTGCATCTTACTGAATAAGACAATCATATCAGGGTATACATCAGTCCAAACCTATACTTCAATTTCGGCACCATCTCCCAAATGGAACGTTATAACGCTGTCGAACTTTGTGAAGCACTCAGCACTAACAATCCACATTCTATTAGTCAATATAAGAGCACATAAGGAAGGACCTGAGGACATATAGTCCCAGTACTACTAACCTCGATGATCAAGTTCAACATCCGTATCCAATCCATCGTCCATAGTAGACAGTTCTTCGACCACGCCCCATTTCTCCTCCCATTCTCTTAGCAAGACCAGTTCCTCCGGCGGAATCACCGCATTCTGGCCCAGTTCCTCCTTCATCCTCTGCACCAACTCAGCAACCTCAGCCCGGGACTTCTCAGTCGAGCAAACAACAGTTATTGAGTATGCGCTCGCGCTCATGCTGACAATGCTGTACACCCCATCCCTGACATGATTACCGATAGCAATTGTGATCTTATCAATCGAAGCCGGTAAGCTGGTGCTGATGTTCCGGAAATCCGAACGGTCGTGTACATTGAACCATGCTGCATGGATGGCCGGTGGACCGGAGAAGGTATCTGGCTGTGTTGCCTGGTTGATTTCGTCCGAGTCCCGGGTTTGGAATTTTTCGGCTACAATGGGTGCTTTGCGCTTGGAACGCCATCGTGTTAGGTATCTCATGTTGGGAATGTTCTGGGTTGGATGGATGGGATTGTTTAGAAAGACCGGGATATTAGGGAAAAGGGGGGTCCAAAACGAATCCTTTATGAGAGGGGGAGGAGGATCAGCTTAGTGGCATGAGCAGTAGCAGACATAAGCTGCCTTGTACTATAAAGGACGACCATTAGTTGGGAGTTTTATTATCAGGTCACATCAGTGCAGGAGGATTCATATTTAGCCGGGGGGGGGGTGATCAGACACCATGTGAGGTTCCAAACCCTAGACCAGAGATGCTTCAATTCCTGTACAAATGCCAACTACGTAGTATTTCCAGGTACCAATGCGAGTCATGGTTCGTTTCATTGGATCGGACCATGGAAATCCACTTTCTTTCCCCCCCCGCCTAGTTGACGCTAAAAACGGGATACGATTTAATATATCAATCAATCCATCATCAAATCAAACCACGTTGATCCAGACGTACTGGACGAAAAGAATCACACTACTGACGCCGACTTACTATACTCCAACTCAACATATCCCTCAACTCCCGCCCTCTCCAGACCCTGATCCACAGTCTCCCGGCTCAAATCCATCCTTCTGAGCTCAAACTCCCCAAAATAGTTCGCCTCCTCCGACACCTTCCGAAACCCCGCGCCCTCAAACAAGCCCAAACTGCGCCCATTCCCCTGCCCAATCTTAACACTAAGACACGAGAATCTCCACCCACTACTACTAACGCCAGCCTCCTCCCCTAGAGCCTTAGCAGCAGCCGGATCCCCTCTCACAAACTCCTCCAAAATCTCCACTTCATGATCAGCGATGTATCGCAGAAAAGCGAGCAGCGTGGCCTTCCCGTACCCCTTCCGCTGATTGCTCTTCTCGGCGATCATGAGCTCAATCTCGCCGATGATCTGGGGCTCCGAGTTCCCTTCCTCGCCGTCGTCAACGCGGAGGAAGAGATTCACGTCCCCGATCATCCGCTCGGAGCTGTCATCTTCATCGCGGAGTGGGGAGCCCCCCGTTCCTGTGGGGGAGGGCTGGCACACAATGAAGGTTAGTTTGTCCGGATCTTGGCGCCAGCTTTCTTGCATGGCGTATTCTTCTTCTAGAGAGAGTGGTTCTGAGGCTGTTGCTTCTTGGATTTCCTGGTGTTGGCTGGCGTTAGTTTTGGTGGTTTTTTTTCTTTCTTTGTCTAATCCTTGGGTATGAGAGTAATTGGATCTAAGGAGAACATGGAATGTAAAAACATACCTCATCTTTCATCCATTCATGGTAGCGGGGAACGTGCCATTTGGAGTAGGGCACTAAGAGCACCGTAGATGTCGAAATAGCTATACTAATCTGTTAGAGTACGTAACTTGGTGATTGTGGGTGGTGTGATTGATAGGGAAGATGGAAGCGGGCGTACCAGTTTTGGCATTTAACAACATTTTTAGCCGTGTCTAGTTTGATATGCTCGAAGTACAATGTCTATATTACAGTAGATATGTGGGGTGATCCGTAGAACTGGTCTAGATTGTATATTTCGTGGGGCAGGTTTTGGAAGATCAGATCCAGCGCCCAAAGTGGGAGAATTTAATTCCATTTATTCAATGTCTCTTTTCTTTTCTTTTTTTTTTTTTTTTTTTTTTTTTTTTTTTTTTTTTTTTTTTTTTTTTTTTTTTTTTTTTTTTTTTTTGCGCGAGTCTTGGCATTTGGGGCCACTTGAACATACTCCGATGCTTTTCTTGTTCGCTCCCCTTTGCTGGATCGTATCCGAAAGAATTTTTGATCTAGAAACGGGTGCTTTTTTGAGTAAAATATAAAATCATAGCTAGAACTGCATGGAGCTCGGTTGGGGGTGGAAATGCTAACTGTAAACAGCCTAAAGAGCGGTCCTTTTCAGCATCAATATCACAGGTCCTTGTGTTCTATAGGTGAATGTTTGTTTGGCCTATATTATAGCTATGTCATATTCTTGTGGGTATCTCATAAACCTTTGATACCTAATTTCACATACAAATCATTGCTTTTCCTGCTGCCCCGCGTATGTGCCGAATTTGACGACTTCTACCTCTAGCGTCTCGGTATCAACCAGTACCAGCTCGCCGGTTTCCTTGAACGTAGGAATGGATAACAGACGGACTCGTGGGCCAGGCGTGTTTTCATCTGTGCCGGTCATTTCGGTGTCGGTTCCAGTCAGCTTCAAGGGAGTGTCGCCTTCTATCACCGCGGTCTTGAATTGTGGCTGGTTACCAGCGAAGAAGATATGCGGACATGCTTCCATCACGAAAGGATCGTGTGTTTGGAATGGATAGGACCCTGTGATCAATTAGTAACTTCGTTCCAAGAGAATGTCATGGGAAAAGAGAACTCACAGATCGTATCCGGTGCGGTGGGGACGCCACATCTCCAACGCAACATGGCCTCCATGATTTTAACCCTGGCCTCGGCATCCCCATTAGCATCGACAGCACCACTCGAATTCGCAAAATCTAGATAGCGAAGGACGTCGTCGACATTCTGGCCGCTCGAACCCCACAGACGCCATCCCTCTATGTCACCTTCCCATGGATTCGTGACGCTATCGAACCATCCAGGCTCTGGGATTTCTCCAGCAGACGTGGTGGGGTTAGAGCAATATGCCCTAGATCGCGGGAACATAGCTCGGTGGATACCCTGTTGAGGTAGTGAGAAATTGGCTGGGTCGCTTGCGCCTGCCATAAGGGTAACAGGTATACTGGGTAGAATCTCGGCGAGGAAGTTATCGAACTGGGTAATCGGCGAAGCATTGTACGCAGAGGCATCATAGCCATATTTCCTTGGTCCACTTTTCTTCTTTGAAGTAGCTGCATCTTCGTTAGGGTCGGTGGTCATGCTTGCACCGAGAGAATTTCCTGCAATCACAAGCCTCGTAATTGCAGACGCTTCTGGGGGTGCACTCTCATCATTCACTGGTGATTGTGAACCTGTATAGCCAAGGAGATAGTCCGTTAAGAGCTCCAGAGATAGTGTATCGCCCGATGTTCCCGTTGTCCCAAGACCACTTACAAAAGCAATCTTGCTTTTGTCGGTTCCTTTCTGGGAAGACTGCCTTTCATCCCTCTCCCACCGACGGGGTTGACGAGCCAGATCAGGTACCTTTACATCGATAACCTCAAAGTCTCCATTCGAGTTCTCAGTCCCGAGCACGGCAACTATAGCTCCTGTAGCCAATTGGGTCGATCTAAGCGTGTTCCCAGTCAATCGCAGGCGACCTGACTCATCTTCTAGCATGGTTTGTGTTAATTCGGGGTGGGCAGGATCAAGATAAGTCGGACGAGGGGGAGGGGCTAATGTAAAGTTCTGCTACGGGATTAGCAGGTGCAAGTGTACGCGCATAAACACTGTTGACTTGCCTCTTTCGTCAGGTCATCCAAAATATTGGGCTTCAATGGCAAGTCCATGTAGATTGTGCCTGCAACCCAGCAAAGCTCTCCTTGCCTTACATCGAGCACTCTTTCCACGCGACGAGCATGCTCCCCGGCAATCTGTTTCGCAACCCAGCTGTGTTAGCATACATTCGACAGAGACTGTCCTACTTGCTCGGTCCATATGGTCCGATTGCGCACAAGATGCGCCTCATGTCATCGGAAACCCAGCGGGCAATACTCTTACACTGAAACCTTCCCATGTCTCAACCGCAATTTCCTCCACTGCCGGTTTTAACTTGGCCAGTCGCAAGAAGTACATATCGCCATATTGTTGTTGATAGTGCCTTTCCTGGCCAGAAGGCAATTGAAAGGTATGAAGAGGGTTATAGCTGGAGGAGGAACGATAGACGGGTGCATGTTCTTCGTCGCTGCGATCAAGATGAGAATGATTGTCAGTCACTGATTGACCATACAGCTGGGCGCGCAGGATGGGTGGGCACACCTTGGAGGGCGCAGAAATGGGTTTTCTGTACTGCCGGAGGCCATCTTGTGAAGTTGCTCCTTCGTAGCAGGAAGGCTGGAATAGCTTAAGAGAGAATTATATGCCAACCCGAAAAAGGTAAGATGTGTTTGTTGTGAACGATGAGTGCTATTTTGCTCCGTGAAGTTCAACGCGAATCACGCGTCTTTTGGCGTTCCGCGGGCAGCGTAATTACAGTACCGCTTTGGGCCAAGGCCGTTGGAGCGCTTGAATAAAGGCACTACGTTAATTCTTGCAGAACTTTTAGGCTCTTTAACATGAAATCTCATAGATTTCACCCTGTACCAATCATTCAATTGATATGCAAAGCAACAATATGTAAATTCAGAAAGAGCATGTCTCTCCCGGATTGAAGCAGCGCAAGCAAAAGACCAACCAGCACCATTTATTGGTCTACATCGACTCGGATTCGATATCCTAGAATGATGGACTAGCAATGGATTGAATTAATGTTGATCGTTCCAGAAACTATTTCGAACAAAGTGGATGCTTCGAATTCCTAAATCGGGAAGAAAGACCATTTGAAGCTTCAGTTTTTGGCCTTGACAAAGTGAACCCGAGGGCCGATCTGCTGCAACCTGATAAGGGATACGAACTTTGGACTGCCAAGCGAGATGGCGGAAACGGTAAAACATAGAGAGATACCTTTATGAGCTTTGAACACTCAACTGAGTGTTCTGCCTTAATTGGACTTCTGTTTTGGACATGAAACGTGCGCGTTACGTGCTGCCAGAATCACTAAAATATGCCCACGTCCGTAATAACTGTCATGCAGAACCCGAGAGGTGAGGTGGAACAACATGCAATTTCAAGTAGACTTCAATAGGTAAGTTGTCACAGGAGCAATTTACAGTTGCAAGGGATGGCTCAAGCCGCAGGGGACACGCTGCTGTCCATTCCACAGGCCGCATTCCTTCATCAACTTTGATTCACTTTTCGATCGGTCATTTCCTTGAGGTTGTTGACATACTGCAATATTCACTTGATTGGTCATGTTCTTTCCTTCTCCTTTCCTGATAGTATTCTGAAATTGGAGGCAGGAACATGGCAGGGAATGGAAGGGGCATCTCTCCCAAGTATAATATGCCTCTTTCATCCAGGCGCAAAACACTTACCTGTTAATATACCAGGTGCCTCATATTAACTCTACTATCTTCAAAGGCTGAATTGTTGTGGATCTTAGGGGCTTTCTTGACCGCCTCAAAAAGGGTCAAATATATCACGAGCAGTGTTGCATATACCCATTTCTCCGAATATGAGGGTGTCACGCACATTCAGCAGCCTTATAGGCAGTTTCATGGTTCTCAGCATGTTGCCATATGTTCTTACAGCATCATTCCAGTTGGATGCCTTAATGAGCAGCCCGCCATACCGTTTAATTCAGCGAAGCCTACCAGGGTCACTCGGAACTGCCCCCGAAGGAGCAGTAGGCTATCAGCCGCCACCCGGACCTGTTGTCAATAATGCTCAGCCGACAGAGACCAGGCCAGTGGTGGATAAGACAGCGACAGTGGCAAGCACAACGGCTACTCAAGGTCTATCGCGCGAGTCGAAACAAGAGGCAGCTGAACTTAACGGCACACCACCTGTGACGGCGTAAGTTTCCGTGTGCGCAGAATCATTGAATTATGCAGTTCACTGATTTCAAGATCTGAAGTAACCCGCGAGACAACGTTGCCATCCTGACTGGAACCGCAACAAAGACACAGGCGAGGATAGAGGGGACACAGGCGGCAACAGCTGTTCGAGATGTTGATTTAACCCCAGCCAGCCTATTCCTTTCAGTTGTCCTAACCGTATTGCAACTCTAAGGGAGGTCTTGCTCTAGCTGGTAGCTTACTTCCTATCTTGTCTTCCGTCTAATGGCGTTATACTCTTAAGACCCTTGTTTCTGTCTTTTGACTTATTACCGAACACTCTATTCTTCAGTGACCTTCAACCCTGGAGCCAAGCTCGGAAATGGAATCGGCCATCGTCCAAGTCAATTGTTCTTATGAAGTAATGTATAAAGCTCGTGGGAAGATATCATAGATTTCTGACTATAAAGAAAAAAACAAAAAAGAAAAGAAAAAAGTTTATGAAATCTTATACAGTCGCGTATAACGAGCATAACTAACAGCGCGTAGGTTCAGATGGAGCAACGAGAGAGCCGAAGCCTCGGTTCGGTTGGCGATCATCAGCTTTAAGGGCTCCGCTTCCCCGCATTCGTGCAGCAGACCCCAAGCTGTTCAAATCTCATATCTCTCCTAAATAATGCCCCTAAATAACCCCATTGGCCATTGCTGGCAAAAAGATCATCTGCCGGACTTCTAACAGCCGCGGCTCAAGAGTACTTGGACGGTAAGAGATGCCAACAGTGACTTTGGACAGTTATTCTTAAAACCTCTCTAATTGACTGACGAATATAGCATCTCAATAACTTTGTACCTTATTATACTCTACTCCTGGACAAGATTATTATATCGATCTACTCCAACTACTACAATGTCTCTTCAAACCCCCCTCTGTTCACTGCTCAAGATCCAGCACCCCGTCCTGCTGGCAGGAATGGCGCGTGCCTCTGGGGCCCCTCTAGCGGCCGCGGTTTCCAACGCAGGCGGTTTGGGAACAGTCGGCGGTCTGGGCTATACACCCGAGCAGCTTTCAGAGATGTTGACGGAACTCAAGGCTTCCCTACGGGACCCTTCTCTTCCCTTCGGCGTTGATCTGGCCCTACCTCAGGTTGGCGGAGGAGCCCGTGCTACAAACCACGACTACACCCACGGTCAGCTGGATCAGCTCATCGACGTTGTAATCTCCCATGGCGCCAAGCTCTTCGTCTCCGCAGTGGGTGTGCCCCCCGTGCGCGTCATCAAGAGACTACACGACGCCGGCATCTTGATCATGAATATGGTCGGAGCACCCAAGCACGCCGAGAAGGCACTCAAGCTGGGCGTGGACATCGTATGCGCCCAGGGTGGTGAAGGAGGTGGCCATACAGGCGACATCCCCTTCTCCGTGCTCGTCCCGGCGGTCGTCGACGTGGCAAAGAAATACAAGAGCCCACTGACGGGTCAACCTGCCTTGGTCGTGGCTGCTGGTGGTATCAATGATGGACGCAGTTTGGCCGCGTCACTGATGCTGGGCGCTGTCGGTGTCTGGGTCGGGACGAGGTTCGTTGCCTCGGAGGAAAGCAGTGCTAGTCAGTTGCACAAGGAGGCGGTCGTCGGGGCCCAATTTGGAGAGACGAAGCGGACCCTGGTCGTTTCTGGTCGGCCGCTGCGTATGCTGCCCAACGATTATATCAAGGACTGGGAAAGACGACCGGAGGAAATCGCCCGGCTGACGGCTAAGGGAATTGTCCCTATTGAACATGATTTCAACAACGACAAGGAGGACATTGAGATCCCTTACCTGATGGGCGATGTCTCGGGTATTATCAAGCAGATTAAACCCGCCGGGGTGATCGTACAGGAAATGGTCCAGCAGGCCGTGGACGTGCTGAGAACAGGAGGTTCATATATCAACGCAGGACCTGCTAGCAAGCTTTGAGTGGAACAGTATCTCAGATATGACGCTGCCCTGTTGAGTAACGTTGAAATGGATTTCATAGTAACATAATGATAACGTTTAGACATTCATGTTTTCACATGTACATACAAGTACAGAACGAAGGGAACAAAACTTGAAAGATCATGCTTTACTGCCTTTCTAAAGCTAACTAGTAGCATGAGAGAGCAACGGCAAGCAACAATCCTCATGCAAGAAGCCCTATTGCCCCAAAATTTGCATACATTAGAGATGCGACACGGAACATAGCCCGGCACAGCACAAGACAGCATGCCAGTCCGCATCTTCCTTTAGATGCCAATCCAGCTTCACAGGGCCAATTGCCGAATGTAAATTTAGTAGTAGTACTCAGCCAGATTGGGACATTGCTAACATAGACAGAGAGAACCCTGACCATCCAAGGCCGGCAATAGGTCCAAGAAAACCATACTCGACAAAAAGCAGACAAAAAGCGGGAGAACAGGACAATCGTCAGTGACATCCATTGAGCACGGCCTTGTTCCCGTTGGCTCGGGCCTCCAAGAGGTTCGGTGGTGGCGGCGGTCCAAACACAGGCTTCTCAGGCTGCTGTGGTGGTATGTTGCGGTCTCCGTTCATGTCCCGGTCCGTGCTGTCTTCGTACTCATCATCACTGATGCCTTCATCATCTTCTTCATCCTCGTAGTCTTCGTCGTATTCACTCTCTGTCCCCTCGTCATCGCCGTCTAGATCGGCCGCAAGACCTTGTCCACGACCTTGAGCTTGCATTCGGCGGCAAAGTGCTTCGAGGTGATGACTCTTCTTCCGCCACTTCTCAAGTTCTTCGTGGTTTCTGGTGCGTTCCTCGGCCATCTCGAGTATATTGCGGTTCGTCTGATCGTGTTTACGGGTGAGGGTGAGATTTTCCTTTTCCAGGCGTTTGGTCTTTTTCGACATTTCTTCCATTTCTTTGCGAAAAGTCAGAAATAACTCGTTGCTGTTGTTCAACGTATCCTCCACCTGCGATATTATTATTACCAGTCGATCAAAACCAGAGTCGAATCGGGTCATCGATCTCGATCCATACCTGCTTGAACTTCTCCACGTAGATGTTGAGCTGGCTGCGTAACTCGGCCTCGGTATGTGAAAACGTAGAAACTTGTGAACTTAAAGCCCGGCAGCGGGCGGCCTCGTTCTCGGCAGCACGGCGTTGCTCTTCATACTTAGCAGTGAGGCTCTGTAGCTCCGCGTCCTTACTGCGCAAGAGTGACTTGTAATGCACTTCTCGCGTTTCGAATTTCTCGCCAATGGTCTTGATCTTGACACGTAGTCTAAAGCACGAAACCCTCAGCAACATACATTGCCTTGCCGGATCACAGTACTTACGCTTCGTCCAGGTCAATGTCAACTTTCTCACTCCGAGGATTGCCCTTGGCAGCCATCACGTCTTGAATGTCATAGAGGAGGGAATCAAGACGCTCGTTCACGATCAACCGCGCCTTCTTTTCGGTATCCTCTAACTTCTTGTTCTCATCCTGTGGAGCAAGGGCCATCAATTCTCCGCATCGGAATCGTTGCGAGCAAGAGCAACCCACCTTGACCTTCTTATTTTCTTTCGTGAGCTCCCTGCACAGCTTCTCCAGTTTATCCTTCATGGTCACAGTCTTGTTCAGTTCCGATTTCCCCTTGTCTTGATCCTTCTGTAGTTGATCGGCCCGCTTCTTGCTTTTGGAATAGTCGCGGTCCAGCTTTTTCATGTCGGCCAACAGTTCGGTGTACTTCTTATGTACGGTCTCAAGGCGGGTCATTGGAGACTCGATATTGCTGAGGAGCTGGTTCAGGTCTCGTGTAGCTTTCTTAACTTCACGCTCTGTAGTCAGTTAGTACCAATCCTCCACACCAAAAAACAGAAAAAAAAAAAAAAAAACCAAAAAAAATAACTAAGTCGACAAATATCTCATATGCGGAACCAAGCCGCAGAGGCAGATCACGCACCAATTTCCGCTTCTTGGTCCTTCTCCCCAGCAGCATCCTGCTCCAGCTGCGAGATTTTTGCGGCAAGGAGTTTGGAAGTCTCATTCGGATCGGCCACTTTCTTCCCTTTGTTCTTTTTCGACATGGCTGCAGATGACATTGTCGGCCGTTACCAAATGGATAAGGCACGAGGTAGGTTGTGCGGTTTTCGACCTCGTCGGCGGTGATCGCGTGGCCAATCCACGAAATTGAAAAATGCGCAGACCGGACGGTGAGCGAAGCGGGCGTAACCAATCGGTGGCACTGGGGCAAACTCGCAACGTTCGTTGGCACTTCCCAATTCTACCCCGATAGGAAGGCTCTCGACGGTCTCGAGAAGGTGGCGCTTTAGTTCAGGCCGAGCACTAGCGGAGAGAACCCTGGTAGCCTTTTGCCAGACTCGCAGAACTCGGAGGTAATGGATCACCAAGATCCTACGCAACCCAAGTTCTGCAGAGCCTCGGAAAAAACACACGAGCGGAGGGCAAGCAGCAGTGTGTGCTGTAAATGTACAGCAAGCAGTCTTGCGGGGATCGACGAGGGAGCGGCAGGTCTTTCGAGGAATCTTTTGCCGGGGAAGAGAGGATCGAATGGAAGCCAGTGAGTGGTAAGAGGGGGTATGTTGCGCACTTGACCAGCACTAACCCCGATTCGAAAACTTCTCTTGGCAACCAATGATTAACATCAATCCATTTCAGTTCTCCAACCTCTCCAACTACCACGCTTTCCTTTTCACCAATTGCTCAAAACCGATTACACACCACCGAACGGTCATTCAAATAGGTCTCTGGAGCATTTGAAGAGCGTCTACCGCCATTTCGTTGCGTGCCTGAGGTTTTACAGTTCCACCCGGCCTGTCCGGCTGACGTGCGAGTGGTTCTTCCGATCCATTGCCTTCGGTACCCTACAAACGGCAACGGACTTTCTTGCCGGGGTGAAGAATCATACCAAAGGTAGAGGGTACCTCAAGAAAACTCCGCGGCCCTATAAGTAGTATCTCTAGGCTGTTCTTGCCTTATTTGACATTGTGCAACGCGATGTTGCGTTCTTCTTTGGGGACAGGCAAAAGCCGAGTGCCTGTGTTGCGGCAGCCTACCTATGGACGCTGGCTAAGGTCCAACAATCATGCACTTCGGTGGAATCAGTTTCGGAGAGCTGCATCGACAGTAACTAACCTCGAGAGCTACCCTAATGTGGGAGAGCAACTCCATGGGTTCACTGTTCAAGAGAAAAAACACGTTCCAGAGCTACACCTCACTGCGGTCCGGTTAAAGCATGACAAAACAGATGCGGATTACCTCCATGTAGCAAGGGAAGACAAGAATAATGTGTTTGGAGTGGGATTCAAGACCAATCCTCCCGATGCGACAGGCGTTCCTCATATTTTGGAACATACTACGCTATGCGGTAGCGAAAAGTAAGCATTCCCTGGCTGAAGCTCATATAGAAAGGATGTCTTGAACAGGCCTTTTCTCGCTGTCAAACAGATCATATGCTAATACGAAATATCTTAAAAGATATCCTGTCCGTGATCCCTTCTTTAAGATGCTCCCCCGGTCTCTTTCGAATTTTATGAATGCTTTCACCTCCGCCGACCATACTACTTACCCATTTGCAACAACGAATCAGCAAGACTTCCAAAACCTTCTATCTGTCTATCTGGATGCTACACTTCACCCGCTGCTCAAGGAAGAAGATTTCAGACAGGAAGGATGGCGACTGGGGCCGGAAGATCCCCGCGCTGGTGACGCTCGGGACGGAAAGCCGGAAGATGTCTTGTTCAAAGGCGTCGTGTATAACGAAATGAAGGGCCAAATTTCAGACGCAAATTATCTTTACTATATTAAGTATCGGGAGAGCATTTTCCCAGCGCTTAACAACTCTGGAGGAGATCCCCAGTACATCACTGACTTGACACACAAGCAATTGGTCGAATTTTCACAGCGAAACTATCACCCAAGTAACGCCAAATTCTTGACCTACGGTGATATGCCTCTCAGTGCTCATTTGAAGCAGATTGGTGATGTATTGGATGGTTTTGGCAAGGGAGAGGCGGACACCTCCGTCAAGCTCCCCATTGACCTTAGCCGCGGTCCTTTGAACGTAACTGTTCCAGGGCCTATTGATACATTCGCCGACGCCGACAAACAATATAAGACTTCAACTTCTTGGTATCTTGGAGATACAAGCGAGGTTGTTGAAACGTTCTCGGCCGGCATCCTGTCCTCCTTGCTGCTAGATGGCTATGGCTCTCCGATGTACCGGGCATTGATCGAGAGCGGCTTGGGCTCGTCATTCACTCCTAATACAGGTCTTGATACCTCTGGAAAAGTGCCTGTATTCTCTGTCGGCCTCACTGGCGTCGGCGAGGAGGATGCTCCAAAAGTCAAAGAAGCTATTCAGAGGGTCTATCAGGACAGTCTTTCTACTGGGTTCAGTGACGAGAAAGTTCAAGGCTTCCTCCACCAGCTAGAGCTCGCACTGAGACACAAAACAGCAAACTTCGGTATTGGTGTCATGGAGAAGACCATTTCCTCATGGTTCAACGGTGTAAACCCAATGAAGGAGCTCGCCTGGAATGATGTCATCAACGAGTTCAAGAAGAGATATCAACAAGGAGGTTATCTTGAATCATTGATGCAGAAGTACCTGATGAACGATCGTTGCCTGACATTTACCATGGTTGGTACGCCTACATTTCATCAAGAATTAGACCAGCAGGAAATGGTTCGGAAGGAACAGAAGCTCAGTCAACTTGTTGAGCAACATGGATCTATGGAGAAAGCTATCTCTACTCTTCGAGAGCAGGAGCTGCAGTTGCTCAAGACGCAAGAGGAGGCACAACATGCTGACCTTGGATGCTTACCTTCCCTGCGTGTTGAGGACATTTCGCGAGAGAAAGAGCACAAGCCGGTGCGGGAGTCGAAGGTCGACGACATCGATGTTGTCTGGCGTGAGGCCCCAACCAATGGCCTGACGTATTTCCAAGCATTGAATGCTTTCGACGACCTTCCGGATGACCTTCGACTGCTCATGCCCTTGTTCAACGACTGCATCATGCGTTTGGGCACTGCGAATAAGACTATGGAACAGTGGGAAGACCTGATCAAGTTGAAGACCGGTGGGGTTTCATCATCCGCATTCCACACTTCGTCTCCAGTTGAACTCGGCAAGTTTGATGAGGGGCTTCAGTTCTCTGGTTTCGCTCTGGATAAGAATATTCCCGACATGTTAGAAATCCTGACTACTCTTATAACGGAGACGGACTTTACTAGTGCCTATGCGCCAGCTATGATCCAGGAATTATTGCGACTGACTACAAATGGCGCGCTGGATAGTGTTGCTGCATCAGGTCATCGCTTTGCCCTCAATGCTGCTGCTGCAGGTCTTTCTCGCAGCTTTTGGGTACAGGAGCAGCAGTCCGGTCTGGCACAGCTACAAGCTACTGCTAATCTCCTGCGCGATGCGGAGACTTCCCCCGAACGGCTGGCAGAATTGATTGAAAAACTTCGTTTGATCCAATCTTTCGCCATCTCCAAATCATCTAGTTTCCGTGTTCGCATGGTGTGTGAGCCAAGTAGCGCACATCAAAACGAAGTCGTTCTGCAGAAATGGCTGGCTGGCTTGCCACAGATCCGCTCACCTACATCTGGGAATGCCGGGTCAATGCAGCAAGTTTCTAGTAAAGCATTTTACGAAATGCCTTACAAGGTTTACTACTCAGGGCTGGCTATGCAAACAGTTCCGTTCGTTCACAAATCCAGCGCACCACTTAGTGTGCTCTCTCAACTCCTTACGCATAACTATCTTCACCCGGAGATTCGGGAGAAGGGAGGTGCCTATGGTGCAGCAGCCAGCAACGGTCCGGTCAAGGGTATTTTTGCCTTGACCAGTTATCGGGACCCGAACCCCCTCAATACTCTAAAGGTATTCCAGAACAGCGGCATCTTCGCCCGTGACCGTTCCTGGTCTGAGCGGGAATTAAATGAGGCCAAATTGGGTATTTTCCAAGGCCTGGACGCCCCAATGAGTGTTGATGAGGAAGGATCCAGATATTTCATGAGCGGCGTAACGCATGAAATGGATCAGCGCTGGAGAGAGCAGCTCCTCGATGTCACTGCGAGGGATGTTAATGAGGTTGCACAGAATTTCTTGGTGGACGGCCCTCGGCAATCGGTATGCCTGTTGGGTGAGAAAAAGGACTGGGCAGAGGGTTGGGATGTGCGGAAGCTTTCCATGAACGCTGGTGAAGTTGAAGCAATTCCCGAGGACGCCTCTACTGCCGCCTAGAAGCTGGGAAGTATCAACAGTTCATGATTTTCATATTTGGATGAGCACATGTATCATATATCCCTGTATTTTTATATGACCTTTGTGTGTTTATGTGTGTATATAGACTTCTGCTTTGTATTATACCTCCTATCCCCACTCGTCTTTTTTCTCCCACTTTCTGGTCAGTGCATATGTACTACCATGCACAACCAATACACCATGAACGCGCGTCTCCAGAGCAGAAACACCCTCTCCATTACCGGTCTTCATCTCCATGATCGGTAGATGGCTGTTTTTCCTGCCCTATTGATGGGCAGGGAAAGGCAAAAATCAAGCGCAAGATCAACCAGAATGTGAGCCTCTTAACGGTACACTTCTGACCTCCGTTTTTCAGACCCTCCCTGGAAATCTCTGTCAGCCTACGCAGGGCGGACTAAAAACGTGAGAACATATCAGGCAGAGTATTACACACCTTATGGATGACTGGCACCTGTTGGTATCTCCATTGAAAGTGAGGTGTGTGTTACCTGTTTCCGTGCCGTGGCATTGAAAGTTAAGCCGTATCAAAGTTACAATCGTGGCTGTAAAAATTCAAGGAGAAAGGAACAATCATTTCTGTTCCGTGGATGGCCGAGGTAAACGAAAAGATGGCCTTCCTTGTACTACATACATAAGAACGTGATACTTCCTGTGAGTGAGCGTAAGACCACGGCGATAATTTAACTGTTCACTGATCAAAAACAAAATTCAAACAACTGACGAGTAACGACCCCATAAATTTATTGTTGTGGTGCCTCTCACGTGGTCATGTAGATCTCGTGGTCTACTGTTCGTTCCTTCTTTATCATCGTCTAGTATTTTGGTTATCTCGGGCTTTACACTTCCATCCTAGATCATGATCTCAGTGACCTCTATTCACAGGAAGAGGTGCTAAAGAACGATGCAATACCATGCCATGCCACTGTGCCTGTCATCATGAAGAAAAGCGATGCCATTGTGCTGGGCCCCAAGCCTACCAAAGCGTGCGGTAGGTGGACTCTTACTATGTTGCATGCAAGCAACACTTGTCAAGATCCTGACAGTGTATAGTCAACTGCCGCAGGTTGAAGGTTAGGCGCTAGTGAGATACATTCGTCATGCGAACTATGTACTAACAGGCTTCAAGATGAAATGTGAGGTCGATGGGACTCCTCCATGTCGTCGATGTCGCCATGCAGACGCCGCTTGTGTGTTCAAGCCTAGGTCTAATGTTGGCGCTAATCCTCAGAGTGATGGTTGGGGTTGTATTATGCTTACTGATTCCAGGCTGCGGCTGCCCATGAGATCGTGTCATTATCGGAGGGTGGACAATGCACAACTTTATTGTCTCACTTGGCACAGTCTGATCCAACTGCAGGGTCCGTTCTCAACCGGCTGGATAGAATTGAGGCCATTCTAGGAATCCAGAAGGGAAGATATGCCGTAGGGACGGTCGGTGTTGATTCGGATCAAGACGAAGAGGCCAGCATGCCCAATTCAGAACTATCGAAAGCTGTCAGGCATCTCAGACTCATTACTCGCCCACCACAAAATAATAGTCTTTGGTCTTATTCCACAGTCAAGGGTCTATGGGAAACGTATGTTGCTTTATTGTCCTCATTCTTCCGAATGGCGGAAGCTCATTGAAGCATAGATTTCTCAACAATCTACCACTACTGCACTTTTTAAAGGACCAGAGAGCTTTCTCCTCCCCTTCGCCCCTGTTGCTTGCCTCCGTGCTCTACATATCTGCACTCCATAACCCAACCAAGGAACTTGCATCATTGGCAAGGGAGTATTTTGTAGCCACATGTGATGCTATCACTGAACTGGTTATCCCAATTCCCCAACCAAATGCCCTCGGTGGATTTAAATCAAATCCTGCAGGTCGGAATCATCTAAGCTGCAAAGATGAAGACAAGACGTTCCAAAACATCCTGGGCCTTATATTGGCTAGTCTGGTGTCCGAGGCCTACATCGGGACCACTGACAAGTGGATAGCAATTGCCTACCGACTCTTGCTGGACAGCTGCCCGACTGACTTGAATGATATGACCCAAGACTGGTGCGGTCTACTGTCTGGAATCCAGGTAAAATCATAGTACCTGTGGTGCTTAGGCAGTGCTAATTACCTTAGGTGATTGATATCGAACATGCCTCCATGCATATGTGTCATCCTCTGCTACCTCGACAACCGCCGACTCCATCTCTCCAACAACTAAACAGCCACGAGGGGGATGCATATCGAGGTCTAACACAGATTATGCACCAGGGACTCAGTCATTTCGTGGGACGGTGCCTACCTACTATATGGTCGTTCGTTAGCTCGACTGGAATCGACTCCACGAGTCATGTCCGTACACCCTTCACAGATGAAGACTCTAGGGTTATTCGACTCTGGGCAAGGAGGCTTGATGACTGGCTTGTCCGATACAATGGGACATCCCGTAGGCACTGATTAGCTCGGTCTCCTGTGAAAGTGTGCTAATGTTGTTTCCGAAGAACCCTCTCCATCAGACCGCCAAGGAATTCTCATTCTTCTACAATACCACCTTCACAAACTATACGTGCTGTCGATCTATCATCCAGCCCGTGGATTTGATATGAGCTCCACGAACATTACTCCATCAGAAAGGCATGAATTGCTAGTATCAGCACGGGCCGTGCTACGACTTCGCCAAGACGATGCCAGCATATGGTCTAACTGGGACCTCATAGTACGTACCACCGCGCAGTATTAGGCCGCCAATGAAGGCTAAGAGATACAGATGATAACATGGGCGGCAATGCTCCTCTTGCGGGGTGTGGAGGACGGTATGATATGTCAAGATGGTATGGAAGCCTTGTTCTTCTAAGCAAGATCTCTAAACAAACTCATCTTTTCTAGATCTGTGTCTTATTCAAACACACATCAGCAGCCTAGAACGAAGTGATCCCTCAGTACCTAGCATTCATGGGGTGCTTGCAGACCGAATTCAGTCCAGCATGCAGAGCATGCACACCACGCCTGATATGAGCCATGAATTGTCTTTCCCGCCACCCAACGTGGATCATTCATGGACAATTTTTGATCAAGAGATAATGGCACTCGCAAACCCGTCCTGGCTTTTCGAAGGGCCTTCGGTCGGTTCAACCCAGACTGAACTCTCACAGCATTCAGCAATGTCGTCAGCACGGTACACCGATGGTCTAACCACCACCAGTCCCAATAGCTTCGACCCCAGCAAACAGTGGGGCCCCACAGAACAGCTGGCTGGTGTACGGATGTCAAGGTTTAATCCAACTTTCAGCCATGGCAAAGCAACGGGCAATGATCGCTATTTACTATGATTGAACTGTTTTATCAAGTACAACCGTTTGTTGAGAATAGACCGTGAACTATCTTTCTGTCTTTAGAAAAAGATCTCTCTCTTTCAAAGCTCAGACTACTCACTACAATGTAAAAGCGCAAGAACCTAGTACGTTTCATTCATTTCTGATCGTATCGGGTATAGAATTGTCATTTCATCAGTCGTTATACTGTACAAAGCTATATGGCTGCCACATAGCACAAGATGTCACGGCACCTTGCTTTACCTGTACATGAGCTCTGGTGCCAAAGATCCACTCGACTTAAGATGTCGGTGTTTGGTTCCTTACGTTGACTATTAGTTGCTGTCAGGTCAATGATTCGGAGGATCTTCTTTGTTGTTTTCTGCTGAGTCCGGCTGGCCTTCAGGCTCCAGGCCTTCACTTGCTGCCGGTGATGTCAGCGGTAGAGGCGGGAATGGTTCTGTCTGCGAAAAATCACCAGACATTCTTCCGGTGGAGAGTTCACTTTCTCCTGCTGATTCGAGGGGAGTATTAACGGAAAGTTCAGGGAGAGCAGTCTCCGTAGAGACAGTTGGAGAGGGAAGTACAAGGGGTTGTGGAGTGGACTAAACGTTCGTGGTGTTAGCTTTCGTTGTTATAACGTGGAAGCGGGCTACACTCGCATACCTGGTCTCTCGCTTGACTCAGGCCGCGACTTGAAGCCAGCTGTCGCGCAGCAAGTCGTTTCCTTATGATCTCTGATTCTTCCTGGCGTTCTGCTTGTTCCTCCTCCTTGTGTAGATCAACTATTGATGGAGCGGTGATATCCTGTGCGACATCAATATAAGAGTTTTGAGGGGATCGTAGTCGACTGCTTCGCTTCTTTCTCTTCTTTTTCGATTCTTTTGACGCCAAGCTAAATGAGCCTGATACAGACCTCATACTCGCAGGCTTATCACTAAACTGATCTTCCGACTCCAGACCAGTCCCTCGACGGCTGCCTAACGCCATAGCAAATTCATCATCTAACGGTACCGCATCTTCCTCCTCATCGCTGGGGATCAGATCACCACGCGAACTCAAAGAATTTGCAGTTTCTCGTGATGACTGGGTTGAGCTGCGGTACCTTCCGGTTTTGCCGTTGGAACTCGGTCCTTCATTCTCCTCCTCTGCCTCCATCAGAGGCTCGTCTTCATGTGCATGCATCCGCAGTCCGGTAGGATGCTCTTGCAGGTCAGCCACGGAGGGCTGATATTTTAAACCTCGGGCCCCGAACCTCCATGGGAAGCGCTCCAGGAAACCCAAAAACGACGAGCTTGGAATAACAGTCGGATCATTCCGATCATCTGGAACTAACACGCTACTTTTTCTCCTTGCCCGTCGCGTGCCATAACTCATCTTCCGTTGTCTGCGGGGCTGTTCAGAACTTCCACGCGTCAACCCACTGCCTGCTAATAAGCGATCAAGCTCATCAGTACCCCACCCCAGTAATCTGTCGTCGGCATCATCATTGTCCCAATCATCATAGAAGTCAAAAATTGCCTCGGCGCGGCCCCTGCGCCGACGACGAAGCTGGTCTTCCCGGCTCGGGAGGCAAGGTGCGGCACATGCGTAAATGCAGTTCCCTATCGTCGCAAAGCATGGTAGGATGTAGTGATGGGAGAACGTATACAGTCCTTCTTGAGCCGTCTCATTTGCAGTTTCGAGGTTATGAGATATCTGGTTGATAGTCTGGCGGACACGGGGGTCTCTGGGTCGCATCATCTTGGATGGTCGTTGATTCGTTGATAACCGTCACGCAACGGCTTTAGGTGCGGTGAGCACAAGTCACTACAACGTCACCTAAGAGGCCCCATTGAATTATCAGGATAGTCAGTGGAATATTTCGCTGCTGCCTATTCCCGTCCGGAAACTTCTAAGATATCCCATTAAAAGTACGCGAGGTGAAGTGATCCTGGGGTCGAGATGAGGCCTGAGGAACGCAACCTCTAGTCTCCACGATGTCATCACCTTACCTTAGTCAGCGGGGCACGTGCCTATCCAAAGATAGTACACAACGCCTAGCCATCGATTTGCCCAACTAGTTCTTAATATAGATATATCTCGCTTCATCATGGTTTATTACATCCGTTTTCTCAAAACCCCAAGAATCCAGAAGCAGAAAGCAGGGTCTTTGTCTGTTTCCGCGCTTATCTGCATCACCACCGACTTAGGAGATTCGTTTCTAGCACAGGATGTGAATTTAGTCGTATCATTGAGCCTCCAGGATTCGGAAAAGGTTCTACATCAGGAGCCATTGAGTTGGAAAGCTGGCAAACGGGAACTTGCTATATTAATGGGACCGTTTCATCCACAGCTTTCCCAACATGCCATTGTTCTGAGTGTTGCTGCAGCTGATCGTCGAAAGCATCATCCGCCTTCCCCAGACAATCTACTAGGGAACCCCGGTGTTCCCCTAGTGATTTCTGGATGGAGCGCACCTTTTGGTGGGCCAGAGCCCTTGGTAGCTGAGAAACTCGTCGAAAGACGCTTTGGGCCGAAGGGTCATCTAGACCTCAGGATATGGGAAGAAACCGGAAATAGCATTGCCCGTCATATCTGGTGAGGCCTTTCCATTCCGATATTATACCCGTGCCTCTAAGACTAGGAACCAGGGATGCAGCCATTGCATCAGTGATCTATCTCCAGCAGATAGCTGCAGGAGACTCAACAATCACAGTACCACTACTTTCAAAACTACTACAACTAGAACGCAATGCCCCTCTTCGTGTCATCGAACTGGGATCAGGGTGCGGTATCGTCGGGATAGCATTGGCGCAAATGCTTCCTGAATGCTCCACCCTACTCACAGACCTGCCAGAGGTCGAAGAGATAGTAACACAAAACATAGCAGTTGCCAAACCGACACCGTCCTCCAACCTTGAGTATCGAACCTTGGACTGGGACGAAGCGCTCCCAGAAGACCTTCGTAACGACTCTATCGACTTGGTCCTTGTATCAGACTGTACCTACAATGCAGACAGTTTGCCTGCCCTAGTTTCGGTCCTGGACCGTCTCGTTCAGTCATCACCGGATGCTATCATTCTTGTGGCTCTGAAGAGACGACATGACAGTGAGACCATTTTCTTTGACTTGATGCAGTCGTCAGGGCTCTCCAATCTGCATCATGACAGCATGCAATTGCCCTCGCAACACGACCAGTTTGACCAGATTGAATTGTATTGTTATGGAAACAAGACAAGACACCCAAAACCCATCGCGACATAAAAGGCCTCCCAGTTCATTAACAATTCGCCTGACTCAAAAGGATATGGCAAACACTCTTTCGCAGTCGTACTTGCTGCTACGGGATGACGGACAGTATGTTTCGTATCCCGCTTCTACTTCTCGCTTTTCTTTGGACCCTTTCCGCTCTGCTGTAACTGGCCGCCGGGATAATGCGTTCTCGTCATTTTTAACACATACATAATAGCTAACCATGAAGTAGTTATGGCTACTCGGCAGCTAACGGCACTCTTGTAACTGCATATGCCTACGCCGATTTTGCGCACATGCACTTGCACATCGGCTTTCAGTGTTGGGCGCTTAGGTAAAGATTTATCATAGCAAGAGACATCACTTACGAAAGATATAAAATACCCTCAGAAGTATATGGGCTTGTTTTGGAAGGCCAACGTTTTACACCACAAGGTTCCATTCGTCTTTCCACAATTACAAGTACTCTGCAACTTGAGACTAAGAATTAGTTCCTTGATGCAATAATTTCCCCAAATCTATCCATGTTGTCAATTTCCATGGTCATTCAGGTATTTCGATGGCTTCTGCCAAGACGTCCTAATCAGGCAGATCAACTTCTCAGTTGGTGAGAAACTACTCCTTCACTTTCTACCTAGATAGGATCGAACTCTCCCTTCCGACACCTACGTTTTTGAACTTCGGTTATGAGGCAGCAATCCTTTGATTTGATTGTGCTTCCAGATACCTGACGCCTTGACATCGTTCCAAATTTTGTGTAGGGAAAAGCGGCCTCTTGAGCGGATTGGCCGACGTCTTTGGCTCCCTACTCGGGAAAGGACTTGCTCAAGGGTAGAGTCAAGAGGTATGAAATCTGAATCACTGCTTAAGGAAGTATTGTGAAAGGTATCGTAGGCTATACCAGGTAACATGAGGCGATGCTTGTTCCCTTTGAAAATTTGCTTGCTAGCAGTGAGACTGTGAGAACGAGATGGAGGCATGACGGGCAACCCATTCCCAGGATACCTCGACTCGTTTGAACTACAACGAGCATTCCAGGAACATCTCCTTGAAAAGGCACTAAAGTTTGCCGCCAATGTCACAGCACAGAGAGGGAGGAAACCCAGACGGACAGAGTCGTTCATTGTTCCACTAGAAGGTTCACACGGAGGTATAAACGAAGCCTTGACGCAAAGAGCCCACAGATCTGCATATATGCGACAAACAACGTAGACATCGCCGTCCACCATCTCGAATTCATCATACTGTCGTTCGTGGTCAAGCAAAGTATACGAGGGATCGATGCAAATGACCAGTGATCCCTCTTGTAGAGCCCATCTCTCCCCAGAATCAAGCCGTATGTCCTTTTGGAATTTCAAGCGTGTGCAAAGACCTGGTTTTACTTGACGATAGGAACACTCTGATGGGCGAATGTTCGGCAAAGGCTCGTCTGAAGATAAAGGCCGGTCCAGCCAGCTGCTCGCAGTGATTGAGGTTGAGTTGCGCCACTTTGGCTTGCAATCTTCCCAGCCTACCTTTGTACACAATCAATTAGTATGGCATACATTTCCCGAGTGCAATGACATCTCTCACTAGAAGAGGAACACCCACTGATACTGACACATTAGCATCGATACCAGCAAGGGTATCCGCGGTGGCAGCTGTTACTTGGCAGGAGACGCCGTGGTCATGGTTTATTGACCAAGGGTTGGTCCCACGTTCCTTATACAGGGCGTCCAGAGTCTCGCGGAGACTATCACTATCGCAATTACACTCTTCCTCGGATTTATAACACGTTTTACAGCCTGCAACGGCCGTAGGCTGGTCCTCCGTCTGAGCCGAACTGGAGACCCAAACCGGAGGCCGATGGAAATAGACACCATGCCGACGCTTTCGAGCCACAGAGTCCTGCGGGTATTCTGAGTCCGACCAGTCGCTGAAATCCGCAAACAAATCATCAGAGGAATCTGAACTTGACGTATCCGCGTAACGCGCACCCACGAGATTTTGGTTCTTGTCCATGCATGAGGCCGTGTCAGAGCCGAGCATGTTTGTGTATGCAGCCATATTATATACTAAAATAAGTCAGACGAGGAGAAGATATGCAACAAATATTATGTCTGCGCTGTAACCTTGTAGTTCTGTGAATGGTTGAAAGCATTGAGCGTGTTTTTTCCTATGGATCTTAAGCGAGGCCATGGCTTGTTCGCAGCTGCCCTCGCATGTAGACAAACACTCGTAGACCCCCAAGGAAGGTGCACTATACCTATCATTTCTATCAAGACATCTATACTGCTAATGAGGACATCATATTTAAGCACCTTAGGACCCTCAAATCCTTGTACCAAGGAAACGCTCAACCTGCCCATGTCAATTCAAAACAGTAATCACGACGAATCCATAGCCCCAAATTATTTATATCAGCCGCGCGCCACTCATTAACCATTGATCCGATATGAAGCCCAACATGACCGATAGAAAGGGTCCAAAACCCGAACCTCGGCATAGGCGATAGCAAAACAACCGACCGACCAATGACATTACAATACTTCCCCTCCGCGTATAAAAGGGCGGGGGCAGCAAGTCGTTCCAGACCCCGAACTCCATCTCAATTAACCATAACAAGTTCCCAAGGCGTGCTTGAACGCTACCCAAATTAAACACCATGGCTGCACCCCGGATAACATTATATTTGGATATTGTTAGCCCATTCGGGTATATCGCATTCCATGTATTAAGAGTATGTGTGCCATTATGGCAATACAATATAACACCTAAAGACCCATTTACAAATAAGCGTATATGTATCTGGATGGAGCTGGCTGACACTATCGGAAGAACTCCCCTGTCTTCGCCAAGTGCAATGTCACCTATGTCCCCATCTTCCTGGGAGGATTGATGAATGCCTGCGGAAATACGCCTCCAGTGAAGATTAAGAGTGAGAGATCACCTCTGATACCATCTACCTTGACCACAACATGGCTAATATTGTTCTTAAATCTAGACAAGGATGTCTGGATCGGAAAGGAACAGCTCCGTTGGGCGCGTTACTTCTCCGTTCCCATGATCGAGAGCACCCCGGAAGGCTTCCCGCCATTGACTTTGGCGACGGAACGCGCGCTCTGTGCCGTCTCGGTGAAGTCGCCGGGGAAACTTATCCCGACTATCGAGGCCCTCTATCATTCGTTCTGGGTGCAGGGGAACGCTAAGATCGGACAGGTCGAAGGGTTTACTCCGGTGCTGGAGAGTGTCCTGGGGAAGGATGGGACTCAGGAAATTCTGCAAGCTGTTCGTGAATTCTGGACTTCAATATGGTGGTATATTGGCACATGCTAATTGCGGATTCACAGATGAACCACGCAGAGGTCAAGGAGCGGTTGAAGGCGAACACAGATCAGGCTTTTAAATCCGGTGCTTTTGGCATTCCTTGGTTTGAGTGCACCAATACCAAGGGCGAGACGGAGGGTTTCTGGGGAATCGATCATCTCGGCCAAGCGGCAGACTTTTTGGGTCTAGATCGCAGTTCGGACAGGGGATTCAAAGCGGTTTTGTAGAGTCGCGTGGAATTGTGGGAGTTCAGGGAGCATATATTATCCACATGGGTGCACATTTTACTTCATATTTGGTTGTTTCTCTTTCAATGCGGTTCTTTTGTAAGATTGACGTTACTCATAAAGTTGACACATAAGCCACTATCTTCTCCTTGGTAGACGAGCATCGCTTCTATTCTTTTCTCGGAGGAACTCGGCAATCTTCTCATTGTCCATCTTGTCAATACGGTCGATCTCGTCCTGGCTGGGTGAGGTATCGACTTCTTCAAAATAATGTTAGCCCAACAAGGTAACATTGGGGAGAGAATGGATTAATTCACCTTGGGTTTCTTTATTACTTCCGGTAGCTATCGAGCGAACCTGCTCCCAAACGTTCTGCACGGACTCATTGGAGGCCACAGTTGTGAGTTTGTTCTTAACCTCATTGATCGAACTGCCCGCGACACTGGCGATACTATTCGTGACATTCGTGAGTGAGCTCTCCGAAGCCGTGGAATCATTACGCGGCGCATCATAGGCCTGTCCTTGAGTCGCTGTAGTCGATATTGTAGTGGACGCAGTAGACGCAGTATGGTCTGCAGATGCAAAATTCTCAGTTGGCTCCATGACTAAAATCGTACCCACTCAAACCAATATCAAAAAGTTTATCTGGACATGATAGTCTGTGAAAAAGTAAACCTGAGGCTATTGTTATCTACTTAACAGCCCATTATTCCGCCGATGACATCAACGGAGAGGAATGATATCATTGGAGCCAGCCCTACAAGGCTGGGCCACACGCATGGAACCACATGGGTTCCCGCATTAGGAAACAATCAACTATGCTAGGCAGCCATATTCTCTTCTTGATCTCCTGTCCTCAATTTGTTCAACCGTGGGGTGGAACAAGTTGAAGTAATGGACGCGCAATGGATTGACTCGACGTCGGCTATAGTCATCAATCCGAGACAGGCGGTGGGAAGTGGCAGAATAGTGTAAAGATTGTTTTCCCCTTTGGGTTAGTGAGCAGGGTTCCCCTCGTCGGTCTCCGGTGCGGAGATCGAGTCTGTACATCCGGCCTTTGCTGCATGATTGCTTTTATCTCCGCCAATGCCAGAACCAGACACACAGCACAGTTCTAGAAACACCGTATCAACTGTACAAGATGTGATATAAATACTGGAGAGGTACCCCCTCTCTCCATGTACCTCATTTAGAACAATAACAACTAAGCCCCCTAGTATAACCACCAAAATCAACATAACATCTACCCCAGATAACCACCCTCAAAATGTCCTTCCCATACAAGCACTTCCTCCTCATCGGTGCAACCTCAGGCATCGGCAAAGCAATGGCCGACCGCCTCATCCAAAGCGGCGCCAAAGTAACAGCAGTAGGAAGGCGTCAAGACCGACTAGACGAGTTCGTGCGTCAACACGGCGAAGACAAAGCGAGTGCAATCAACTTCGACATCGGCAAAACAGAACAAGCGCCTCAGTTCGCCAAAGACGCATTCACAAAGTACCCAGATATCGACTGTGTTTTTCTCAATGCAGGCGTGCAACGGCGCTACAACCTGACGAGCCAGGAGACATTCAAGCTGGACGAGTTCCTCAATGAAGTCCATGTCGATTTCACGAGTATTGTGACTCTTGCTCATGCTTTCTTACCTTATCTTACGGCGAAGACGGAGCCTGTTAGCTTTATTTTGTGAGTTCTTTTTTAAAATTATATAGAGATATTGTTGGTGTATGAACGAACAGGGGCTGATTTGATCTAGTACCGGCACAAACCTCGCCATTGTCCCGGCTTGCCCAATGCCGGCTTATTCGGCCGCGAAAGCGGCGCTGAATGCATTCATTCTTTGTTTCAGGGAGCAACTCAAGTCGACGAATGTCAAGGTGATTGAGTTGTCTCCTCCCGCTGTGCAGAGTAAGTTCGGTTATTACTTGTTTTCTCGTTCTAGACTAATATGCTCATAGGCGAACTCCACGACTACATGACACCTGAGGTGGGACGTAAGGTCGGCATGCCATTGGATCAATTCATCGACGAGGCATTTGGTGAGCTCCAGGCTGGTAAGGATCAGGTTGTAGTTGGCAGTATCGCAGACGAGAAGATGTTCTATGAGGTCCTCAACAAGCGACGGGATTTGTTTGAGATTTTGTCGAAGTTGATGGGCTCGGCTTAGAATGTTAATACAGTACACAGAGAGGACTACTAAGTATATACCATGCAGGACAGAGAGCTTGGACTTTAGACCTACCTAAGAGCGCTGTGCGGGCCGGGATCTGTGATCTAGAATATCGATATGGAGGTCAAACTAATATTGGAATGTATAGTTGCTCTATGGTTATCATATGGAAATATTGTAAGATGACGAGATAGACAGTGAATCTAATTTGAAGTTATATAGCTCGATTAATATTGAATATGAGGAATATTTAAACTATCAGTTACTCTTTATTGAAAATAACAAAGGTCTGGTGGCAATACTAATGCCACTCATTAGAAAGCAAGACTACATATTAGGGCTTTTACCAATTGGGAATAGCGGCGCCCGCCGGCCGCATTGCCCCTCCGCCGCTTTTAATCAGAATCAAACCATTCTTCCCGATCAACCCATGCATTCGCTGCTTTTCTGTCTACTGTCTTTACCTCGGATGTTATAGAGTTAGACTTGTTTTCGCATCGCATATACATACTCGCTACAAAAAAAAAAATAGACCCATAGACAAGAACCCCGATTCATTCCAACCGACCCATACGGTATAAAGCGAAAATGTCCCCGATCCCTATCACTATCGTGACCGGCTTCCTGGGCTCAGGAAAAACCACCCTCCTCCTTAACCTTATCCCCCAACTCCCACAGAACTACCGTCTGGCCCTTTTGAAAAATGAATTCGGCGACGTTGCGATCGACTCCCAACTAGCCTCGACACAATCCATCTCCGGCGTCCGCGAACTCCTGAACGGGTGCATCTGCTGTAACCTCGTCGGCCAACTCAGTGATGCGCTGAACCAGCTCCGTGAGGAGGTCAAACCGGATCGCATCGTGATCGAGACCAGTGGGAGCGCGTTCCCTGCGACGTTAGCGATGGAGGTGAACCGGTTGGAGCGCGAACAGCCGGGCAGCTTTGTGCTGGATGGTGTGATCAGCGTGATTGATGTGGAGAACTGGGAGGGATATGAAGATACATCGTATACGGCAAAATTGCAGGCAAAGTACACGGATTTGATCATTTTCAACAAGTGGGAGAAGGTGTCGGAGAGGCGATTCGATCTTTGTCTGGATCGCGTGGGAGATCTGGAGGTGCAAACGCCGTATGTGAAGTCGGACAAGGGAAAGGTGGACAAGGATGTGCTGTTGGGGATTGATGGGGCTTTGTTTGCGAAGGATGATGGGGCTGGGCTTACCGACGGGCATCATGATCATGACCATGATCATGGACATAAGCATGATCATCAGTCCGAGGTGGAGGTGCTTTCTGTCACGCTGAAGTCCTCCCAGCCTGAGCAGACAGTTGATGTATCTGCCCTAGAGCAGTTGCTGCTCTCTGCGCCCAAGGATGAAGTCTATCGGATTAAAGGTATCATGCGTTGCTCTACACAATCGCCCCCGGCTGAATCGTCGGATGCCCTGGCCGAACCCAGACCCGCTGCGTCCCAGGAGGGAACGATCAGGCATTATATCCTCAACTGGGCCTTTGGTCGTTGGACCTTCACACCCTCCGAAGTTGTTGCAGAAACGGCTGACCCAGGCGTGGCTGCTCGCATCACATTCATTTTGGCCCGGTACGAGTCCGGAAAATGGAAGAAGAAGCTGGAAGCCGGTGGCTTGGTCCAGATTGGAGAGGGAAATGAAGGGCCGGGGCTGGTTGTTGAGCGACTTGTCTAGACGGCTGTGGTATCTTCTTCTCTTTTTGATTTTGAAGTGGAGCTGGCTTCCGCGATGCTGACGACTGTCATTGAACATAATATGAAATGAGGATGTACATGGTGGTGATCATGAACGGGTATCATGGATGGACCACGAGTTACAAAAGAGAAAGGAAATAGAAATCTATATGAATAAAATAGACACGAAACGATGCGCCGTTCGTCTATGTCCAGGGCATTGGTGAACGATTAAATCTATGCAAATTCAAGAGTTGGAAGGACAAATGAGGGTCTATACAATATGAAACTCAATTCAAATCGCGAAATCTACTTTGTCAAACACAATGTAAACAAAAAACTGCAGTCAGAGCAACACAAACAAGTTTCCAAGAAACGGCTCTGTAATCTCCCCCACATTAACAACCCACAAAACAACGAGCGTAGACACAGAGCCAAAAAAAAATCAAGTACTAGTACTCGAGGAGAGCAGAAGCACCGGCTTCGCTCGAGATGTAGATCACCTCGTGATTGTCAGAGAAGCCGTTGAAACGGGTGGCGCTACACTTGGTATACGCCCCCATCTCCTCGAAGAACAGCCAGTCACCGACGTCCAACAGGCCAGGCAAAGTGATCCGTTGGCTGATAACGTCGATGCCATCACAAGTGGGTCCCCAGATAGAGTAGGCGATGCCACCCGAAGTCGCAGCATTCGAGGCATTCGCACAGGTCAGAATCTGGGCCACCGGATGCTGGTGGTCAAAGATGATGTTGGAGAAGTTCCCGTAGACCCCGTCGTTCAGATAGATCATGTATGCATCGTGGGCCGGGTTCTCGGGGTCTCGCACGTCGCGACGGGCGATCACATTGGCGGCCAGAGTGAATGCGGTCGCCACGTAGTAGCGACCGGGCTCCGCGATGACACGAATATGAGGCGGGAAATACGTGTCCAATGCCTCACTCAGGACACCAGCAAACTTTTCAAAAGTGTCCCCGGTAAAGCCGCCACCGACATCCAAGGTGTGCAATTCGTGACCAATTTCAGCAGCCTGGTCAAACACCATCCGCGCATCCTGGACCGCCTTGACGAAAGCAGTCGGGTCTTCCGCGCCCGAGCCGACGTGGAAGCTGACGCCAACCACCTTCAGCTCGAGCTCGTGGGCCAACTCCAGCAGTTGGCGGGCGATGTCCAGAGACGCGCCGAACTTCATGCTCAAGCGGCATAAACTGGTGGAGTCATCGGTCAGGATGCGCAGATAGAGCTCCGCATCGGGGAAGCAGGCCTTGATCTTGTACAGCTCGTCGGCATTGTCGAAGGTCATCTGCTTCACGCCCATCTGAGCGGCGTAGCGCAGATAGGACTTGGTCTTGCAGGGCTGCGCATAGATTATGCGGCTGGGGTCAACGCCCGTGTCAAGAGCCATGTCGATCTCAGCCTTCGATGCACAGTCGAAGCCGTTACCAAGCTTGGCCATCAGGCGGAGAATCTCCGGGTCCGGGTTGCACTTGACCGCTAGTATGCCCGTTAGCCGTGCACGTTCATACTCCAAACGCGTGGTCGGCACTGGATCCAAACCTACCATAGAAAGGCCTGACGCGGCTCAAGTTCATTTTCCAGCGTAGATGCTGTCGGTAGACCTCGCCCATGTCCGCCACATAGAACGCATCCTCGTCCCCAGGGGCGCAACGGTCGGTATTGACTTCACCGGCGCGTTTCTTTAACACGTCCAAGACGAGATCCTTGGCCGCCAACCTGGATTGCGAGAGGTCATCCCCTCCATTGTTGCTGATTTGACTCAAATTATGGTTATAATTAAAGTCAGATTTGTCTTGACTATGCTTAGTCATGCATATCTCAGCAGGGATACACGCAGTCGGTGCCATAACCATGTGCGCTGCGACGATGCACAAAGGTGAAAAGTAAAAAGATTAAAAACAAAAAAGTGTTGAGTTACGCGACTGCGTGTTAAGGAGGGCGAAAACTTTCGCAACCGTAGTTGACTGGACCAAGCCTCCTAGACCCTTCCTCCTCAAGAGGAAGAACCTTCAGAGAAGTCCTATGCGGCAGCTCAGGGGGCGAGGGGATGAATTGCGAGGGCGTCAATGGGTTAATAAATGGCGCGCCGGACGAGAACACACGAGGGGAAACCAGCAGGAGGTGGTATGTTGTTAAGAGTGCAGCGGGGACGTCGAGGATAGACAATTTGACGGAAACGTACGAACGAGGCTCCGGGAGCCGTGGTGAGCTAGAGCCTTTGGAATTGAGGTGATTCCAAAGGCCAGTCGTAGGTGCGACGGAAAGTCAGGTAATAGGCGGAACAGAGTCGGCCTAGAAAATGGGGACCTGACGCAACAGAACCAGAACCAGCGGTCAGCAAGGTTGGAAACGAAGCTCTGACCCTCAACTGGAGTGAGAGATTTAATGACGCGGGGAGAGGAAAAAGGGAAGAGGTCGTGAAGTGCAGAGTTTTTTCATGCTGGACGACCCGGGCGTTCGGTGGAAGCGCACTTAGGGCAAAGGGCTCACACCGTCAGGCAGAAATTGGCAGGGGAGGGGTGGAAATCATTCCAGATCAGGAAGAGACTGAGCGTCGGCAAGGATGGTGTCGGCATCCTCAAAGGGGGAAAAAAAACACTCACCTGAAAAAAGCAATTGGGTATGATGGGTAGAGGGAGGGGGAGAGAGAGAGTCGTGCAAAGAAGAGAGGCTTTTTTTTTTAATTCGGTCACCCAAGCTGAAGAAGGCTGATGACTGATGATTGAATCAACGTTGGTTCTCGTGGGGGTGCTTACGGCATCTCCCGAAAAGACTTGACCCCCTCTTAGGGTATCCATACCGTCCCGTAAGTTTTCCGCCAGTGACCACCGCAGCGTCACATCCTGTATGTAATAATGTATCATGCTAGATCCATGCATGTCGGTTCCTGCTGTTCCAGCTTCGCCCCTGCAGGTCTGGACGTAGTCGATCCTCCCGGTTGGTGGGATTGCTTGGATCCATGGACATCCCATCCCCTCCTCCCCCTCCCCAAAATAAACATAAATAAAGAGAATAAAATTGAGAAATGGAATTTAACCTTTAACCAGATTTTTGATCAAGGATAATCGGTTATTTCCCTCATTGCCAATCACAAAACTTCTGAGATCTAAGTCCGAGTCCGGATTTTAGGCAGACCATCATTGATCATTTTCTCTCTTCATTTGAGTTTCCGTGGACGTCGGGTCTGGAATCTATGCATATCATGAGGAACGTATTGAACTTTATCACTCCGAGTTAACCCCCTTTCATTCATGCCTGCATCATTCTCAGCTCCATTGTCGAAGCCGACATCTTGCCTGCGCCTCGGGTATAGAAACGGTTCCGCGATGTAATAGATTATATTCCGTGTTCGATCATTGGTTGGTCTGGTGATCCATCTGAAATGTATTACCTCTGGAGCTCCTCACGGGAGCTCCATCTACAGAATCCACCTGGAGGGGCACATCGGCATGTCACGTGCTTTGTAGTTCCCTGTCATCAGCGACTCTACGTGACATGACGACGATGATTCAAACTGTCGTTATTGGAGTTACATCTACAATTTGCTCTTCTTTATATGTACATCCAATTTTTGAGATCACCAAAAATATAAAAATGGTAAGTTGTATCCTAATCAGCCTTTACCATTTCTAGATTCCGATTGTGCAAATCACACTTGAGGGAAAATACCATGACTAAACTACACCTTTCCTTTGTAGACTTATTTCTTTTCCTTTTCCTTTTCCTTTTCCTTTTCCTTTTTTCATTTTTTTTTGTTGTTGTTCTCTGGTTCAGCTTAGGTGTGACCAGTGTTGTATGACAAATAATCTCACTTCTTGGAAGAATAAAATCAGAGCTTTTAATGCGTCGTATTTAATAGTGAACTTGAATACACTAGACTGCTCCAAAGTCTACTTCACTGAGTTCCAACTGGTTCTTCTATCACGTATAAGGATTGCTCCTACAAATAACATAGTCAGGTCAACCAAAATGACTACATGGGCTCGATCGGAGAAAACTACACCAGATACGCATAGTTGGGATGGATGATGGGTTTAATAGAAGCGGGTGAGCTCAATCTGGAAGGGTGGAGATTATCTCGTAGCGCGAGAAAAGTATAAGTACTTAACGAGGGCAATTATATGAGGTCCATATCTATCTCCTTGCTACTACATTACATGAAAACCAACTACTACTGACCACCTGCCAACTCCTTTTTTGCATTCATATACATAACTGGTCATACGGAGATTCCAGCTATCCATGTATCCATTGATGATATCGAGTTACCCTCGTGACAAGAAAGCGGGTAAGGACGAATGACCAGTTACTTTCTGTCCATTATCATTGACCGGCTCTTGGGAAACTCGGATCTATGAAAGACCTTTTTTTGACCGACCCATTGGTCAATCTCGAACAATGTTTTGGAATAGCTTTATTGTTGATATCAACGTGCCTTACAAGCATGATACTGTCTCTCGGTATTTATATTTATGCCAGATTTCGGTCACTGTCGGGATGGAAAGTTACATAAGGGTTCTTTGGCTATAGATGGTTTTACGTCTATCAGTGATTGGTGATTCCCTAAGGGGAAAGACTGTGTGGTAGCCTTGTTACCGCCGATGAAGTATTAAGACCGCCCATGTGCAGTATGGTAGCATATTCTCTGAATGCCCGCAAAGGGGTACGCAAAAAAGCTCTTGGATTACAACCAAGTGAGTAAATATGTACTAAAACATGGGGTGAGAAAAAAAGGGGGTGTATCAGGTATCAGTTGCGGTCACGATGAGCAAAGCAGTCTCAAGGAAAGGGGTATATAGAGATGGATTGAAGAAAAATGAAAATTGTAAGATAAAAAAACAAGAAAAATCTTCAGATAGTAAGAAGACCCATCACAGCCAGAGTACCCACCTAACACCAGATATTACTCCTCGGAAAACACCGCGTAAAAGCTTGAAAGCCATGACAATTAACCATACCCACCACAATATTCCAACTAAGGCCCATTCGAGCATCACAAATCCGGTACGTCGTATCCAGCGTAACCGGCGATGGCGCCTCCGAATTCCTTTGTCGAGCGTGTCGCTCAGCTGTTTCACCGCGAGGGTGCTGGTTGTATTGAGCTGAATGCTCAAATCTTCCGCATCTTGTGCGGCAGCCCGCACACGTGGATTGAGCGAATTGTTAACGAGATCTTCAAGTTCGCCGAGGTGAGATCTCAGAGCTGACGTTTTAGCACCAGGATAACCATCCATCGATCGCTTGAAGAGCTCCTCCGACTTCTCAAACCTCTTTACTAAGGCTTGAATAGCAAGATCGAACTCATGCGACCGGGGCACCTCCGGAATTGGCATGTCGGAGCCAAACGCGCGTCGAAGAAACTCAGGCGGAGGACTTCGTACAGTATGAGCCCGGCGAGTGATCTCTCGCGCCTTGATACCTGAAGAGAGAAGGAGCGCACGGGTACGTTCGACTTCTCGTTTTGCCGGGACGCCGGATTCTATCGAGGTAGACACACTGCGCTCAGAGATACTCCAGCTTCTGGACTGGCTGGATGACGTGGAACGCCTTTCGTGGGAGGACGGTTCATGTGATGCCTTTGCTTGTGCAAGGCCCGTGATCGGGGGCCGAGTGAGGCTGTATGGCACAGATGGATCCTTTATCCGGCCTTTCTTAATTTGTTCTCGGATAGTATGTAGCTCAGGGCCAAAAGTCGGAACCTTCTGGGGTTTCTTGCGGGCATCGGGCATCTTCTGCTTAGATATCAATAGAGCTTCATCTTTGCTTTCGGTATCCCTCGTGCTCTTCATCTCTGACTCCGAAGAAGCCTTTTGAGGACTACCCAAGTCAGATCTGCTATGGCCCTCTGATTGATCGCCCTGGCGGGCGGGAGATGGAAAGGGTGACGGCGCAGATAGGTAATTTTTCCCAGATGCTTTTTCCAACTCCCCACGAGCTGCCAGACTGAAGTCCTCAGAGAATGTGGGGAGACGGCGTAATGGGGCCTTGAGATCAGGGGCCCTATCACCTTTTGATTCTTCGGCATCGGTTAGGATATTCTCATCATCGGACGTGACGTGTGATTCAAAAGAAGATTGTCGCGAATGGGCCAAGGAATCTTTCTTTAGAATAAGACCACCCATTTTTGACACTTCATTACCAACCTTTTCAGCGATCTTCCCAGGGCCTTTGAAGATGCCACGGAGTTTGGACTCATGCTGTGCCAGGCCTTTCCGTACTTGCTGGCTCGATCTTACCCGGCCATCTTGATGCGTAGAGGGAATTTGATTTGGAAGTGGGCTCGGCTCCAGTCTACCAGTGCGAAGCAAGCCCTCTGAGTATTCCGATAAACTGTTGTTACGTAGAACCTCTGATTCTAGGGAACTATTGTCGACGGCATCTTTAGGTCGCGAGTTGCTCTTGCTTCTCTCCCGGCGAGGGATGATGGCACGTGGGAACCGTCCTTTCGACGGGGATGGTGACCGGCTTGATGGAGGCGACAAATTGGATGCAATACTCGGAAAGAAAGTGGGTTGAATAGGCGTGAGCGGCGCTCTTCCATCGGCTGTTAATGAGGATGTCAAACGGTCATAGCGGTCATCCACACTTGGCGCTGAGGATATAGACTCCCTTTGTTCTTGGGATTTAGTACGGTCCGAATCTTTCCAAGACCGTTGAAAGCTAGAGCTCTGTGGCGACATATTTTTCATCTCTAGAGAACTCTCTTCATCTAGTGGGGCGGCATATCTTTTTGCTCTTGATGGGTCGGGCCTTTGAGAAGTAGACCTCTTGGGGGATGCCATACTCTCTCCCTGGTATTTCCAATATTGCTTGTCATCTCGGCTTGACGCGCTTGCAGAGCTGCTTGATCGCCTTCGGAATTTGTGTCGTCCACCACTGCTGCGAACGATATGAGAAGGACCTTGAAATCTATGCCGCCGTCTTCCCCGTCCAATCCGTTTGAACTCGGGTGTCAGCCCAGGGTGAGCGTCCGATAAAGAAGTGCGGGAGGTCGGCTGGTCTGTGTCTACCGACTCCCGCCTGGATGGGAGCTCTTCTTGAATGCTCCTAGTTTTGGTTTTGAGGGCATCGGATGGGATCAACATTACGGGATCGGGGTATAGATTATTCCCATCCTTATCGATAAGCTTGCTTTTATTTTGTATATCCTCGACCCATGCGACATCAGCCAAAAGTTCTGGCGGGGAGACCATCCAATCAGATTTTGGTCTGCGAGCCTTTACGCTGCTCGCACGACTGGCTCGCCTCAGACTGGAGGAAGGAGAGGCTGCTATAATCTCATCATCCTCCGGTTCTTTATGTGACACGTCCTTCGAGCCTTGATGGAAAGATGGGAGCTTCAAGCATTCGAAAGTGCTATGATCTTGTTGATTGTACTGGTCCCTGATCAAGTCGACCCATTCATGAACTTTGCCGACATTGGTCCAGCCCTCTGCTTCCGTATCGATGGGACATCGCTCGCGGAATCTAACTTTGCGGTTTCGGATGGATTGAAGAGGGTTGTACGAGCGACCTGGAACGGCGACGCCATCACCCCCTGAAGTAGAATCTGGGTCTGCATGTGCCTCGTACGGTCTCAGAGCAGGAAGCGAAGGAAGCAATCGGAGATATTCTGAGAAGAGCTCAAAATGGCGCCGGGCCTTCTCAGCTCGAGCAAGCGTGCCGTCCGAAAACACGTGTGGCAGAGAGTTTGAATTGGCAGAATCGGGCAGCAAATTTAAGACAGAAGATGGTGCATGTACGGCGTGGTCCACATGTGAGGCACCCAAAAGCTTCGAGCGATCATCAACGGGCATCCGACTAAAGCTGCGTTGTGGATAAGGGCCGTCATTTTGACTGCCCAGTGCAAGAGGTGCACGGCTTTCACTCGGTGAAACAGAAGGCTGACCTGCAGACGCGGCCCATCCTCCTCCCGCAACGCGGCCGGAAGGCACTCGACCATGAGTATTTACTCTTCTAGATTCGCTCAAGTTCAATGCTAGATTGACGATTTGCAATGAGTCCCTATCCAGGCCTAGGGGAGCCTCGCTTCCGGCTTCCGTAGTTTGTGACGGATCAGGTACTGCATCTTGTCGCGAATGTAACGGACCAGGGGTTTCTTGGGAAACTTTTCTCTCCGGGGCCGCTGCTGGAGATTCCTTCACTGACTCTTTTTGGCGGCTCCAAGGAAATCGCGATCGCTTCTTGGGCACCACAATCTCCGAATCGGGGGGTGTTCCACGCTTCTCCCTTCGCTCCGATTCTGAGTGATGGGCGCGATGATAACTATGTCGGAGGCTACTTGATCTGGGCAAGAATGAAGAGTCCAGTAAGAAACCTCCTGAGCTGTGTGTTCGTCGAGATCCTCGGCCACCCTTATCCTCGTCGCGGGAGCTGTTACCGAGAGTGCTGCCTTCCAGCTCCCCACTCTCTCGTCCTTCGCTCATTCGCAGGCTCGTTTGCCGGCCGGGTTTGTCGTTGGATTCAAATCGACGAGAAGAGCGCCACGAGCCAGATCTAACCGGTTTCTCTTCCACTCTGGGGAGAGGATTTGGTGGCGTAGGCGATGCATCGGTCCTCTGCGACATCAGAGCCAAAGCGGAGTGTTGTTCGGTCCCGGGCGATAGAAAAGGGGGGGTTTGTGACGGTGATCGAGGGACTCATGAGGACCGTCAAGGTCAATACCGATAGCTTATCATATTCTGTTAAAGGGAACCTGGCGACACTATGAAGTTGAAGGATTTGAAGGCCCCTTTCATTGTCGAGGTAAATAGTGACGATCATTTTTAAGTAAGTTGTACTGTATTGTTATCTACCCCATACCTTTCCGTGACGACGGATTCCTGTAACAGGTATAGTGCGTCCACTCTTGAGGAAGTGCCGCCCTCGGGCAGCTGATTTTACTCCAAAGTAGTAAAGTGGTAATTCCTCTTTGGAACACTTTCTTAGTATGGCTGAATGCTACCTAGTGACATTTCTCTCTCACGTATAGAAGTCTAACCAGGAATATTTAGTTCTACATACAAAACGGCTGCCATTCTATCTTTCACTCATAATGAATGACACCGCTATCGATGCCTGTATAGACAACTTGGCTAAGGCATGATGATTGAAGTAGCTTACTGTGCCAGACGACGAAACTGCCCCCACAGTGGAACTATAACACTGGGAGAAGATGGTGTGGTGATGAAATATCATGGATTTGGAGTGGAGTAGCACCCCTTACTACCCACGCATGCATGTCCACTTCACTCGTCACCATTATTCTAGAGTAGTCTCGGCATGTCGAACATGCAAGCATAAGCTTTACAGACATCGTTGCGTGCGGGCCTGTAGAAAAGCACAGTGACGAGACAAAGGGAAGGGTCTAGTATTGAGGTCTAACGACACAAGAGAACAACTAGAGGTACAGGTGCTGTGAATAGAAGACAAGAAAATTACAGGAAACAAGGAATCGACGTTGTTCATTGATCTATTCAACTCTCAGGCACTGAAGACGAGCCTCAGTTTCAATGACCTGCCAAATCAATGAGTTAGCTTGGAATTGTTAAGGAGGAATGACATTATGTTTAGGAACCATACCTCTAGAGCTTGCTTCACTTCCAGGACTCTGCGCACGTCTCCGAGCCAATCCTTGCTCAAAATCTTTGCCCACCCCTTCAGGCTGTTCATCTCACGTGCAGCGGCATCAAGGTCACCTTCTTCCAGGAGGCTTTCGGTGCGAACAAGGACACTCTCAACGTCATCGCTGTGGGCAACAGGGTCCTTCTTGAACATGACCTTGCTCAAGACGAGGCTGGCAGCGTGGCTAGCAATCCCCGCATCCTCAGGCAGAAGGCTTGCCTTGCGAACCTCATCAGCGACGCGGCGGAAACGCTCAATGATCTGAGACTTTGAGGGAATGCCACGCTGGTATGCGGTAGGATTGATAGATGCAATCGCAGCCTCAACCACAGGGTCATCCGCAGCGAGTTCCTTCACAGCAACAAGCTCTCGAACAAATGGACGAGGGGCCGAGGAGCGCTCAAGGACGGAGCGGACTGCATCCACAGCGACTTGAAGTTGTTGGGTCTTCAGGTTAGTATCGATCACATCCTTCCAACTGCTAGTAAGCTTTTCCAGCTCGCTAACGTTGGCGGTCAGTTCGTTGAGCTTGCTAAGACGGCCCTCACGCTCTCGCTCGACAAGATCCTTCACCTCGTGGAGGTACTTGCGATTGAGTTCAATGGCTTGTTCAACTAATTCATTCTGAAGACGCTGTTCCGCAACTTCTTGAGCTCTCTGAAGCTCTGTCTGGATCTTCTCTTGGTAAGCAAAAGCCAATTTCTCCCGCTCCGACTCAAATTCCTCCCGGAACTGAGCAGCATCAGCCGCGCGCGACTCCTCAAACCGGCGGATAAGCTCGCGAGCAGATTCGTCGAAGGTGGCATGGGCTTTGGTGATCTCCTCCTGCGCTGCGCGACGGGCTTCTTCTCTGACCGCGATGATCTTCTCCCCAATTTTCTGGAGCTCCTCCTTGGCTTTGGCGACAGGCGTAGAGTACTTGCCAGAGTTCTCATCGGCACTAATAACAGTGATGATGTCGTTGAAAGTCTTCACCAACTCTTGCACAATGGCTTCATCTCCCTCATTGACCTGAGCGAACTCCAAGGTTGTCACAGCAGGCAGTGCTGGTTGTCTAGGTTCCTCGGCGTTCTTATCACTGCTCTTGGGTGCCTGATCCTTAGCGGCTTTGTCACTCTTAGCCTTCTCGACGGCGGCGGTCTTATGTTCAGGCTTAGCACTCTCGGTCTTGATTTGGGCTTCGTCACCCTTGACAGCACTCATATGGGGGCCTTTTTGAGAAAGGTCGCTTCCAGAACCCTGGTCCTCTGCAGCCTTCGAAGTAAGACCACTCTCTCGTGGGATTGTAACCTTCCTGCTCTCATCCTTATGTCCAGAGATGCGGGCCTGACCCTTCAGGGTGTTTGGGAAACGACGATAGAAGTCCCGTTCCTCGAAGTAGAGAACAGCCTCTTCGCCATATGGAATGTATTCCGTAAAGAAGTCATGGAAGTTGTCGGACTTCAATGCAAGGAAGACACCTCCACCGTAGGCGAAACCAGATGTGAGAATCAGGTAGAGAAGGAATCTTCGGAAACGTCCCGTTTTACGAGCCGGGGCGGTTGGGGGCGGTGGAAGAGTCTGAGAATCTGCGCATACTTTAGCAACGGAGGAGTCGATGTATTCAATTGACGATAGGAATCGAACCTTGCTCACTAGGCGATGGCTTGGGAACAGTCTCCGGGGGAATGGGTGTTTCGGATGACGGGGAGACAGGGGTAGGGGCACTGGTAGGAGGTTTGGCATCGGCAAAGAATCTCTGGATGGGAAAAAAATGTAAGTCAGTTGGTGTCGTGCAAGACAAGAATGCACATGGCATCGTCATACCTGACCAGAGAGCCGGCTGCTAGCCCCAGCTCTAGACAGCCATTGCGAAGCCGTCCGTTGGCGAACGGAAGACAACAGCAGCTGCCGACCCGGTGCAACAGAAGAGCGCAGCATGACGAGCCGCACTACTGTGAAGTAAGCGCTGAAGGCGGGTTCTGTTGAAGAGGGGATGTTGGCGAGAGTGAAAACGCGGACCGGAATTGGGATGATGCTTTTACGAACCGCTCCGATCTTGCACCGCCGCAGAACCTGTGGCTGGTGACCTCGGGAACCGTCGCACCGCCCACAGGAGTTGCCTGGGCAGAATATTCTCCGTGGAACTACTATGTCCAAAGGCCTACTTTGCACTTGGAGCTACGTGACCATTGATATAAGCAAAAATATAACACATGGTTATAAACTTCCCGTCAAGAATTCAAAGAAAAAACTTATTATATAGGAATAGCATACGGACGATCCCACGACGACCGGAAATAAGGGGAACAGATGTAACATGAATTCAGCTCAACAGGAAGACATGAATACAGACGCCGAGAACAATAAAGCTGAAAAAATAAAAATAAAATAAGGGCAACTGATATGTGAAGGAAAAGCACAAAGCGCAGGCACAGTCCTGCTGCATAATGTCTAGAAAGCCAGATCCAACTAGACCTTTGCACGATATCCGACTCCCTTCTCACTTAGTAGCTACAATCGAATATCATGGCCGGAAAAAATGAAAGAGAAATGGTGACTGAGATCAGCGAAGCAATCGTGCTCGGTCCCACAGCGACGACTGAATTCTCACAAAACTCCAGTGGGTCATGCCCATGATCATCACGACACCGATAGAGAATTAAGCATTCTGGTTTAAGTTATTGGTGGTGGCCCATAAGAGTCTCATAGATAACCTTGAAGACGTGCACCTTCCGTATCTAAAAATAATTGAAAAGGACGGGGGGAAAGAATGCGAAGATGGGAGATACAGCGAGACAAAGGCGATAGCTTGTGGTTAAATTTAGCATTGGCAGGAGTTGGCGCCCTGAGTGCCAGGGGCCTCTGGGCGCAAGTCCACACCCGGACGGGGGTTTGTGCGCAAGTTTCGAGGCCCGGCCTGATCGAGAGGAAGTTTTTTCGCAATTGCTGTAAACAGTTCCCGTACGTTCGAGGAAGTCTTCGCTGATGTCTCAAAGAAAAGCAAACCAGCTTCACGTGCATAGGCCTCGGCATCTGCAGTTGGGATAGCTCTCTTGTCTGGGTTCTCTGTGACAAGGTCGAGCTTATTACCCGCAAGGGCGATGACAATGTTCTCGTTCGCTTGGCGTTGTAACTCTTTCACCCACGACTTGGCCTTATCCAGCGATGACTATACGACGATTGCTATGTTAGTAATTCCTTGCTTCAAGTAACAAAACCGAGAGTCATGACCGGGGTCGTACAGCTTGTGTGATATCGTAAACAACTACTGCGCAGTTGGCGTTTCTGTAGTACATCGGAGCTAGCGACTTGTATCTCTCCTGACCGGCGGTATCCCATATTTCGAACTTGACCGTCGTGCTTTCGTCCAGGGAAATCGTTTGTGTTAAGAAGGCAGCGCCAATTGTCGACTCCCGGTAGTCATCGAATTGATCCTTTAACCAGTAAGCGACATCGAGCACCCAACTAAAACCGGATATCTTGAATATCGGAATGAATTCATTAGCTCTAAACCTACCTTGACAAATCTCAATACTAGCGAACTCTGTAATGAAAGACGTCAGCGACCGTCAAAATAACCAAAGCGAAGATAGGCCAACCTTTCCAACAGCGGATTCTCCTAAAAGGGGGGGGGACGATATGTTAGCTACTCTGATACTGATAACGCAGTAGAGAATATTCAAAAGAAATAGCTAACCAAGCAAGACAAGTTTGAACTGAGCGAATCTGGCACCAGGACGGGCGCCTGCTGCGGCTCTGGAAGCCATGATTTCTATTGTCGGAAGAGTAACTTTGTAAATAGGTAGAGCGGCAGGAAATAAAAATCGTACACAGATGGACCGTGAGAATAAAAAGCGCTAAACGTGGAAGATTCCTTTCGACGGGAAGGTTGGACTGAAGACGGGATCGGATGCTGGGAGGAGGTTTGATGGCGGGCTGCCGGTAAGGGTAGATGACGAAGGGATTCAGCCACACCTGGCCCAAGCCGACTGGCCGTTCTGCGGGGCGGTGTGGCGGCTTGGCTTAACCTATGTTGGCGGCAATTGGCAGGTATTATTATCACCACATGCTGCGTTCAGAGTTACAATACACAACACCCTAGGCTTTCTGAAAGATCGTCATTCCTGCTCCTGACAATCAATCTCTCTGCCTGAACCTTCTTTCTTTCCAATCATGCGGTGATTTTTTCCTTATATCCACCCATCCCACGTTCTTTAATTTAGTTTTCATATTCCTTCCTATCTACTTCGTCTGTATTGTTGTTATCATCATCTTTCCTTTCACCCCCCTCTTGTCTAGATAGTGAGCTGTCGCCAACAATGGCTACTACTCTCCTTCCGTTCCGCGATATCAACCTCCACGCCTCCTCCTCTCATTACGCTTTTACCTCGCCCTCTTCACCGAATGCTCCCACGCTTGTCGTTGACCGCCCAACGGGCGACTTACGATTGCATGATGGCACCCTTCCTGGTGCTAAGCGCATTTCCAGTATCGCCGGTATACTAGGCATGATCAAGTTGAAACTGGGTATGTCTGGTTGTAAACCTCGGCTATTAGCCTGACTTCTAATGTGACCCTCGCAGACAAATATATCGTCGTAATCACCAAAGCGCTGCCTATGGGTCGACTACGCGGACATATGGTATACAAAGTTGCAGGAACTGAGTTCTTACCCCTTCGTGAGCGCCCGCTACATGACAATGATGAGGACACGTATCTGGCGCTGCTAAAAGAGCTCCTCCGCACGGGACCGATGTATTTTTCTTATGCCTTGGACCTCACCAACAGTTTCCAGCGTCAGTCGCAAAGCGATGCTAGCCTTCCGATGTGGAAGCGAGCCGATGACCGGTTCTTTTGGAACCGCTTCATTCAATCCGATCTCATAGACTTTAGCCTCGGAGGGCATGATACAACGAGCGTACGCTATGGACCCCAGCCCGGGGCTGATCCTTATATTCTTCCTGTAATGTATGGAATGTTACGCATCACTCCGGCAAAGGTTAAGTCGACTACATTTACGTTTGCTCTCATTACGAGAAGATCTAGACACCGCGCTGGGACAAGATATTTCTCACGTGGCATAGATGAACAAGGCCACGTTTCAAATTACAACGAAACCGAGCAGATTGTGATCCTGAACGATGCGACTGGTGGGCTATCGGGTTTTGCTGGAGGGCAGTCCATGAAAGAAAAAGCTGGAGATTCGGGCCAGGACCTTCAGGTCATGGCTTACGTGCAGACTCGCGGTAGTGTCCCCGTATTTTGGGCCGAAGTTAACAACCTCAAGTATACTCCCAAACTCCAGGTTCGTGGGGTGAAAACAGCCGTTGATGCTGCACGAAAGCATTTTGCTGAGCAGATCCGGTTGTATGGTGAAAACTACTTGGTCAACCTTGTAAACCAGAAAGGGAGGGAGGAGCGGGTCAAGGATGCATATGAGCAGCTCGTACGCATTTTAGTCTCTCCATCGACCGAGAGTACCGAGGTCGACGCGGTATCATCCGAGAAGATACATGCCCTTGAGCCAGGTCAAAGGCAAACGGAGCTGGACCGTCTCCACTACATCTACTTCGATTTCCATAACGAAACAAAGGGGCTGCAATGGCACCGTGCGGAATTGCTGATGGACCGTTTAATTGATGGTCTTACGCGAGGCGGTTATTTCCGTGGTGTAGAGGATCCTGGCGTGCCTGGTGGACAGCTGGATATACGATCTTCACAAACCAGCGTTGTTCGTACCAACTGCATGGACTGCTTGGACCGGACGAACGTAGTGCAGAGTATGCTTGGGCGCTGGGCGGTAACACGTCAGCTCACTGACGCAGGAATCCTACGTCAAGGTGAAGCTGCAAATGATGACCGGGATTTTGAGGATCTGTTCCGTAACATCTGGGCCGATAATGCAGACGTTGTCTCTAAATCGTACTCAGGCACCGGAGCACTGAAGACCGATTTCACCCGTACTGGCCAGCGTACTCGCGCTGGTATGCTTCAAGATTTGAACAATTCCATCACGCGATACGTGAAAAATAACCTCTTGGATGGCCCCAGGCAAGATGGGTTTGATGTCTTCTTGGGCACCTACCTTCCTCCGAATTCAACACTTGGCAACCTTCAACTTTTCCTAGACCGCCGACCACTCATTATCCAGTCCATCCCTTATATCCTTGCTGCTGGTGTCTTCATGGTTCTAATTTCAATATTTACGAGGCGTTTGCCTGATGCTGCCGTGTGGCCTTTGCGTCTGTTCGTCATATTCTGGCTGGTGGTCTCTGCCTGGTGTGCGCGCTTCATACTTGGGCACGGGATGCTCTACGTAAGTTCCTTGCCAATTGGTTATATATGCTCCACGCTAACAAGTTGCAGGTGAACTGGCCCAAATTGAATACACCAGCTGCTGGATCCGAAGGGTACCAAGATGCGATGATCAAGGCCCGATCGGATCCTATTGTTGGGCACTTTCTTCCTTCCAGAAGGCACCAGAGGGGCTATAGCAATGCTCGACTTGGCTTTTTGGAAGAAGGGAAGACCAGGATTGAATAGTTTCTTACTCAGGCTGCTCTCATTGCCGAGTTCCTTTCCATGCTATATGGTACGTGTCCGGTACACAGTTTCCCTCTTTACCTACTTTGATGTTGTGGGGTTGTAAAAAGTACCACCTCTATATACGCTATCTTCTAGCCTCTCCTTGCTTTCTTTCTTATGGGATTCATATATTTTCAAGCTATCCTTCTAGCCTTAGTAACATGATTTTTCTTTGACCGTATAGATTTATTCTTATTCTTATCTTGTTTTACCTTTTTTCTCTATTGCTTCTTTTGCCTTCTTCCTCTGTTCCTTTGGCTTTGCAAGACTGCTCTTTGCATGTACCTTTAAGAATTTACATCGTATAAAGTGATGATGATAGAAATCGTCATATTACTGAAACCATACAAATACACAAACTTATGATCTTTAAGAGTTAGGAGGTTACTAGTACCACCTTAGGCATTTCTAGATACATTACCCCGTACAGAGTACTAGAAGTTAAATATGAGTAACGTAACCGGTAAGCAACCCGCACCTGTAAGCAACCCGCACCCCAACCGCCACATAAAAAATTAAAATAATCAAAACACCATGAATTTAGACTTCTATATAAAAATAAGTAGTTCTATCGATTCGGGCAGTGCATAATTTTATGGCCCTGCACACCACAGCCAGAATATTTAGATAGGGCGCGCCTAGAAATCGATTCAGTAGAAAGAACTCTATCTGCCTATACAGCTTTATCTGCCTGATTTCGGTACTCTATAAAGATCCAGGCTTCAGATACTGATATACCTTCTTCAAAAATAATCTGTTTCGTAGAGCACTTTCGCTTTTTAATCTACCTTTTATTTTCAGCCTGGTTTTGATCAAGTTGATACTTTAATATCGCTGTATTGTGGAAAGCTTGTTCAGCACCTTTTATTATTTAATTTAGACAAGCTTTAATAGGCAAGTCAGGACTGGAGTATCAATTTTTAAACAGTTTTTTAAAACTAGATTCTGATTTCTTCAGCTGCTTAACTATATAAGATATCTTAAACACTGAGCTGTCTTGACTACTAGGTCTACTACTCGGAGATATAGAAGTCTTGAGCTGAACTGTCAACTCAGATAGAACACACTCAGAAGATAGAGAAACTAGGCTAATAGCTCTAAAAGCACTATAAATATTACTACTAGTAAAGGCCTCTGTATAAGCTTCAGAATATATATTCAGAAAATCAAGTTTATTAATATAATTAAGCCTGCAGTATATCTTAGATTAAATCAGGTCTCTGTACATATACTTTAAAAGCGAGAAAATAGTAATATCAAGCAGTTAAAGTTTATAAGAAGTGTACACAGGTATATAAATTAGTATAATATTATTTTCTGTATAAATCTGATCGAATCGAGATATTAGATAACTATCATAGCTATCTAAAATAAGTAGACAGTATTTTCCTATAGATCGGCCGGTAGTAAGAGATATAAAATAATTCTGCAGTCAACATAGGCCAATATCATTGCTTGTCCAGCTATTAGGACTAATCTCAATTCTTTAATTAGAAGGAACCCTATTATTCTTGTACCAGGCCTTTATATATATCTTATCTTTGAAAATAATACAGGGAGATAGAGCCTATCTATTAGAATATATATATTCTATAGTAGTAACCTATTCCCAGTTTTCTGGCTGTAATAAAAATAGCTTGCCTGGTATATCAGATCTAGTAATAACTTTAGCTACAGCTATCAGACTCATTGCAAATCCTATTTTGTCAAAATTATAGATATTGCTTGAAGCTATACTATACTTCTGAATTATCTTATTTACCTGCTCAAACCAAGTACTTAGAATTTTAGGATTCTCTACTTTAGTACGCTAATAATTATAGCGATATACAAAGCAGGTTTTAAGCTCAGGTATATATCTAGTAAAGTTATATATCTATTTCTCCCCTATAGTAGTAGAAAAAGAAGTAGTATCACACTTTGAAAGCAGAAAATTAACCATTTCTCGAATATATACAGGCCGAGGAGGTGCTCTATATTTATCTAGTAATAGAATCCATTTCTTAAGCGATTCCTCCTTACTAGAAGTCAATTTATAACTATTGACACAAGTATCGCCTTTAAAAGTGACTCCTTTTAGGCAATCATATAGAGTAGAAAAAGGTATATTAAATGTCTGAGCTGTCTTCTTAACACCACGAATTTCATTATTTTTTAAAGCCAATATAGCCAGTAGGATCCTGCCTTTCTGCTCAACACGTGATTTTGATAATTTAGGCATTTTTGGTGGTATGGCTGATATTTGAATTATCTAGGAAATTGAGGCGCGTAGAAAACGCGGTTGGGGTGCGGGTTGCTTACAGGTGCGGGTTGCTTACAGGTGCGGGTTGCTTACCGGTTACGTTAGACTCCGTCGCTCACGTAAGCATACATGTTAGTTAACTAATTTGGGCTGAATTTCGGAAATGCGACGAGGAACCCCTCGTGACTTAGCTCATAGAATTGTCACGTCATACATCTTCTTTATCTTCATGAGGGGTTTTCGCATACACACTCTCTATAACTATAATTCTATCCGCCGGTTTTCATCCCATCCGGCCAGAATGTCCCGCAACTATGAGGTATGCCGAGGCTTCTATGCTATTGATCTCCAGATACTCTTCTAAAGACCTGAATACAGACTGCAATTGCAGCATTGAATTCGCTGCAGACAAACTTCGCCGTTGTCCAACAGCTGAGGGAGACAGGAGACCGGCGACAAATGAATTTACGGTCTCTTCCCGAAACTATTGAGTGGCTCCGACGCATTGGATACCAGGTTCGCGACCTTTCCCGCGGATAATGTGAATGTTGCGCTTCCACTGTAGTAGTGGATAATTTAGGGCTGTACAGTTGATTGCTGACTGCAATTCAACCTTTTTTCTCTATATAGCCCTCCGATCTGAACCGTCTTAATCCTGTACACGTTGCCGGTACCAAGGGCAAGGGCTCGACTTCTGCTTTCATCTCCTCCATCCTATCTCAATACACTTCCACGGTGCCCTCTGAATCAAATGATTCTGCGCCATGTCTCAAAAATGTCGGCCTCTATACATCTCCTCACTTACGATTTGCCCGAGAGCGCATTCAAATCAATGGTGCACCTCTCTCCGAAGAAAAGTTTGCTCGGTACTTCTTCGAGGTCTGGGACCGGCTTGAAGAAGCGGCTCGGCTGGCCGGCGAGAACCCGGAAGAGCTACGAACTAAGCCGCAGTATTTCCGATACCTGACACTTATGGCATTTCATACTTATCTGAGTGAAGGTGTAAATGCTGCGGTGATAGAGTGTGGCATCGGTGGAGAGTACGACTGCACGAACGTCCTCGAACGGCCTGCCGCGACTGCGATTACTAGCTTAGGCATTGACCATACCGCTATGCTGGGAACAACGATTGAAGAAATTGCCTGGCATAAGGGTGGTATTATAAAGCCTGGAGTCAAAGGCTTCAGTGCTCCTCAAGCCGCCAGTGCCGAAAAGGTTCTATACGACCGTGCAGCGGATAAGGGAACTCAATTGGAAATCATTGCAGGTCATCCTGACCTAGCCAGTGGTAGCAATGTCAAACTTGGATTGGCCGGCGATTTCCAACGCACAAACGCAGCTCTAGCGATCGCAACGGCTGCAGAGTTTCTCAAGAAAGCCGGGCTCGAAGACATTCCCGATGATTTCATGAAGAAGCCTTTGCCTGCTAAATTCCGCAAGGGGTTGGAATTGGCTCGGTTAGGTGGACGTTGTGAAACCCGGCTTGAAAAGAATGTCACCTGGTTCATTGACGGTGGTCATACTCTAGAGAGTATCAAGCTGGCCGGTCAATGGTTCACCTCCCAGATACACGCGAATTTCTCGTCCGGTGCGGTAGCAAACAAAAAGCTACGCGTTTTGATCTTCAATCAGCAAACGCGTGATAGCAATGCCCTCGCCCAAGCCCTCTATGACACCCTAGCTGCAGCTCTTAAGTCCGAGCAGCCTTTTACTCACGCGATTTTCTGTACCAATGTTACGTACAAAGAGGCAGGTTATCGACCCGACCTCGTAAGCATGAACACGAGCGCATCTGAGGTGGAAAGATTACAGGTTCAGAACAGCCTTGCTGAGAAATGGCGTTCCATTGATCCATGTGCCGAGGTCAAGGTGTATAGCACCATCGAAGAAGCTGTTGACTTCACCCGCGACTTGGCAGCGAAGGAGAGTGAACGTGCAGATAACGATGAAACACCCATCATGGCCTTTGTCACGGGCAGTTTACATCTTGTTGGCGGTTTCCTTGACGTGATCGAGACCAAGCCAGGTCCACAATGAAGGGATACATACATCCGTGGAAATTTTTCTTTTTTTATCTGCAACCTGCTACCACGTAGAATTGGAGATCTGGACATCATTATTTGTCTATGCAGTGTTCTCAACAACATACTCAACGATACCCAGAAGGGCTGGTAGTCCTTTTCATGTTAGCACGTGGGATGGTATAAATCTGGAGAGGCGTTTATCTTGGGATTCAACAAACCTCGAGTTCAGTTCATATATCGAATATCTAAATATAATATAGCCTGGAGAAGATAAGAGAAACCAATTGAACTCTTTCGTCTCAAGTTGTGTGTACATCCATTGTATTGATTTGCCGAGGCACGAGATATCACACAGCGGTCAATCTATACTTCGATGTGCAATACATTCAATTGCGCTGTAGTACGTCGGACGCCAATTGTCGGGAACGAATAAGTTAGAGAAAGCGCCTGGTGGAATTTGGTTCCACCAGTTACGAAGGGTACATACAATATTTGGTGGAGACCTCGTTGTGGTTCGAGTGAGTGAATTGAATTGTTTACTTATCAATGAATTTATGATTACTACTACTACGTATTTATTAAGCTTGACCCCGCGAAATTGGCGCGACGTGGGGCGGCGGACCTGAAAACCTTCCGCACTCAACCCGCTTAAATCTTACCCCCTCCTCATCACCTCGCCCGCCGTGATGTCGGACTCCAAGGATACCAAAGGCAAAGCGCCCCAGGCTGAAGACACACAAGCAGGTAGCTCTGAACAAAAGCCCGAGGATGTGTCAATCACCCCCAAGATGGCGGAGAAGCTGTTGGAGAATAACCCGGCGCTGAAGAATGAGCTGGCCGGAATGGACAAGAAAGAAGCTGCGGAGGCATTGCGCAAGATGACCATCTCCGAGCTGCTGACTGGTCTATCGGTCGGTGGGAAGAACCAGAAGGACATGGCTTCGTACAGGTTCTGGCAAACACAACCCGTCCCCCGTTTCGATGAGGCCAGCAATGCCAGCGGAGGTCCCATTAAGATCATCGACCCCGAGAAGGTGTCGAAGGAGCCCGATCAGCTCATCGAAGGTTTCGAGTGGACAACTCTTGATTTGACCAACGAGACCGAGCTGCAGGAATTGTGGGACTTGTTAACATATCATTACGTGGAGGACGACAATGCCATGTTCCGCTTTAGATACTCCCAGTCATTTTTGCATTGGTACGTTGTTATTAGCATTGGCATAAATATGTTATCATAACATGAGGTAGATTAACGTAAACTAACACTTACAAACATCATAGGGCTCTGATGTCTCCCGGCTGGAGAAAGGAATGGCATGTGGGCGTTCGTGCTACCAAGTCTAAGAAGCTTGTCGCATCTATTTGCGGTGTGCCTACCGAGATCCGTGTTCGCGATCAGAAGCTCAAGGTGACGGAAATCAATTTCCTCTGTATCCACAAGAAACTGCGGTCTAAGCGTTTGACTCCCGTTCTCATCAAAGAGATCACCCGTCGCTGCTACCTGAATGGAATCTACCAAGCCATCTATACTGCTGGTGTGGTTTTGCCTACGCCAGTCAGCTCTTGCCGCTACTATCACCGTCCATTGGACTGGTTGAAGCTTTATGAGGTCGGCTTCTCTCCCCTTCCTCATGGCTCTACCAAAGCCCGTCAGATCACCAAGAATCATCTTCCCAGCACTACATCTACGCCTGGACTGCGTCCCATGGAGACCAAGGACATTGACGCAGTCCACGACTTGGTCGAGCGGTATTTGAAGCGCTTTGACATGAACCAGGCTTTCACAAGAGAGGAAATCGAACATTGGCTGGTACACAAGGACGGCGAAGGAAAGGAGCAAGTTGTCTGGTCATATGTGGTAGAAGATCCTGAGACACACAAGATTACTGACTTCTTCTCGTTCTACAACCTCCCATCTACGGTCATTCAGCACCCTAAGCATAAGGAGGTGCGCGCTGCTTACCTCTATTACTATGCAACCGAGACCGCATTCACGGAGGATCTAAAGACCTTGAAAGAGCGTCTTCTACTTCTGATGAACGATGCCTTGATCCAGGCCAAGAAGGTAAGAAACCCAAATAGCTCCTGAATCGGCGTAGTATGTCCCTTATAGCTTACAATACCCGCTACAGGCTCACTTCGATGTGTTCAACGCCCTTACCCTGCACGACAACCCTCTCTTCTTGGAGCAGCTGAAGTTCGGTGCAGGTGATGGCCAGCTTCACTTTTACCTTTACAACTACAGAACGGCCCCAATCCCAGGCGGTGTTAATGAGAAGAACCTGCCGGATGAGAAAAAGATGGGAGGTGTTGGCGTTGTTATGTTATAAAATCTGAGCGCTGTTCATACTCTCTGCCTCAAAATGTATTTACCCGTAACGAGAGGTGGACGAAGAAGTTATGAATCAAAACCCAGTTGACCTGTGACGAGACTCTTCTCACATGATCACAATATCTTGAGATTCCGATAGTCGCCGAGCAATTAGAGAAGAAATTTTAGGTAATGGACTCTAACTGTAGAAACGTCAGTTACCTAAAATAGCCTAATGCCCAAGGCGCCAAGGCCAAGGCCCGTGACGTCGTCATCCGATGGAAGGGCTAGACTCTCAACTTCTCTTGAATCAACAAAGCAGCCTTTTACCTCTTTGGCTTAGATGGATACTACTGGCCATCGAGGTATTTGTTACGTATCCAAGGTCTCACCTCAGTGGCACAGACTTGGTCTGCTGGCGCAGTATCCTTTTCCCCGACATACTTAAGGGCCACCTTGTACAGTACAAAGTACTGGGCCGATAAGCCGAAAACGTTTTATATTGTGATCGACAAATGATACATAAGCAGCAGACCACTTCTAGGAATCCCTCTCAATTTCTCTGTCAGATGCGATTGAGCATACCAATACCTATTTCACTTGCAAAATGGGGTTAAGCCAGTCGACTGAACTTGGCCCGGCCTCCTCGCCAGGTTAGTAGTCCTATGATTGTGTACTTGACGTGTTCCAATCCACCAAATAGAGAGGATATTTTGTCCCTTGCCTAGTCGTCTAGTCAGTTCTAACATCGAGCAGAGGAGCTAAGTCACATGCTTGCTGAACGCTTCGCAACCAAATGCTTCACCCCCTTAGAATTAACCCACTTCAAGGACAACTTCTTTAGCCGTGCGACAGGGCAAGGGGAGTTGAAGTACTGGAATGAAAAGATCTTGTCCGACTTCCTAGCTATACCAGATAGCAGTGACGCCGAGTGTCCACTGGATGCTGGTCCGGTGATCTTCCGTATGGTGTCGTACCTGGGGGCCTTTCCGTTCCAGAACACATTGGCTCCAAGCGTACTAACATTCGAGGCTATGGTTAAAGTAGTTGTATTGCTAACCGAGAGATATGGGAAAGTCTTAAGACGAGCGCGGAAGGACAGGATCAGGCTGCTATTTGGGAGCCTTGCTGATGTAGGGAGGAAGGGCGTTGATCAGCCAGCGAACGATGAGGATTCTAAGGAAGATAAGGACGATTCTTCCGCTATTAAATCCCATGCCCCTGGATTTTCCGTGGATGAGCCTACGAACGATGACTACGATGACGATGACGACGATCTTGCGCTTGCGGCTTTGGAGTCTTTAGACGCGATTGAGGTGTTCAGGCACGACTCCCACGTTGATAAGGCAGTCTATGAAGCTCGGATATCTATTGCCACATTTCGTCGCCTTCTGATGCTACTCCTTGTCATCTCACCTTTAAAGCCCCTAGAACCAGTAAAGGTATATACGTCCGACATGAATGAAGGGCGCATGCGAACTGTAAGGCAGCAAGCCGATGATATCATAGCAGCATTTCCTCAGGAAGAGTCGGGAGGGATTAGCTATAAAGCATTTGCTAAAACCATTGATACATCACTGCCATATCTATTCGATCCTTTGACGCCACTATTTGAGCATCTACTTTTCAGCAAGAACTTGAACCTGTCCCAAAAGCGTGGCCGAAGCGACTCAACAGAGCCTACAGATGAGACATCAGAGACTCCCTTGCCGACACCTGCATCAATTATGCTCCCGGGAAGCTTCGAGTCTGCGATATTGAACTCAAGCATTGTATCACATCTGTCATTTTTCCTTCCATCCACCAACGGCAGCAAGAACCTTCTCCGTGATAACTTACGTCTACATCCCATTTTCTCTACGGCAGCGCATGGCTCATCTCTAACCTCATTCTCTCACAATGTTCTTACCTGGCAGTCGGGCACATTATTGCTGCTTGAGGGGGCCGTTGCCGGACCGTCTGGTGAGTATATGGTCACACTAGGAGCATATTTGCCACAACCCTGGAAATCCGGATCCTCAGCTCAGAGTTCTCGACTTTCGGAGACATCTGCCCTTCCTTGCCTTTTCCAACTGTCTCCGAAACACCTCCTGCTGCCCGGGAACCCATCGTCTTCAATACAGAATCCCGACACTCCCGCAGCGTATTTCTCCAATCATTCGGGTATTTCGCTTGGCTGTCGAATACCGCCGGCATCTCGGAGTCAACGCCTAGCCCCCTCACCACTAGGCGCGGGCAGCCTAACGATAGATACAAGTCTTGAGACGGCAGAATTTCATGTCGCCCCATTCGGGCATAATGGTGTTTTCCTCCCTGCCGGTACCAGCTCACCTTCGGGCCATGCCACCAAAACGCACATTGACATCTACAACCTTGAACTATGGGGGTTTGTCCCTGATCCTGATGCTTCCTCCTCCGAGAAGAGTGCCATCGAACTACAAAAAGCGAAGTGGGACTTCGAAGCAAGGGAAGCAGAAAGAAGACGAAATTTGAATATAAAGGCCGGGGCGGGAGATTCCGCTATGGAGGGAGCTAGATGGTTATTAGAAACAGCAGGTATAATTAGCGATAGTCACGGACGGGGTGGAGGAAGCGTTTGACGATAAATACGATATGGGTTTTATCTTCTTAGGGCGTTCTGGAGGTACAGGACATTCGATGCTGCAGGCAGTGAATTGGTTCTTGATAATACACAGGGTCTAATGAATACATGTCTTTTGATGAGTGAATCTGGAATGGACAAAGGGCAAATCGCTGCCTTCTAGTAATACTTTAATAAGGACAATTGTCAACTTAACTTATACTAATACTCATAATTCAATATCTAGATACTCTATCTACGCAAGATGATAGATTTTCTAAGACATGTATCCTGGTATAGAAGCATCGAACTGGCTTCATCAGATACATATATCATGGCATTTTCCGAGATTATAGTAATTAAGGATTCTTTAGGAGTGAAACATAGAAGATCAAGGACATTGTTTTTCTTTTTCTATTTTTAAATGTCAATCTTATCTTGTTCTTTTTATTTTTATTTTTATTTTATTTTTTCCTTTTTCCCTCTCAGAATAAATTGAATGCAAGTCTGATGTTCGAACCATTACGGGAAGGTCATTGGATTTTGCATAAATCGATTTAAAATAAAGTGATCGACCTTAAATTTCGCTCCCGCGTTTCTTTTTCCCTTCCGCAACTTAATCGCGTCTTTCCTCCCCTTCACTTACGGTTTTGGCACCACGGTATTTGTCGAGATGATTTTCATCTCGTATAGTGGCCTATATAACTGCATTACATATTATTAATCATTATTCATTGCCTTCATGGCCGAAAAACGCAGACTTTCCGCTCGCGAACGCCGCGAACCGGCGTCGAAGAGACGAGCCTCCGAAGCGCCCTCTCAATCGCAATCTATACAATCTTCGTCAAAGAAACGAGCCTCGACTGCTGCTGCGCCCCCGACTCCAACCCCACCTCCTCCTCCGCCTGTCGAGGTTGTCGAAAATCCTCTACCAACAAAAATCAAAGACGGGGAGGGTCTCCCCACTGTACCATCACCCCAGCCGGAGAGGCTATCCGCAAAGGAGTATCAGTCATATGCAGAAAGGTAGGGTTTTGGATCTTGCTGAGAGTTTGATGTATTTGATCAAAAGTCGATGGTGCCTGACCTGGTTATAGTGCGGTCCTCCTAGCTTCGTTGGAACGATCGAAAAAGAAATGGCTCAGCGATGGCATCCTGGTGCGATACTGGACGAAACCAAAGAAGACCAAACGAGAGCAAATTGAGGGCAAAAATCCTCCCAAAGAATCCATGTCGAAGGTCGGGCCTTGTAACATTGCTGTTGGCCCTCATCTCTTCGATGCTATGCTCTACACCGTCAAAGACCCCAATGCGCCACCGCCAATTCAATACACGCCCCCTCAGCGGCCGATGGTTCACTACGGCCACCCTAATAACTTCCAGCAATACCAACCCTATCCTACTCCTCCTCAACATGCACGACAGCATCCCCCTCAAAACCCGCCCGCCCACTTGGCTTCCCCCCAGCCGACTTATCAGCAGGGCAATCATCCACCACCTCCGCATCATACCAGAACACCCAATCAGCCTCCTCAACGTCCATCTCAATCGGCCCAGCGGCCGTCACCATCGCAGCACTCACAAGCCCAGCCTCCAAAGCCTAGTCCGGATCCAGTGATTCAGATGCTTGCAACACGAGCTGCCTCAGACCCGGATCTGAAGGCGTTGATGAGAGTGGTCGCCTCGAGCAAAGCTTCTCAAGAACAGCTTCGTGCTTTTCAGGCTCATATCGATGAGCTGAATGCGATTATTCGCGCAAGAGAGCAACAACAACAAAGACAGCAACAGCAACAGCAACAGCAGTCCCACCCCCAAACGCCTAATCAGCCACAGGCATCGCCGCGGACACCGCAGCAAGCATCTCAACCACCACCGACATCCCAAAAACCTTCACAGCCTCCACAACCTCGACAATCTCCACAACCCCCACAGCAGCCAAGCCAGCAGCAGAACCAACAACAAAAGAAGCCTACCACACCATCGCAGCAATCAGCACAACCACGGCCGCAGGAACAGCCTTACCCGCGAGTTGAAGTCCATGTCCCGAAACCCCCACCGCCACTAGCCTCTACGCCTGAGACCCCTAGTGCAAGTGCGCCGAATCAGTCCCAAACACCATCACAGAAGCCCAGTGTAACGCCACAAATCAAACGAGAGCCTGGCGTTGCAGCTGCTCAGCCCTCGCCCACCGCAGAACCGTCCGCAAATATTAAGCAACAGAGTCCTGCGGTGCGGCCTATGGCACCTCCACAGAACCAATCCGCTGGATCACGACCAGGGCCTCCATACCCACCTTACCAGCAACCACCATATCAGGGCCATCCACCTGCGATTCAGTCACGGCCTCCACAGTACGGGTCTCCGGCTCCCTACTATCGACCAGCTCCCCCGCCACCACCCCCGAGATTGAACTACAAGTCGGTTGTTTTCGAGTTTACATCACCCTTAACACCGTATGGAAGTAGCACTTCGGGTCATGCTGGCTCTGGAGATCGTTACCTGTTTCCAGAGTATACTATATTGGAATGGCTTCCAGACGGGAACACCGTTCTTGCATCTTTTTTGCTTGTTAGAAAGGTGGATCCGAACACCCCCTTCCCTATAGAGACAGCATCAGAAGTGGCAAACTCGCGAACTAAAGGCAAGTCGGCGTCAAGATCGAAGAAGGGGGACAAAAACAAAGACAAGGATAAAGAGAAGGACAAAGACAAAAGCAAAGAAGGCGAGAAGTTGGAGGGAAAGGAGAATGAAAAGGAGAAAGAGGAGAGTACTGCGCAACCTCCTACCAGCCAGACTGCCGCTACTGATAGTAAACCGACCCCAACCGAAGGGGAAAAGCCAGCTGGTGGTCAAGTTGACCAAAAAGCTCCACCAGCTACCACAGCAAGTCAACTCGGCTCAGACAAGCCTCAGCCTAAAGACAAGCCCGAAGACGTGGCCAAGGCTACCAAGCTGAAAGAGTATTACCAACCTGTTACATTCCGCATTCATAGCTCCAACGCTAAAGTCCTCGAGCCTTTATCTCGAGTGGTCAAGCCTCCTGATGAGGTGCGCAAGTACATGAATGAGATCATGGACCGGGCAGAGCGCGCTCCTGATGGGTTCCTTGCGTTCCGACTACCACGCGAAGAAGCAGGCGACGAGCATGACGTAGAGGATAAGAAGAAAAGTGGAACGCCAGTCTCTGGAAACCGCAGCCGGATCTCTAGGGGCCGAGCGGTTGATGATGAATCAGACATCGAAAACAGAGAGGAGCCCGCTGAGGAAGAAGAGGAAGAGGAACTGAAGGATTATTATGGGCCACCAACTGGACTTGTACCGATGGGTCTATAAACCATTGAGGCTCGCGTACCCGGTCTTTTTTATTCTACTATTGGCCGCAATTTGATACTCGATAATTGTACTTTTAGGTGTTGTATCACGTCTTATGTATGATGAACAGACCGAACTATTTATACCAAACAGATTAGATCGCTTTTTTAGAAGGCGGTGAAAGAAGCGGTGTACGATAAGAAGCTTATCTCCCTCTTAATTCCGATAAAATTACCTTAACAGTCAGTTTCTACGATCAACAACATCAGTGGAGCAGTAGTATAACGATGGTTGAACTTCAGTCCATTTTCAAAAAGGCCTACTGGTCGCTGGCTGCCGGCGGTCTTGTCTACGTGAGCATCATTTTTGCATTGACGTTCCCAACCGTTCAAAGATTGTAGGCTCTCAAGCTTTCACTTCAAGTTTGCTGTGCTTCGTCGCTTACAGTCTTCGTATAGTGCACTCTATGCTCACAAGGCCAATCCAGCTCTCTGGGAAGACGTCGACCAGGTTGAATCTTTCGGTTTCCTGAGTATGTTACGGCCTCCTACTCTTAGAGGACAGATCATGCAAGGAGTCCGTTAACGTCAGTAGAGACACAGGTTCAACCATTCAATCTGGTGACACCTGATAATGAAACCCTCTACGCGTGGCATCTGCTCCCTCCTCACCTCTGTCGGGAGCACGAGGAGAAGTTAAATGCCAATGAGCCCTCCGGTCCAGCGAGTGACTATACCAAAACTCCCGCCTACGAACTGCTGGCAAATGACCCTAATGTCAGGGTCGTGGTCGCTTGTACGTCTACCGCATTCAAAGCCCAGAACCTATAAGCTAAACCATTCCGTCCAGTCCATGGCAATGCCGCTCACATCGGCTCCGCTCAACGCCCGGAAACCTACCGCATGCTTCTGGGCCTGTCGACACCCTCCAACCCAATCCATGTCTTCGCCATTGATTACCGCGGCTTCGGCATATCCACCGGATCCCCGACAGAAGATGGCCTAATCACCGATGGAGTCGCCCTGCTCAACTTCCTCACCTCCAGTCCATTGAACATCCCCCCGTCTCGAATCGTCATCACAGGCCAGAGCCTCGGAACAGCCGTCAGCGCAGCGGTAGCCGAGCGTTTTGCATTCGGATCTCCCGACCCAACTGCCATCCAGCCCGCAATCAAAGACCCCGAACCCTTCGCCGGTGTAATCCTCATCGCATCATTTAGTAATATACCTAGTCTCCTTGATACCTACAGCCTGAAGGGTCTCACACCTCCGATCCTCTCCCCTCTTGTTGGCTACCCTCGTGTGAAGAACTGGACGAAGAGCCATGTCATTGATCGTTGGGATACCGCCGCGCGAGTGGCACGGTTAACAGGAGTTGGGCCGACAGCTCAGAATGATTCAGCTATTGGCTATGCGGATAAGGGTTTGGATTTAACCATTGTGCATGCGTATAACGATGCCGAAATCCCATGGTACGAAGGACGTCGCGTTTGGGTTGCTGCGACAGGGGAGAACGATAAGAATGCTCCTGGGCGTCTCGTTCACGAGAAGAAGGACCCGAAGAGTCAGAATGAAGTGCTTATCTGGGAGAACAGATCTAGCAAGAACGCCGGTGTGGTTAAGAGTGTTAGATGGGAGCGTGTGCCATACGGTGGTATGTCCATTTATGCGACCCTTCCAAAAATGAGAGTAGAGGCTAACTTGACACAGGTCATAATCGCGTTGCGACATTCTCTGTTGCTGCTCTTGCTGTGCTTAGAGCTTTCGAGCAGTGAAGGTGCGCTTTAGGGCTTCAGCTCGATAACCTCCCGACAGTGAAACCTGCCTTCTGTGGGACCCATAGCCTTTATTTATAATGTTGTAAAGATATAGATAAGAATATATGATTCATGCCTTGTATTCAGAAAGTATATGAGAGGAGATGAAAAGACCCAAAAGATATATGTACAGCCTGTAAACCCACCCAAGGTACAATAGATAACGAACACTGTTTTAATCCCGCTCGCAATTGATTTTTAAAATAATATCTTCGTAAGCCCACAGGGTCTAAAATGTATATAATACATGACACAAATTAATGAAAAAGATGGTAAAAGAAAACCTCGCCTCCATCCGAGCACTCATTGAAGAACGTAAACCGGCCGATGAATATGGGATAAGGAGACGCTCAAAAACAAATCCGATAGTAAAACATGTCAAAAACTCTTGGTCTAGCCGTAAGAGGTTTATTTCTTGTGACGGTCGGCCTGAGCCTTGAGGTACTTCGCGATAAGTTCCTTCTGGACTTGAGGAGGACACTTCTCATAATGGCTGAATTCCATGGTGTATTCACCCTTACCCTGAGTGGCCGCACGCAGGTTGCTGCTGAAGCCGAACATGCCGTTCAGACTGCAATCGGCGTACACAGTGAACTCATCAACGCCAACCTCGGAATCGTTGATGGTGGCATTGCGCTTGTTCAGGAGCGAGATGACATCGCCCTGGAACTCAGCGGGAGCAGTCACAACAGTCTTCATCATAGGCTCGAGAACAGCTGGGCCGCTGTCCATGAATGCCTTACGGAAGGCCTGTTGGGTGGCATTCTTGAAGGACATTTCCGAGGAATCCGTCATGTGGGTGGCACCATCATTGATGACCATCTTGGTACCAAGCACCTTGTGACCGATAAGAGGTCCCCTCTCGCAAGCAAGATGGAAACCCTTCTCACAAGCGAATAGGAACTTCTCAGAGATGCTTCCACCAACAATCTGCTCCTCAAAGACGTTGTCATCGAGCTTTCCGGTTGGCTCCATCCAACCAACCACACGGGCGTAGTCTCCAGGACCTCCCGATTGTTTCTTGAGCAGATGGTCGAACTCAACCCGGTTGCCGAGGGTCTCGCGGTATGCGACCTGCGGCGGGCCAGTCTCGCAGTCAACACTATATTCACGACGCATGCGCTCCACGTAAATATCAAGGTGCAGTTCACCCATTCCAGAGATAAGAGTCTGTTCACTCTCGACATCGTAGGTCACCCGGAAGGTCGGATCTTCTCTCTGGAAACGGGCCATAGCCTTTGAGAATTTGGCAGCATCCTTGTTGTTCTTGGGCTTGATCGAAAGAGAGATGACAGGCTCAGGAACGAACATGGAAGACATGGTATAGCCAAGTTGTCCATCAGTGAAAGTATCACCAGAGGCACAGTCAACGCCGAAGACGGCACAGATTTCACCAGCACCGACCTCATTAACTTCCTCCATCTCATTGGAATGCATACGGACAATGCGAGGAATCTTGATCTTCTTATCGTTACGGGCATTGAAAACATTGGCACCCTTACGGAGCGTTCCTTGGTATACACGGATGTATGTCAACTGACCGAAGTTGCTCTCTTCCAGCTTGAAAGCAAGACCAACCAGTGGAAGGGACTGGTATGGGACAAGTGTCACCGAGGCCTCATCACGCTTCTTGTCAAGGGCAAGGTTTTGCACCTCCGCAGGGTTGGGAAGGTAGTCAACAACACCGTCCAGCATAGGTTGAACGGACTTGTTCGCCAAAGCAGAGCCCATGAAGACTGGAGTGAACTTCAGGCCAATGGTTGCGCGGCGGATCGCAGCCTTCAACTGCTGCTCGGTAGGCTCTTCTTCAAGAATAAAGAGCTCGGCGATCTCATCATCCACATCAGCAAGAGTCTCGATGAGCTTCTTCCGCCTTTCCTCTACAGTGCTCTTGACTTTCTCGGGAATTTCCTCCGTTTCAAAGAGCTCCTCACCGCTAGGTCCTCTGTTGTAAATCGCCTTCATGCGAATCAAATCGACCACGCCTTCGAATTCGTCCTCAGCACCGATAGGCACCTGGACCGCAGCAGCGGGAAGCTTGAGCTTGTTATTGATCTGGTCGACAGCCTTGAACGGGTTGGCTCCCATACGGTCCATCTTGTTGACGAAGGAGATTCTGGGAACGTTGTAACGTCTCATCTGTCGATCGACGGTAATGGTCTGAGATTGGACACCTGAAACGGCACACAGGATCATGACCGCTCCATCGAGAACACGCAGCGCTCTTTCGACTTCGATGGTGAAGTCGATATGTCCAGGTGTATCAATCAAGTTAAAATGATACTTGTTTTCCTTGCCGTCCTCATCCTTCTTCACCCAGTCACAGAATGTGGCAGCGGATTGGATAGTGATACCCTTTTCACGCTCCAAGTCCATGGAGTCCATCTTAGCACCAACCTTGTCACCTCCACGAACCTCGTGAATTGCCTTGATACGGCCGGTGTAGAAAAGGACACGTTCGGTACATGTAGTCTTGCCACTGTCGATGTGCGCCTATAACCGAAGTACGTTAGAATGCGGTGGGTTTGACGGATATTCTTGGATTATCTTACAGCGATACCGATATTCCGGACTCTGGACAGCCGTTCAGCCTCAACAGGGTTAAGGTTCTCAATGATCGCCTCCTGAGACAAGTTGTCGGAGGCAGCGGCTTCAAGACTATACAGTAAGAATTGTGTAGTTAGCAATTGGATCAAAAACAAAGTAACGATAGAGATTTATTCAAAAGATAGCACTTACACAGCAGCGGCAGTACCTGAGGCATATCTCCTTTGCTGGAGATGTCTGTTCAGGACAGACTGATAAGCCAGGGCAGCAGTGGGTGAACGGAGAACAGCCGTCGACGCGCATCTTCTGGTAAGGAAGTTCTGAGACTGGAGACGAACAGCCGATCTGGGTAAGCCAGAAACGGCGCGGTATGGCAGCCGCGCGAGAGAAGGACACCTCATGACTATCGTCCACCCACACGGGAATGCTGATGCTTTGGGATCCCAAGAGTCGCGATCTTTTCGCCGGCTCCGAAAAAAAGCTCGGGGAAGCCAGGAACGCCTCACGTGATAAACAATCGATTGGCCATTCAACGACCGTCAAAACATAATGTTAATACCAGTACAGGCAAAGTATGGTATGGATCCAATTCATTCCATTTCATGACAATACCACTGACCCACAGATTCTTTGACCGCCTTTGATTTTGCCACCAATCTTCATTTAGTATCAATTTATCATCGTGAACCGACTTCTTACTTGTAGGATGTGTTGATCACTAGGGTTATTTATCTTCTTTGCTTTACTATTGGTTCTCTTCTCATACTCTAGGCAGTCACTAAAATGCGGCCATCTTTGAAGTTGCTCGCTAGCGTATCCCGCGGCCAGCCGTCGAAGCTTAGGAAGCCGGCAATGAGTTTGGACCATGTCAGTAGCTCATGGCTATGTCATTTTATTCTTCTTTGTACACTATTGACATCTTAAATAGTTCATCCAAAGGCAGCGAGTTCTCGGGTTCTGGAGGGACATTACCCGAGCATTACATAGTCAGACTGTCCAGTTTATCGCGGAAGCAGCATCAATTACTGACTAGCTTATACAAAAGAAATCCCCAAATCGTCGACACGGGACGAATTGCGCAGTTACGCTCGCCATGAGTTTGAGCGCCACCGCAATATAACGGATTTGGTATGCACAATATGTTGTTTCGTATCTAGGTCGTCTTGTGACTAACCAATCTTTACTAGCAACATATACGGTACTTGCTTTCGGTATGGTTTTGCACAGTTATAGATCCGACATACTTCTAACCGCACACAGACAGGGAAATCGGAGTTTGAGATGATGAGACGGTACATCGATGAACAGGCCTCTCGCTAATTTGCCTGTGATTGTTTCCGGTTTCTAATATTAGACTGAAGCCTATGAGGTTTAAACGGATCTATCGGCACATGCCCAATATGCAGGGCGATGTGCCAAGATACAATGTATAAGGAGCTACAGAGATGAAGCGTTGGAGATGAGAATATCCTATGCATAGCAATCTCTGAATGTATATATGTACAATATGATACCCAAATTCAATTGAAAGTCATCCACCTAAAAAAATCGTACAATGCTACCCTTATCCTTATCAAACCTAGTTCCTCCTCGACAACAACTCCTTCACTGCATCTAACACACCCATAGACTTCTCCTCGGAACGCTCGATAGCGGAGCGAGCAGCATCATGCTCAGCACTAGGCTTAGCAGCGGTCTTTCCTGCCTCCGCAGCCGCTGTCTCCATAGCCGCATGACGTTGCCGCCAGTCCTTATCCTCCTTGTCGCGAATTTCCAGCTCACGCAGCCAGGCATCCCGCTTCTCCTGGCTCTTGCGCTCTTCCACCATCTTCTCGAATTCCTTGCGCTGCTGTCGCTCGGTTTTGAAGTACATGCCTCCGACAACGACGGCGATAAGGGTGAAGAATTGGGCATAGATACGCGCACGGAACATCCGGTTCATTTCGACCGAGTCACCGGCCTTCATCGATCGGTAGGCGCGGTAGAGAGCATAACTGGTAGCTGCGCATCCTGCAATTCAAAGTCGGATTAGCGGGGTCCTAATAGGCATGACTGAAGCATTTAAGAATTATTCCATACCGAGCGGAATCAAGGGCTCCTCCTTGAGACGTCTACGGAACTTCTGCAAAGAAGTTTCCTCCTCGAACTGACTAGTGGCCCATTCAAGTTAATGATCGTTCCCTGCGTTCCTTGCGCGGATTATAGGATGGTCCGGGTACGTACGGGTTGCCATCGAATGAAGATGGAACAGGGTCACCACTCATTTTTTCAAAAGTAAGGATATCACGCGGGGGAAAGATCGACTTGAAGAGAGATTAGAGGATGCGAACGTTGCGAAGCGGAGAACTGTACAGGTGGTGATGTTTCGGAAGTCTGATGCTCCGAATGAGCTTCAACGTCGCAGTCTTTAAAATGGTCAACTAAGTCAAAACCAAGACTTAGCTATTTATTACAAACCTTATCTAAACACTCCTTAGATTGTCCACTTGAGTGGTAGGAGAAGAAGATATTAAAGAGGTTGTTTTACCTGAAGGAAAACATGACGTCGCAAATCTTGGGACTTGAGTAATTTTCATACCGTACCATACATCATCATACGATACATATTCATTGATTGCATGTCGAGGTATGCAAAATACGAATAGACGACTACGGATGAAGAAGTGAAGACATTTAATGACTTCTACTGGCTTCCTGATCCTAGAAGATATTTAATTATTGCATTATACCTTCTAGTTCTTACACCATGCAATACGTAGGGCCCCTTGAAGGATAGGCTGCTGCAATGTTGCGGAGATTGAACACTGCGAAAGGTGAATGATAGGAAAAGGAGCCAGTTAGACATGTCTATTGAGCGAATTATTAGTATAGTTCCAATACATATATCATAAGATTTATAATTGACATCCATTCGTTCACCGGCGGGCCAGAGACCGTATGATCCCAAGTCCCTCAAGAGGCTACTGTTATATACTTAATACAGCGCCTGAGGCTCCAGTTCGTTTGGGCGAAAGGGGCCACTGCAACTTTATCCAAATCGCTGTGTACACTAGAGACATGGCAGCGCGGTGTCTCTTCACTCGTTATCACCAGAGAGTGTTCCCTACATGCCTATCGAAGTATGGAAGGGGATATACTCCGCGGCGGGGACGGAAGGATTTAGGGCTGAGGATGAGGGTTGCTGACATAACCTCATCTGCTCCGATCACGGAATTTTATCTCCCCGCGGCGAAGATAAGTATTCATTTGCCCGTCATCTACAACTTCGGTTCCAATTCTCTTGTCCGTGCTTTGGCTGTGTGTTTTATCTTGCTGCTTAAAGATCAATTTCTGACTCGTCTCTACGTGGGCAGCATCATGTCCGCAGAATCTTCTACAAATGGCACTGCGACGCCCGTCTCATCGAAGTACAGCAACCTGGCTCTGACCGAGTACTCAACAATGCCCACGCCTGACTCAGAACAAGAAAATCGAAAGCAATTGGGTGTACCACCCAATTGGGGTGTCCCGGATGCTTTTTTACTTCCCAATGGCTATCCAGATGTGAGATATTCAACTAAATTCTCCGTAAAAGGCAATCTAGTTCGTCTCTGACTCACTCGCCACCCTACAGTATCTCCGATTGATCTTAACATCCCGCGTTTACGAGGTCATCAATGAGACTCCCCTTCATCATGCAGTCAACCTGAGCAATCGCTTGGAATGTCGAGTACTTCTGAAACGGGAGGACTTGCTCCCTGTGTTCAGTTTCAAGCTCCGTGGAGCCTACAACAAGATGGCACATCTGAATCATGAGCAGAGATGGAAAGGTGTTATCGCATGCTCTGCAGGTGAGACGTTCTCAAAGCCAGTAATGTATATGATAATTGGCTTACACATTGTAAAGGTAACCATGCACAGGGTGTTGCGTTTTCCGCACGTCATTTGAAGATTCCAGCAACAATCGTTATGCCCTCGGGCACCCCGGCTATCAAGCACCTGAACGTCGCTCGCCTCGGCGGAAGTGTGATTCTTCACGGAGACGACTTCGATGCTGCGAAGGCAGAAGCGCACCGCTTAGAGAAGCAGCACGGATTAACGAGCATTCCTCCTTTCGATGACCCTTATGTGATCGCAGGCCAAGGAACCATCGGAATGGAAATCTTGCGCCAGGCAAACTTGCAGAAGCTGGAAGCTGTCTTCTGCGCTGTTGGAGGAGGAGGATTGATTGCTGGTATCGGAGTCTACCTCAAGCGCATTGCACCCCATGTGAAGATCATCGGAGTGGAAGCTCATGATGCGAATGCTATGGCTCAGTCCTTGGATTCTGGGTCTCGTGTGCTGCTCAAAGATGTGGGGCTGTTTGCCGACGGTGCTGCTGTGAAGGCTGTTGGAGAGGAACCCTACCGGCTGGCTCGTGAAGTGGTTGATGAAGTCGTTCAGGTTTCTACTGATGAGACATGCGCCGCGATCAAGGATGCATTTGAGGACACCCGATCTATCATCGAGCCGGCAGGCGCCTTGGCCCTGGCAGGTCTCAAGAAATATGTTTCCTTGTACCCTGACCCTAACCCTAACCGGGAGCTGGTTGCTATTACATCCGGTGCGAACATGGACTTCGATAGACTACGGTTTGTGGCTGAGCGTGCTGCCCTGGGTGAACGGAAGGAGGCGCTCTTGAGTGTGAACATCCCCGAACGGCCTGGCTCTTTCGCTAAGCTAGTTGAGGTCATTCTCCCCCACGCGGTCACCGCATTTAGCTACCGTTATGCTCGGGACGAATCTGCCGATGTCTTTATGGGTATCTCCTTATCTGCCTCTACTGGGCAAAAGGATCTGACGAAGATCATGGAAGAACTGGACAAGGGTGGTATGAAGGCGAAGGATCTGAGCGACGACGAGCTTGCTAAGAGACACGTCCGCTTCTTGGTTGGTGGACGCTGTGACGTGAAGGATGAACGTTTGTTTATGTTCGAGTTCCCTGAGCGTCCTGGTGCTCTGGCCAAGTTCCTGACCACCCTCCGACCCAGCCAGAACCTCAGTTTGTTCCACTACCGTAACTACGGTGGTGATGTTGGAAAGGTGCTTGCTGGCATTCAGTGCCCACCATCTGAGAAGGACCAGCTGGAGGCCTTCTTAAAGGATCTGGGCTATCCTTTCAGCGAGCATACCGACTCGTCCACTTACCACACCTTCCTTCGTTCATGAGTGACTCCTAAAGTGAGCCAATTCTTTACGAATCGTGTGTTGTAAAATCGGTCGGGGACTCATTTCGGTTGAAATTCTAGTATGGCGTTCGGATGGAGCATAAAATTGATAGATCTCAAGCTGGTATTGATCAGCTTTTCATATCATATCTTAATGCAAGACTTTTCCTTCTTTCCTGCTTGCATCGTACGCCCTCAGTACCTATTCTATATGATGGCTCTACGGAAGGTGTAAGTGTTGTATTTTTTTACCAACCAAGTAACAAAAAATTATTACGAGTTATCTCGTCATCAACAGCTTAGTGGTACACTTTCACTTCGTTATACTGAGATACGCGACTGGTTCTTAATGGAAGGAGATCACCGAACAAAGTTTCCATCCAGTCGCTTCCATTAGCAATAGGAAAATAGTCCGTCGACTAGTCCATGTCCCATCTAGAGATCGGCCTTGTATCCCAATGTCTGCCCTATTTCTCCAACTACGTGGCATACCTTTGGGTAAACCGCGCTTAGGTTAGTATTGAGCGCATCTCCGCCGTCGAGACTCTGGCTAGCCTTGAGTAATGTTTGTGGACACCGCCCTGGACTCCTGTAGACGAGAGCCATACTACGAAGTTTTTCGTGTAGGCCAAACTAGAAGCTTCTTTGGTGATGATGTCGGGCATACCCTGGCATGTTTTTGAGAGTTTTTGGCATGCGGGTTTGGTTTTCAAGCGGCATGAAAGTAGAAGTGAAACCGCCGTCCACAATACTGGAAGTAGATTCACTTGCCGTGAACTCTTCAGCGTCTACTACGATGGCGTTCTTGTCGCTTTCCCAGTGCGAGGTCTTTCATGTATTTGAAAAGCTCTGGCTTCCGACACAGGGCGATAACCCTTCAGAGGCTAGACGTTTGCTCCTAGGAGTACATCCTGCCCACTTATCCATGGAATCGCAGATGGCGTCGGTAGCATAGTGGCTATGAGCCGTAAAAGCCATTTTATCGTGTCTCCGAGCATCAGAAACTGGAATACTATTTTTGGACGTGTGATTTGACCTTCGATACGCCACGATAAGACAGGCTCCAATGCAAGCACTGCCCTGGCAACCATAATGATTTGAAAAGGCTTTCGGGTGGTATCCTTCATTAAAAAAAACCCCACGAGCCCTACCGGTGAATGCTGTTCACTAGTAGCTTGATGTGATCGTACATAGACGGTGAGGCGACATGTATAGGGTGTTGATCACAACAGCAGTTGCAGAAAGTACATCAAGTACATCCTCACACAATACATCTCATCAGCATGGCTAATCTAGTCGGCCATGTCAAAGTTGGATTTTAAAAGCAGTGGGTCCATGTTTCATATATACCACCAGACGCCGATATGTTTAAGGCGGATCATAAGTCCACTCTGAAGTACTCAAGAACTCATCACCACCCATGGCTATAATGCCAAGCGTTGGAGTGACGGCAACACTGGAAATGTCTTCCTGCCGGAGAGCGACAAATATTGTGCAAAGCGAGGTTCGCCCCCTTCTCTCCCGATATCGGGGCCCTGCTTTCAAAGTCCAGACCTCGTATGCCTATGAATGACAACGAATGCTATGGTTCTGGGCGACGATCTCCATATGTCCTCGAACGCACTATGTTTTATACAGGATGACTCCCGCACATAAAAGGATAGTTACATATGGCCTGTTAAATATGCATCTTGGCCTTGATGTGCTGATCTGTCAAATTCGAAAGCCTCGATGTCAGATGGACCTTGCTTTTGTTGTATAGAGTCTATCATTTTTGTCGTTTCATCGTTGGTGTCTCTGGATTAGCAAAACGGGTGTCTGGTGGTTGTATAGAAATGAATATATAATCGGGGTTTTTATATAGTTTTAGTTTCTTTCAGAAAGCTCCACTGAGTTTAGCAACGCGGAATCGAGGTTGAGGATGATGATGACCTTAAGTCACTTGAGCGATGAGGACATGTTCAATGCAAATGGTCAGGCAAAGGGAGATAAAAGGGGTTTATGTAGACAACAGTGGTGCATTAGATAAAGGGGCATTCTGGGAATACTCAGAAAAGCGCAGTTGAATGCAATGTCATTCATTCCATTGAATCCCATGCTTCGGTATACTCCAAAGCCTTGTGATTGGTCCCTTCACCCAACCAATCAAACCATCCAAATACACAAGCAATACCGGAATACCGGCACAACAAAATCTCCGACTCACATTTGCTCCGAATATCATCAAACCATCACGCGGATATCAAAGAGAACTCTCCAAACCCCACCCGCCCTTATAAGCCTGTCCTAAGACCAGCGCGGTCTCATCCAGACGATACCGGCGGCCCCGAATTTTCCAACTAATCTGCCAACAACCAACAACAATGGTGTCCTTCCGCTCCCTTATTGCTCCCTCGACCGGTCTCTTCCGCCAGTTTCTCCGCAAGCCTTTGGCCGGTGGCTTCCTTGCACGGTCATTCTCGCAATTAACGACTCTGTCTCTTACCAATGGTCTCCGGGCTTTGCGCTCTGGAAAGGAGCAAGCTGGCAATGTTAGTGTCGCGTCGACAGTGAGACAGTTGGATCAGATACGGGGAATGAAGACCCGCTCGTCGGTCAAGCGGTTGTGCGATGGTTGCAAGGTATGAGACATTGGGTTGTTTTGTGTCCTCGCAGCTTCTCTTTTCGGGGGGCCGGGGTAGGATTGCTGCTTTCTAGGTGATGTGGAATGCTAATGTTGGAATAACAGCCCGTTCGAAGAAAGAACAGAGTCTATATCATTTGGTGAGTCTCTCTGCCGTGCGATTTAAGAGATGTCGCATATGCTAATATGGGTTCAGCTCGAAAAACCCTAAGCACAAGCAGCGTCAAGGAAAATAAACGCAAATCGGGAGAGGTGTACGACCATTTCAATCTACTGCATTCATGCTCGATGGATTTCGGAAGAAGCCGAAAATACATGATGTGACGGCTCTTAATACCGAGGCAGAGATACTTTTTGTGCATATACTGGATATACGGGTTCTCTTTGAGACTGGGACTTTGTGCATTTTGATTTGATTGGGATATGGGCGCTTATATTGTTTGCATGTATATTAGAGCTAAGCATTTCTTCTCATTTTCCTTCCAAGTTCGTCATGAAAAGACCCAATGGGACTATGCGCTTGCGGGAGTCTTATCTATAAGACCACCCAAGGCGCGTTGTGCAACTCTTATCACCTGCTGAGCCTTTTTAAGCGTCGTAGAGTTACGCGCATAAGGAGAGAGTTCATAACTTGTTTAATATATTTTGTCATATATGTCCCTCTATGACTGCAAAGGCTCGCCCATGCCACCAAAGGTGACACTCTTGATCGTGAGGAATTCATCAATGCCGTACTTACTGCCCTCACGGCCGAATCCGCTCTGCTTGACACCACCAAACCTAGAAGCAATTAGCACTGGTGATTTGTGAGCAGAGTACGGGGGTACCTACGGAGAAGCGACATCGCTGATGATGCCAGTGTTCACACCAACCATACCCACTTCCAAGGCTTCTGCAACCCGGAAGATGCGCTTGACATTGCCACTGAAGAAGTAACCAGCCAGACCAACTTCTGCACGGTTCGCCAAGTCAACAACCTCCTTCTCGGTCTCGAATGGGAACAATCCAGCCACAGGTCCAAAGGTCTCCTCAGAGGCAACCAACATATCTTTGTTCATATCGGTCAAAACAGTCATGTCATAGAAGTTAGGGCCCAAGTCTGACAATTTACGGCCTCCAGTAGCGACCTTGGCTCCCTTCGATTGGGCATCGCGGACATGCTCGTCGATCTTTTCGATGGCGCGTTCATGGATGACAGGGCCATGGGTAATACCTTCCTCGAACCCAGCACCGACCTTGAAGCCTTTAACCTTTTCAACGAAGCGCTTCACAAATTCGTCATAAATGCCTCTCTGCACGTAGATGCGGTTGGCGCAGACACAGGTCTGGCCTGAACTGCGGAACTTAGAAGCAACTGCTCCAGCAACTGCAGCATCAAGGTCTTCCACATCGTCAAAGACAATGAAGGGGGCATTTCCACCAAGTTCCCAAGACACCTTCTTAACGGTAGAAGACGACTGTTTCATCAACAGCCTACCCACATTGGTTGAGCCAGTGAAGGACACCTTGCGAACTTCCGGGTGGGTAGTCAACGCTTCGCCTACCTCTGGTGTGTTCTTCAGGGAAGTCACGATGTTGAAAACACCCTTCGGGATACCAGCACGGTGTGCCAATTCTGCCAATGCATTTGCAGTGAATGGGGTCTCCCCTGGAGTCTTGACCACAACAGTACAGCCTGCCGCCAACGCTGGCCCAGCCTTCCGAGTGATCATTGCTGCAGGAAAGTTCCATGGGGTGATCAAGCTGCAAACGCCCACAGGCTGTTTGAGGGTCATAACTCTGTTACCTGCCACCGAGGAAGGAATAGTGTCTCCATAAATTCGGGGCGCCTCCTCACTGAACCACTCAAAGAAACCTGCGGCGTAGTTCACCTCACCCTTGGCGTCCGCGAGCGGCTTTCCGTTCTCCCAAGTGATCAATGTTGCTAAGTCCTCGGCATTGTCGATCATCAACTGGTACCACCGGCGCAGCATCCGAGCACGCTCGCGGGCCAATGTTGTGCGGAATTTAGGGAAAGCCTCTGTGGCAGCCTGAATGGCCTTTTCGGTGTCGGCAGCATTGAACTCAGGGCATGTTCCGATGAGCTTTCCTGAAGCAGGATCTAGAAGAAAATAAACAGATTAGAGGGCGTCCCCGCCGTTGCTGAGATTCAAGTGTCTTACCGTGAACTTCAAATGTTTGCCCTGACTGGGCACCTACCCATTCCCCATTGACATATGCCTTCTCAATAAAGAGAGATTGATCTTTCAGCTATAAGCGCACCATAGTCAGTCGATTACTCAAAAATTGACCAATTGATCAACAAAAGATCTCTCACCGGCGGCACAGTATGGCCCATACTGTATAGTCTCTTAGCGTAAACTGGTGGTGGGATTGTAAATGGATATCGGGGTCTGGATCTGAGCAATTGTCGTGATACTGGACGAAGAAGCCTGTCCATGATCTGAATTAATACCCCCTGCCTTATTATTAATACAAAATGCGAGAAAGTTTAAGAAAAGCCGACTTCCGTGAGCAGCTTTTGCTTCGCCTTTGGAGATGGTGCGGGGAAGCTTGGGGATATGGTCAAACACGGGAGTTTTCGGGTTGTTTTTACGGAGTCAGACAGTTGGGAAATATAGCAAGACAGAGAAGACCTTTGCTTCAGACTTATATACTGGAAGTGCGAGGTTGATCCATCGCGTGGAGACTAATCATTGTTGAGAATGCCTCCGAGCTGCTCCCTGTAATGCCGTCCAGCGGGGAAGCTCCGCGTCACGTGGATCGACGTCATTTCTCGATTCTAGAGCCAATAATCCATGAATATGGTAGATTCGGCTATTCTGCGAACCATACACACGATGGTGTGCATATACTCAACTAATTGGTCTTTTTTTCTCATACTTTGATACATTTCTAGAGGTAGAACCGTAGTGGCTGTCATATAGATGCTTGAGCGACTATGAGATAATTAATGTGTAACTGCATTACCATATCGATATGCCGATCTAGATCTCGGCAACTTAAGCCAATTATAAGCCGTTTTCCAGACACCTTCGGTTGCATTCTCCAATCATACTGTACAATGGTTTCCAGTGATACAGGGCCGTACAATCAATTTTACCTTATCATAGGCTTTTTTGAGACCGTTCAATTTGGAATGATAGTAGGTACCGTCAGCCCAGAAAGAACGTAGTAATAACATAGGATGTATGAAGATGATTACAGCTGTAACTCAGTCTATATTGTTTAAACTTGCATTATGAAGACAACTCTATGTTCTACGAGGATAGACGGGCATGTAACATTTTCAACACCATTAACCATCAGTATCGCCAGCAGGGCCGACAATGGAAGACTTGGATTTTGCGTCAGTACTTTTCGGGCGATATCCAGGATGCATGCGTCTCATGTGCAAGTTAAGATTCCATGTTCGTGCGAACCCATTGATATGCCGAGGACACGTCCTGACGGGGCATATTATATCTTGCTTGCGGTGTTGACCCTTGCCTTTGAGCTTGATCACCTCGTCGGTATGATCAGTAGCAGGGCTAGTAGCTCGAGTGCTAGAAGCTTTCTTCACAGAAGCCGTGCGTGAGAGGGATCGTTTGATACGAGGAGGTGAAGGAGGTGGCAGCGAAGCTTCAGCTTCCTCAGGCTCAATTTCTGCGTAGGTCCAGGTAGAAGAACCTCTGTCCTGAACTTGCTGTAAGGTACCTTCTTGCAAAACCCGAAACTCCATATCTTCACGAAACAGCGTGGCACATCTTTGTGAAGAACGCATTACCACGGCTGGCGGAAAGCCGACCATGGAAGCAATTCCTAGGACTTCGCTCCAGTCGCGAAGGCCAAGACGCATGCGACTTGCAGATCTTTTGCGGTCGCTGCCAGTTGAACGCCCCCGCGGCCTTGAGTACTCTGAATTTGATTGACGCCGTGAGCGGGGCCGGGAAGATGCTCGTCCACTCGATGCACGCCCACTGTGAGAACGTGGTCGGCTTGACCCAGTTCGAGCGGATGACCTGCGTGTACGTTTTCTACCTCTCGATTGACTTCGCTCGGCGGTAGCTTTTACTGTCCTTCTCTTGCGCGATGAGATGCTAGAGGCGATACTTTCTGTGTCGGTTTGCCACTCACTCGCGGAGCTGTCGTCCGCTCCTACTCCACCATTTCGGGCGTTGTGAAGAGCCATAAGTAGGTCATCGAATTGGGTGAGTATATTTCGAGTCAGCGGTCGCAATTGGATTCGTGACTTTTCGTCATCGGCCTGAACAACGGGACGTAGTGAGATTTCATCAATAGAATCGGGATCGCTTTTCTGTTCCTTATCGGTGGCAGTGTCATTTTGTGTGTTGGCTTGAGACATTGCCCACTGATGTACAGAGGAGAGTTTGTGGTCCCAAGGTCTAGTCTGAAATTTTTCCTTTGCGTCCTTGAGCATTATAGCGATGAGCGATTCCTCTAACTCGGCACTTGGTCGAGCATCCGGCTGCATTCTCAAAGTCCATGCCTCGTCTTCTCCTCTACGGATATGTTCGTTTCCGCGAGGCACCTCAGTAGCCGACATAGGCCATGCTGCCCATCGCTTTGGAGGGCCAAAGGCTTTAGTTTCATCTTCTGGTTCGCCAGCTTCGACAGCTTGCCTTGCTAGCTCACGAGCTCGTACTCGTAAAGCATACGCGTTGTACAGGTGAGCTGCAAGGTCTCTAGCGCGGATCGTTTCTAAAGCTTCAGCATTCTGTCTATCTTCGGCGGTTAGCTTTCTCCATTGCGATTCAGCACCGCGGAATCTATTGGGCCGGTATGCAGGAGATGATGGTGGGCTATCAATATCACTGTGACCAGTGGCGGCATTCACGGTGCTTTTGGGGCCCCTCTGCTGAGAGCCTCCATCTTCTGGCCCGGGCTCGTCTTCGTCACTTTCTTTGTAGGTAGAATCATCTGAATCATCGTCCTCAGCTATTGGTATATCTTCCATAGCCACATCGATGTCATCGGAATCAAAAGTGGCGTCCCCTTGCCATTCTGGGTACGGCTGGAGATCTGCAACATCTTGACTGCTGGAACCACCAAATATAGACGTGTATGGCTGGGCAGACTGAGGAGGAATGAAGCGTGGGGAGCGGCCGCCGGAACTTGAGGACATGCCTCAACAGTCTGCCGGATTTAATGTGGTAACCAACCACAAGCTTAGATGTACGGACTGTTGGAAGCCTTTTTAGACATGAAACACTCGTACTGCCTGGAATCCTGAAAGCCGTTTGACTCAATCAAACTTCCAGATAGCGATACTAATAAATTTCTTCAGTATGGAGGTATACAGTCCCAGGCGGCGCAAAACAGACGGGATTTCAAGGTCAGAAGGCTTCCTAAGATATAGAAGCATCCACAGACTCTATTTGGGTTGAGAATGTTCGGCCTCTAGAAGTATGGCGACGATAGAAGCACAACCAGAACCTGGATCCGACAAGATTTATTTGATCACGTGACCACACATGTAGTATATGTTTATTTTCTGGATGCTAAGGGCGATTGGTAGTGATCTAGTTGGGGATGGGCTTATGTGACGGAGAATAGGATTGAAACTGAATTATAGCAGATCTATGTATGTAAGACTGATTGCTATGAACAAATACTGAATCAGAACGCCAATTTGTTGGTTATCACCGAAATCCAAATAAGGATATCATTCTGTCAAACAGTCAACTTTTATGTTACATTATTTCTCTGCACCCTTTTCAAGCTTTCTCCGCTTAGAGCGCAGCTTCGCCGCCTCTTCTGACTGCTTCTTGTTCGAGTACATCATCTTCTCCAGCAGCTTCCGCTTCTTGCGACTCATCATCATCTTTTGCCTCTCCAGTTCCTCTTCTTCCTTACGCTTCTTAGACGCCACCTTCTTGGCCTGAGTAGACTTCTTCTTTGTTGAATCACCGGCGGCACTAGAGGAGAATGGAAGACCGGCAGCTTCGGCCTCAAGCTCCTTTTGATGCTGAGTGCGAGCAGATTCCTCTTCATCTTCCGATTCGGAGGCAGCCTCTTCCTCAAATCCACCAAACTCATCTTCCTCTTCCTCTTCACTCTCCTCCTCCTCATCGTCAGTACCAGCAACATCCATACCTCCATCCACAGACTCATCTTCGTCCTCACTTTCCTCCTCAACCGAGTCTTCAGCCTTGGCGTCCGCCTTCTTTCCATCAGTGGCCTCCTCCATCTCTTCATCAGAATCTTCTTCCTCTTCCTCAGCTGCAATTTCAGCCTCGCCCTCCTCTTCTTGCTCAGCCAGGCTAGCGCGAGGATCATAAGCACCCTTCGTGGGCTTGACCCATGGGCTCAGATGGGGGGGAAGAGTAGCACCGGGAGTATACAAATCAGGGCGAAGAAGCTTTCCTTCGTTGATGCAGTCCCAGATCCATTGGGGCTGAACATACGTTCTGCCCGGGATACGAGTGCCAGGCTTGACCTTTTGAACAGCGCCAGCACCATTCTCTGAGGCGGCGGGAACAACCGGAAGTGAAGACTCTGGCAATGCAGGGCGATCGACAATCTGATGGGTGATGCGAGTATCTGTTTCATCATGCGTGAAAGCTCCGTCACCGAGAACAGCGTCCCAGCCGATACGCTTGCAACCAAAGGCACGCAGGATGAACTCCAAGGGAGCCTTAGGGGCCTCTCGAGAAATATAGAAGGTGAATGGGGCAAACAGGGCACCGGCTGTGTCTCCACTAATATCGGGTTGGAGGAGTGTGTCTGCCTCGGGAGCCGCAGGCTCGAACTTGTCGATTTCTTCGGTCGATTCCTCTGTCACCTGGACGGCTTGGTCGTCCTTCGTTTGGTCCAGACCGGCAGATTTGATCACCTTGTCAACCTTGTCCTGGACATCCCGGGATACTTCCTTGTTAGCCGTATTGCTTGTTTGCTTGGCGCCTTCAATAGCCTTAGATGTTTCGCCAACCGCGCGTCCCTCAAGGGTGAATGCCGCTAATTCGGCTCCATTTTCGTCACTTCTGGTATCGAACTTAGGGGGGTATCTTAATCCAAGAGTGGAATACAGGCGGAAGTTCACGAATCCAAGCAAAGTGGTATAGAAGTCCACAAAGGTGGCCATGATTCGATAATCGACATCTCCATTTACCCGCTGAACGAATCGGTAAGGCACCAACCACATAATATCCTGTCCCTGAATGGTCGCCTGGTAGTAGATACCTTTGATTGAAAGGAATGATTTGCGCAGGGAGTTGGTGACAATCAGGTAGTGCTGGAACTCATGGCAAAGGCGTTGGCAAAGCGCGATCGTTTTGGGGGGTACATGTGCAGTTGAAGGAAGGTTCGCAAAGAGGAACAGAAGCGACAGAGCATCATCCAAGTCTCTCAGAGCGTCGATGAAAGTTGGGTAGCGCTCCTTGATGAGATGATCCAAAGTGAGCTGCGGCGCATGATTCTTCTCCAGGCGAGCTGCGTCGCTCACTTCTCCACGTCCAAGGGAGCGGGCAATCTTTTTCGAGAGCGCTTTCTGATCACGGAATTTCCGGAGGAGGGGTTCATGCAGGAGATATTGAATATCTTTCGTGTAGTAGAAAGTAGTGCTGGCAGTCGAGCTTTTGGCGGCCTTCTTCTTGTTCCGAGGCTCACGGGGATAGATGCCTAAATGAAAACAGAAAATCGCTAGTCAGCATCGAACATGATGCATTAAGAAGTATAGAATGAAACACACCTTTGAAAATGCATAGTCGACGGAAGTCAGGCAGGGAAATCTGAAGCTTGCGAACTGCCTGAGTTCTAGTGATATAGTTTTTGGCCTGGCCAGAAGTTCCTGTAAAATGTTATCAGCACCCTGCCGGAAAAAATTGTTTAGTTGAAGTGTACCCTTCTTCTTAATTTTCGCCATCTTGAATGGGTTGTGTTGAAAGTGTTAATGGGTGATTGAAGGTTCTTTTGATACCGAAAAATTATGGTCGATAAGTTTTTTTTTTTTTTTTTTTTGGAGAACGGCAACTTTCGAGTTACTATATGTGGTTAGCCTTTCCTATTTCGGCATGGTAGCATTTAGCCTCCGCCCCTTCAACACCGCCCATTAGATGCCTTGAAATAACGGCCGAGACTCTTGTGCTATGTAACAACATGAATGCTTAGTATACAATCTTGTCCATCGCAAGTTTTATATTTTGAATTTTAACATCCTTTTATACAAGATCAGAAAAGGACAGTTATATATAAGATAATTATGCGCCTTAACTTTCTAAAGTATGTAATGCTCAGTTGAGTAACCTTCACTGTCATACTACATACATTGCATTGCCTATTTATATCGTGCCCTAATGCCCTGCTCAATGGCCTTCCATCGATCTTCTGTGGCACCAAATAAACTTTACCATAATATACACATCACTCATTCAATCCAAAATAGATCATCTGTACCGAGCAATCCTTTGAAAATATGAACTGCTTTAGATTGACGTCAAGGGACTCGGAGTTTCGGACTGAAGATTCCCAATCTAGCTAGTAGACGAAAGGCTCGGAATGGATTATTCGGAGTAAATGGTCCCAACTTCTGAGTTCCCAATCTTCAGCAATGATTGAGGTAAATTATTTTACTCTCAGTCTATTACCTCCGGTTAGGAACCTCTTAATATGTATCGGCGGAACGGTAAGCCCACCTCTTGTGAGCCTTGCAGATTGTCCAAGGTGCGGTGTGATCATGCGACACCAACATGTGCCAGATGTCGTTCCCGGAGTATACCAGAGAAGGTGAAGAGCCCTGTGTACAACTCTTGACTGCTTACAATGATATGGAGATTGGATCTAAAACTTGATAGTGCTATTATCATCCCGCCCCGATGACTCGTCCTGGAACAAAATTCCGTCATTTTCGCACGACGAAACCATCTGCGCCAGGACGGTGGAGGAATGCATCACTCGAGAGTCCTAATACAACATCTCTGTCAGGTCAATGTCACTCACCTGAGCTTAAACGCCGGAAGTCCAATGAAGAGCAACATGGGAGAACTTGGGTCCCTGGATTTGTATCGGTTTTTCCCGAAATCCCGCCTGGAACAGATACTGGCTCAGTAGTCCCATCTGCATCTAGAGTCACCTTAGCAACCTACTACCTCAAGGGTCTACATGTGTCTTTCCCACATTACAAGGATCTTATCTTCAACTATCTTGACCGGAGCCGATCTTTCGTCATCCCCCGGCCATTGTTATTCGAGCTGTTCTCGACTCTCTATGATGATATGAAAGCAGGGGTCGATCTTCATTCTCGCTTAACCCAGAACGCACGCAAGCCCCTTCCCCCCATATCTGTAAACACGACTGTAGAGGAGTTTTGTGGGTGGTTTAGAGGAGACAATATTCGATGGGAACTTCTTGGGGTTGTTTTCGCCCTTGCGGGTCTCGCTTCAGTTCATACTGATGAGCCAGGAAAGTCACCTAGTTATGGATCGTTTGCTACGGATATGTACACAGCCAGCAGAGCATGTATTGAAGTATGCGAAGAAAATAACCAATTAAACGACATTACCACTTGGATGCGACATACAAATGTTGCTCTAGCATCAAACCTGTTTGGAGATACAAGTAGGTGTTTCCTGGGCTCTTAACTCAATAGCCGATCTCTTACAGTCTGGCAATAGGTAGTATCCTATACCGTTGCTTCAGCTCATTGACTGCGGAGCTGTTCGCTTTGAGGTATCACCGCCAGATATCGTTACAGCCCGCAGCACCTTTCTTCATGTCGGAAACCCGCAAGAGGCTCTTTGCTGCTGCAGTTTGTCGAGACATGAACCTTGCAACACTCCTTGAAAGACCACCACTCATTGACTGTAACTTCTGCGATATGATATATCCACTCGATCTGTATGAAGAAGAGATAGTGCTGGTTGGGAGTGAGCTTAATACAGCCCTGCAGAATCTGGATGAGAACGGTTGGAAGATCTCCTCCGAGAGTGAAAAGTTACTCCGACCAGCAACAGGAATACGAATTCGTTTTGCATTATCAAGTCTTCGAGCCAAGGTACTGCGACTATCACTAGGAAACCGGATGGAACACATGACCACGAAGCACATGTATGTCAATACTGTAGCTCTGAATCGGTAATAACTAACCAATCACAGAGAGTTATACCAAGAGTACGAAGATATTTGGACTAAGATCCCGATGCAATACCGCTATAAGAGTGATTTCTGGGACTACCTGAGCCCGAGGTCATGTGTTGTGCTGTTGAGTGCTCATTTAGATCATCTTCACTGTGGCTTTCAGATCCTACGAATGCTCCAACAGGAAGGCCAAGATACACTCACAACCATTCTCGATACTTCCATGAGATTGCTTTCAGGCATGCTTGACTTGATGAAGCAACAAGAGCGATTCGTTGAGTTGCGAGAGAGATTCACATGGATTGTACGTCCGTGCATGAAAACAGGAGTGTAAACTTCGATCACTTCAGCTGACGCTTCCGTGCCTCTAGTTTCTGTTCTATGGTCTTCCTGGCGCCGGTACTCTTGCCACGGAGCTTCATCAACACACGCTCAAGGGACTCCCTTTGCCTTCCTCTATTCCTTGTTCCCGTATAGTTCGGGACTTGAGTGTTGCAATCTCGTGGGTTGAGAAACAGAACTTACCAAACCGCTCAGATTACCAGCTATGCCTTCAAATCAGCAAGGTGATCAGTCGAATGTTAGATGATACCCTGAATCAGGGTCTAATCTCGGCGAAAGATACTAATAGTCAATTGGAGAAGGTACAGCAAGAGCAGCAGGTGCCAGAAGAGTTTCCCATTGACAGATCTTCGGATGCTTCAGATAGATTTCAACCACTGGCTGAGCCATTTACTAGCGAGGAATTTCTCAGCTGGATTGATGACCTGGTATGGGATGGACAAACTAACATTAGTATGGGATTCTGAGTGTGATATCTTTTTTGATGCCCTTCGTCCAAATGATCAGAACTCTAGTTTTGGAGATGTCAATGCGTCCTGAAGTGATGACGAATAGATCTACGGAATGATCATAAGCGGAAAAGGACCTATAGAGAAGGCCATATGGAACAATTCAGTGATCTGTGACAGTAGTAAAATAATAGCATTAGATCGAGGAAGTGATAGTGGCATATCCGATGGCCCGTGCACTGCGACGGAAAAGGCGGAGAGTCTTGGCAGGGCGATTGATATGGAAAAGGGACAAGCTGGAGCAACCGACGAACCCGAACAGTTCCCCAGGCCAATTTCACCGGCCCTGTTGACCCCGTTCGGCTATGTACTGCACACGGAATATTTCCAGATAGTGTCATGCCGGTTGATCGAAGGCAAGCAGCTGTATTCGCGGGCGCATTCGCCCTGCGGCTTCTTCTCTTGGTCCTTTTCCCGTCGCTCCCCGACTTATTGACCGGAAGAGTTGAGGTATCGACACCGGTCAGCAGCTTCAAACGACGTAAGTGATAATGTGATCGAGGAGCAATTGTGCTTTCAATGCAGAGATATTAATGTAAATTACCTCAGTTCAGGAAGGTCTTTTTCTATACACACGGAATGTTTCCCCTTATGACGGCGGCGTCTTCCATCAGGTAAGAAACCTTGTCTCCATAGCTACATGATACTTTCCTGACAACCTACGAAGGCGCCGCTTCTTCTCCCTATCTTTGCTTTGCTTCCGAACGCCCGAGAATTTCCCTTACCGACCGCCTTTTTCTACTCATTGATCGATCTCATAAACGCGAACGCTTTAATCACGATATCCGATTCTGGACAGGCAGTCTCGGGGAGGTTATTCTCAGCATTGCGGAAACATATCAGATGGGATGGGGTTTCTATTGCAGCATGGTAATATGCGACATCCCTTCGATTGTAGTATACTGTCTGACTGGCCAGGTTTCTGTTCAACCCGTTTACTATCGCAACATGCCTGGGCCGGTCAACGAGCGTCTTTACCACCACCGGGATCCTATATGCACTGTCAAGTGCCGTCGGCGGAAATAGTCTTAACGCTATGCTTTCCTTAGGATTTGCGTCATACTTATCGATTTACCCAGCCCTCTTGTTCATCCCTCTCGTGCTTCTCTGTTATGACCGACGTGCTCAAGGACCAAAGCCACCGTCTGGAGTCGCCATCTTCGCCGTACAACATATGGCAATCTTCTTGTTTAGCATAGCCGGTCTACTTGGAATCTCTTGCTTAATAGTTGGAGACTTCTCTCAGTTTATCTCTGCGACATATGGCTTCCAATTACTTGTTCCTGATTTAACACCTAACGTCGGCCTTTGGTGGTACTTCTTCATCGAAATGTTCGACTCGTTCCGGGAGTTCTTCCTTGGGGTTTTCTGGCTTCATCTAGCGGCATACGTTGGGGGACTAACCGTACGGCTGCGGAGGCAACCTCTCTTTGTTATCACGTCTCTGTTGGGAATCTTCGCTGTCTTCAAACCTTACCCTAGCATCTCGGACGCCTCGTTATACTTCGCCCTTCTGCCTCTATATAGGCATCTTTTCCCTCGTAAGTATGACGATCTATCGGATGATGATGTTCACTAACCGTGGATAGTAATGCGCTACACTTTCTTCGCGGTGTCAGCTCTTTTGTATGCCACACTTTTGGGCCCCGCGTTCTATCACCTATGGATCTATGCCGGCTCCGGCAACGCCAACTTCTTCTACGCCATTACCCTGGTTTGGAGCTTAGGGCTATCGATATTACTGGCAGACACCATTTTTGCCGTGCTCAGAGATGAGTGGGAGCAGGAGAATCCCGAAATGCGAGGCAAAGAGGCTAGACAAGTTTAAGATATGGTATCATTATCACATATGAATACAGCAACCCTGATTGCGAACACGGTGGCGTGTATCAATATTTTCCAGACAGTCATCACCGTTTAGACCGCAGCGACTTAGACAGGATCATATAGTCCGGCTCCTTCACCATTCCGTTTCGCAGTACGCGAGGTGGTGGAGAAAACTCGTCCTCGGTGAACCCAAGCTTATAATAAAAACTTACTGCTTTGTCATTCGATCTGAAGACAGTCAGCATCACTTTTACCAGGCCGATACGTCGCCCGATGTTCGCCAACCGTATCATCAGCTGCGAACCAAGTCCCTGGCCTTGAGCCTCCGAGGACAAGTGGATTTCATAACAGTAAACCACCTCTTTCCCATCCTCGTACGTGACCATAAACGAGGTAAACCCTAGGAATTGTCCGGTGGGGGATACAGTGCTCCCTTCCCCTTTTTCCATGTTCTCAGGAGTTGTTTTCGGACCCCGTCGCAAAATCAAATATCTCATATCAGGCAGTCGCATCTCCTTCATTTTTTTCTTCGGAGACCATCCCCAGCTAGACCCTTTGTAGGCATCTGAAGACGTTTCTTCAATCAATCTAAAGCAAGCCTCAAAATCCGCATCCGGAATAGAATCAGCGGTGTAAATATCGAGCGAGTAATGTAACTCTTGCTCATTTTCCAACGCAATCGTGTTTTTAGTAGGGCTTCTCCGATATTCGAGGTCCTCAGCCGATACATATAACTTCATAAATTCGGCCAGCGATAACTTGTTGGTGCGCTCCACCAGGGGCAACCGTTTTTTGCCATCTAAGAACGCGTTAGAACGCGTCCAATCAAGTCTATCATGCGCTGGCTGTCACAACGCAAATGCCTGGTCCGCCCCGGAGTAGTAATTGACGGACATGGATTGTTTTAACAGGGTCGCATACCTTTCCCGAGCTTTTTGCTTAATTGTTCAATTTTGCGCCTCGTCGCATCTCGCTGCGTCGATTTATTCTTCGTAACCCTGTCTTTACCGGAGGACGACATGGTAACGACGTTTTTATGTGGAAATGTATATCAATTGATTAATTCTATCAATTTGCAAGACTTGATCCTGTTATCATCCTCTAGGTATGTTGTAGGATAGCTTTGTGGCTAGTTAATGTTTGGGTTTGATTGGGGGTGCAGGAGGAATTAATTCGGTTGCTTGGTGTGGTTTCCCGAGCATTTAAAACGTCCAATGAATTAGTAGCAGTGCCTGAAGCACTCTTAAGTAGTTAGTATAGTAGTACCAGTACTAGTGATAAATACTTCATGCATAAGTTGGCGCCGCTCTACTGCTTGGATATGTATTCATTTAGTTTTCTCCTTCTAATGTCACAGTTATTCTTTTTTCGAGTCTTAGCCTTTTTTTTTTTTTTTTTTTTTTTTTTTTTTTTTTTTTTTTTTTTTTTTCCATGAATTTCATCTCTGGGTCTTTACTTTCGCCTAATACTTCTACGGATATATAAATAATGCGATGGGATATCTAGAGACCTAGCAAACACAGTCTTACACCATGATCAAAGTCTAAGCTCCCTCTCTCTGCTTCGCAGCATGTTCCTCCGCCCGCCTCTCGGTTTCTTCAGCTCCCACTTCCCCAAAGACATCAATTCCCCAACGGAAGGGGAAGTTGTATCTCTGGTTACGATCAAGTTTGTTCAGGGCTTCAAATTCAGCGTCGGGAATAATGAAATCTAGGGGCAATTAGTCTCTGACCACACAGTCAGACAACAGAAAAGGGATAGGAATGTACCCTGGAAGTTGCTTTCAATTCGCGAGGGGGTGACACTCTTCGGCAGCACGGCAGTGCCGCGCTGGACTGCCCATGAGATCAAAAGGGCGGCGGGGTCTTTGCCTAATTTACTGGCGATCTCTTTGACAGCGGGGTCGTCGACAACACTGGTACATTCATAGGTATTAGTGGACTGTGTGCCGTGGGTTATTTGTTGTAGAGGGAGAAGAGCCATACCGTGGGGCATTGTAGATGTTGTTGCCCAGAGGGCTATATGCGACGGAGAGAATATTCTATAAGCATATTAGCATTCATCCTTTGAAGCACACTCAAAATTAGGGATATTTTGACCTTCTCCTTCAGGTACTTATGAAGGCCAGGCTGTTGGAGATAAGGATGGGCCTCGATTTGGTTGACAGCCGGGGAAATCTTCGCCGTCTTAAGAAGGTCATCAATCTTGTCCTGCGTGAAATTGCTAATACCAATGCTTCGGAGCTTGCCCGCATTCACGAGCTTCTCCAGAGCAGCCCATGTATCAGCGATAGGGACGTTCGCCAAGCGGAATCGCTTCGTGACCGGATCGATAGGCGTGAGAGTTTCGTTTGTATGTTCGAATGCGATGGGCCAATGGATCTGGCACGGTTAGGGTGGGATTCTGTGGTTAAATGACATACGGAGCGAACAAACCAAGTATAGATCCAGGTAGTCTGTCTGGAGGTCCTTCAGGGTCTTGTTGACTGCCTCTTCGACATGTTCGGGATGGTGATGTGTGTTCCATAACTTGCTAGTGATCTGTCTTGTAGTCAGCTCATGTCGCAATATTCGTATTGGTGAAAAGGGAATGTGTCTGGCAAAGGTATTACTGACGAAGATCTGGTCTCGAGGGACACCTGACTTCTTCCAGCCGTTCCCTACTTCATTCTCGTTCAGGTAGCATGCTGCGGCATCGATATGGCGATATCCGGCGCGCAAAGCTGCCTCGACGGCATTCTCAACCTCGTGTGGTTTTGAGAGCTAGGATTGTTAGTAAATGTCAAATGCGATCGGTATTATTCCCTGGCGTGTTCTTTGATACACATACCCAGGTTCCCAGTCCGATGGCGGGGATATTGTATCCTGAGTTGAGTTTGAAAGTTCTTCCTAGAGACATGGTCTTGGTGAATGAGATTTCTGTGTTGTTTTACGCACTATAACAATGTCCAGTCTTTTTCTGCGCGACGATTAAATATTGAGGATTATGTAGGAGGGGAGAGATCGTCGAATTAATAAGGAAAACAGAAATGCCGGAATTGCACCGACTCGGAAAATGAGGTGATAGTTTACCCCTCATCTCTCTTCCCATACTATGACGGATAATTATCCATTGATTCTACAATGATCGGCAATTGAGCTCAGTTAATTAGTGTATTGCGCGATCACTCTGCAACGTAGCCCTTAGGGTTCCCCCCCCCCCAAATGGGGTGTAGAAACGATAAGCTTGAATACATGGTATACCAAAATCAAAGCCAACCCCCATTCAATCGTTTATGCTCACCCCACCCTCTAGGCCAAGGAGGGGAATCAGCTGGGTTTGATCTACTTAGTATTTTCGAAGCCAAATCTGGACCAAGCCTGAGGACGTCATTGAATGAAGGCTGACCGCGAAGCTCCTCCAAACTGAATGCGGCATAATGCGCCAACCACTCTTGAAGATCTGCCGAGGGCTTGTTGGCAGGAATCATCGTATATGCAAGCTTTAAGAGAGAGATAACACCACGCTGATCATCCTCCGTACGTGGTTTGTTTATGACTTCGATGGCTGCTTTGATCTTGGCAAAGACAAGTTCCTTCAGGTTTGGAACAATATAAACCTCGCTGAAGATATACAGTGCCATATGAGCCACTAGGGGATAGCCAAGACTCTCTAGCTGATTGCTAGCAGGGCTTTCCTTGATTTTGTCAGATGCCGTGTCTTTATGCTCTACCACAGGCTCGGTATAGTCCCCTCGATAGGCCCATTCGAGGAATCGTGACAGAGTCCCCTCGGAGGTATCAGAAAAAGTATACACCTCATTTTGTCTCTCAGTGAGATTACTGTTGAAAACCGAAGCAACAGCTTTGCATTTGGCGTCAAGAAGTGCCTTATGGACCTTGAACACACGCGTGGAGTTGAGAGCTTGAAGGGAGACGAAGTCCGACGTAAGGAATCTGCTGACACCATTAATATACTTTTGGATATCCACTATTCTTGGGGTTTTCTTATTTGAGCATAAACTCACTTGAGAAATGAAGCGCCGTTTTCCATCGTCACTGTGGGTTTGTCTTAAGACACTTCAGCAAGTCGAGGGACAGTTCTGATCCTAAGTACGATAAGCCGTAGGAAAATTGCAAAAACCGATGTTCAAGAGAAGTAGGAACTAGCTGTCGTGATTTGATGCAATGAAGATGGGTGTGTAATATTGAAGACCACGGATAGATCTACATTCACTTCTAAGATCACCCTGTTTCCTATGGTGAAGGATATTCACTTGTTAACTTAATAGTATATCATTACTTTGTAAGCAATAAGTTGAAAATGATATATTATCAATATTTTTGCAGCGTAAGCTACTTTGATTTTTCATGTCAGAGAAATTTGGCAAATCATAATCATGTTAAAAACTGGAATATACAGATGGAAAAATGATCATGAGGATCACTTTAGTAAGATGCAGCATGAACTAGGCTAAAGTCATGAAATCAATATGAAAGGGGCATTCTGCATGATGGTATCATAAGTTATTCTCCAATTGTCACTCCATTCGACAGCTTTAAGCCGAAAGGGAGCCCTTTCGTGTATGGTGCGGTGAAAGGTAACCCTTTGTGCCTTGCGATCGCTTCTTCGATATCTTTGTACATATCGTACCTTGACCAGATAGTCAGAGCCTGCTGCAGAAACACTGGGCCAAAGAGTCATAGACTTACGCATTCATCTCTTCGATAGTCAGCTTCTTCTTCTCATCTTCGACTTTATATACGGAGTTTGTAGTATTGCTCGAGAACCCTTGAAAATGTCAGTAATCTCTTCTCCAACGGCAACAGCATTACTGACCTATCCGTTCATTAATATTATAAGCGGCCTTTGCTGCAGCAGATTGAACCTTCGTAGCTCGGGGCAGTCGGATTTCGTCATAGATGGCGAGGGTTTCAGCAATATCTCCAGTGAAGTTGGTCTTATTGAAAAGGATTCCAAGTGCGGCGGCATCTTCAATTGCCATACAGGCACCCTGGCTTTGGTGAGGCATCATCTGCATTATATTAGCCTTGTTGAGCGTACAACTAATATGACAAGGGATGACGCTGTACCGGATGACCTGCATCGCCGAGCAAACACACCATATCACGGGCGATGTATGGATATGGTTGGCTATCGAATGTGCGTTAGTACAAGTCTATAACAGAGCAAAAGGATGTCAACTTACTGAACCCACAAACGCCACGGCCGGATTTCTGTGCCAATAGATAGGTGAGAAAACACTTGACGATCGAGCTCCGGGTACGGCTCCAGTAGCTCCTCCACCGGCCGGTCTGCACTGCCCCAGGTGTGATTGCTAAAGTCACCTTTCTCTCTCGAGAAAAAGCAGTAGTATGATAGCAAACGACCACCATTGCATGGTGAGAGTACAATTTTGTCCCACTTGCCTTCTTGACCACCCCAGTACTCCAGCGCACTGTTTTGGGAGTAGTCAACCAGGCCAAGTCGGACGGCATCTTCTGTACGGACATTGGCGTGTAGGCAACTCTGGTCTGAAGGCTTCTTCTCTGGACGAAGTCCTATGATACCACGAACAACCGAACCAATACCGTCAGCGCCAATGATCAAGTCATGTTGAGCCTGGACTCCGTTTGTGAACGTGATGACACCTGTGGCTAGGTCGATATCTTTGCACTGAAGGCGATGTTAGCTTGGACCTGTTCGTCTAGTAGCATCGTAGTGGAGATGGAGTGGTATACCGCATGGTTAACCTGGAGCTTAGCTGGAGTGCCTTCCCCTTCCTCTTGTAGGGCACAGTCCTTCAACATCGCATGCATGTACTGACGATGGAACATGTTGTAGACGTAACCCCATCTCTCCTCGTAATCCGCGAGGTCGTAGACACTGACCGGCTCGCCAGTCTTCCAGTCATGGTTGATGAGCTTACGCAGCACGACTGGGTCACCCTTTTCGATATCCACGCCCCACTCATGAAGCCATCTCGTACCATTGGCAGCACATGAAACTGAGGCGCCGACCTCGCCAGCAAAGTCGTTGCGTTCGTAGATGGTTACATCATGACCGGCGCGGCGGAGGGCGATAGCGACGGACATGCCGCCAATACCACCACCGACCACACCTACATTCAGTCGCCTCCAAGATTCTTGATGAGAGCCCATAGTTGCAGTTGAATGAAGTAGGTATTGTAGAGTGTTTGTGACAGTGAGAATGATTTCTAACTGTGAGGGTGTAGGTATGGTGGCCTTTTAACTCTTAAAACGAATGAAGGCATGATAAGTCACGCGCATTACGGCGCAGCTTATCACTAATTGACTCCTTCTTTCATTTCATTTGCCTATGAGGACTGTTGGTGTGAGGCGAATAACATGACGCTTGTTGGGCGGAACATGCACACCCGACCAAGTGCATTACCCGAGAAGGGGGGAAAGGGGGGTTACGGGCCGCGCCCCATCTTAACAAAAGCCGGGATGAACTTCTTTACCTCCTTGCTGTCCAGATAAGAAACATGAACTCCATTCCTCCAACTCCATTTCTCACTGCCCCACTTTTGATATGCTACGTGCTACTATTCGCATCCGTACTCGCGGCTAATAATCTCTGGTGTATTTACGGGGTACTTTCCGCTTAGCAAGTGTGGGAACTTTGTTGTGACAGCAAGCCAGTCGTTCTCCACCGTCCCCGATCCTCTATCCGATGCCGCGGCCGCGAGTAAAACCACAAGACCGGAAGCGTTCGGTCAGGGCATGTCTTGCTTGCAAAGCGTCAAAGAAACGTTGCGATGGCACCCGGCCTTGTCGAACGTGTCAGATGAAGGGCACCGCTGATTCCTGTGCATTCACATCCCAGCAGCGAGGAACACAGCCCACCCACACTCGCGGTTCTATTCAACTACAACAGTTAACGCCGTCGGAAGCTGATCACCATGCAATCACATATCACACTGTAACTCCCATCGAGAAACCGCGACCGCGAGAAAGCGATGATGTCCGTAGTACGCGAGATACAACGCCCTCCGCCGGGCAACGGCCTACTATGCTGTATAGCTCTAGTGGTGAGAGAGGTGTGTTGCGTCCAAATGAAAGACCTTCCCCTTGTGAGAACCAGATGTTAATCTAGAGAACGTGGCAGTTTTTATGGGCGGTGCTGCCGCCGTATCTTTCCTTCAATTTCTACAAGCGATAGTAAAACGCTATGTTGGTCCCGTGGGTTTTACTGAGAGCCAGAATAGCCGCAAGATGTTCGAAGTGGATGTCCCGGACACTGGAACGGACTTCTTTGCCGACGAGCTGATGGAGACAGAGAAATGGGCACTTATCCAATGCTTCTTAGATGTTGTGAGTCTCCATCATCAGCCTCTTACGCCAGACGCAATCTGAACTTGTAGCTTACGCGATGGAAAGTCTAGTGGTCTTTTAGACCTCTTTAGCTGGGAGGAGATCAATCGGATGGTAAAGGTGTCCAATAGTATTCGTATGCCCAACGCCGGTCGATTGGATAGCCACGTAAAGGAGGACCTCACTGCTGTATACATGATGATTGCAATAGGAGCCCAATGCAAAGGCCGAACTCAGGATGACCTCTTATGTGCAGCAAGATACTTCTGTCAAGCCAGGAAAATGGCGTTTGGTGGTTTTCTAGAGGATCCAACAGTCTATATGGCCCGTGACTTTCTGCTGATGGCCTTCTATATGTTCGGAGCCTGCCGTCGAAATGCAGCCTTTATGTATATTGGAGTAGCAGCAAGAGCTTCTATAGTTCTTGGGCTACATATTTCCGGACAGTACAGACAGATGCCTGCAGAGGACAGGGCTAGAAGGTATGTTCTTAGCTGCTGATTGTTGGGGAAAGCTAATCGAATCGCAAGGCTACGGATCGGTAAAAGCATTCGAGTTCTCGATCTCGTCTCGAGCTCTATCCTAGGCAGACCTGGAAGCACATCGTCACTCCGCACCGATGATATCCGTGTAGATGATTTCGACCAAGAAGCTAGTCATCGCACTTCAGCCCTCAATGCTGCGTATGAGGCCTCCTCGGTGCTGGAGGCTATTGTCCAGAGGCTTACGGAGGGGGAGAAGTTGGATGCTAATTCTGCCGACCACTTCCTGCAAATCTGGCGTGAATGGAGTCAAGCACTGCCCGACAAACTGCGTCTACGACCGCGGAAAGAACCCGATCTGGGCTCAAATCCAGACTATCGAGAAAATATGATTGGGAACATCCATGTCGCCTGCACTTACTATTTCGGCGTCATCCTTGTGACTCGTCAATCCTTGATCCAGCACATTATGCCGCAAATACGCGGCAAGCGACCAAGGAAGACGAGCCTCCGTCAAGATACCAGCGAAGCAAATGAGAAAGTTGCTGAATTGTCAAGCGTATGTACTGACGCTGCGACCTACATGGCACAAATGTGCTGTGATGCAGCCGAGGCTGGTATTCTATGGGGAAATATGTGTATCTTGAAGTAAGAAGATACTGCCTTTATTGAGATACATCAAGTCTACAGTAAGCTGACGAGGTCTTACAGAGCATGGCTCTTCGCAGCTGGCCTGGTCTTGGGGTTTTCTCTTCTCTCGGAAGGGCAGACGACCTCGGAAATTTGCGATGCCTTTCACGGCGCGTGCCGTTTGCTCGGGTCACTAGGACACCTGAGCCCTCAGGCGGCACAGTACCATCGTATTCTCACGAGTTTTTCCGAGGCCATCGATGTCTACCGCGAGCGGCTACGGCGTGAGCGGCACGAGTCCCGAACGCCATTTGTTGAACGGATATTGACTCTGGACCCGAGCAGTGACACCAATGGTGATCAGCAAAACAATCAAGAACTAGCACCTATCGACACAGTGAATGGCGAACCAAGAGTGGGAGAGAACGAAGATGAGTCCTTCATGGACTCACTCTCCGGCTTCTTGAGTCTACGAGAAACATCTGACTGGCCGCCGCCGCCGGGGAATGACGACCTAATGCTACGCCTCTTTTGGGAAGGATATGCCCTCAACTTCACAGACTATCTCCCACCTGATGAGACAGTACCTCCTCCTACTTGAGAAGACTGCGTGATGTGCAATGACAGATCTTAAGTGGACGAGAGGTATGCTTAAATGAGCGTTGGCCTTTGAATTTACCAATTTTGGAGATATAACAGCCTATGCGTCGGTATCAACGACACGAAAAGAGCGGTTGTTTCGCCAAGTAGGCCTGATGGTCATACTGATCGCTGTCCAATCTTCATGGCATAGAACGACCTGAACACTTGGTGAGCATGCTTGATTTGTGTATTTCGATCCAAATTTTGAGATACACAGCGAGCCAACTGTCTCATGGCAAGAGACAGTGGATAGATTGCCAAGGGCCATATTTCCAGGTGACAATATGTGGCTTAGTTTCTTGCTCGATTAGTATATGAATATTAAGAGAATAGGGTAACCTACCAATGTACAGGAACTATCTGAGGATCTAGGAGAAGAAGACCGGTGTAACGAATAAAGAACTTGATCTTAGGGGCTTTACTATGAGGTTCTTTTACCTGTATAGTTAAGATGCGAGAACTGCGGTATAACAATATGTATGGCTCTGCCTACTTTATGATTCTGGTCAAATGTACTTCTGCTTAATGAATCCCATTCCCCAGCAAAATCGGAATTTCTTCAGACTATGATATGCCACTAGGAGGTACTTCCGCACAAAAAAGCATTCTCAGTCAAGGGAGAAATGTTCAATTAAGTCTCTCATTACTTATAAAATAACCGTGTGTGACCATGTTCTGAAGTCTAGTACACAAGACTACACCAATGGAGTTACTATAGAGCATAGATAAGAGTGACATGGTATAGGATAGTCTCTTCGCCTTCATACATGTCAGCCTTGAGCAAAGTGCGGACGGGCGGGCAGGCAGGTATTGATAAAATACCATGATCACTTTCTACTGATAATCTTCTTTTCTTATCTGTCAATTGTGTTCCAACTGCCGCAGATCCCATTATTCCGATCCCAATATGAGCCCTCGGCCCCTCGCATGGGCCCTTGATATGATTCCCTCTCATTGCATAACTAAAGCATTGCATGGACTAAAGCTACTACCTACTAGTAGGTCTGTGACTTAGCCCAGGGTTCTAGGTCCCCAATATGACTAGAATATCTATAGAATATTAGACAGCCATTTAGGCTATAGGCGCTGAGCCAGCGGTGGGGCAATTGTTGCCTGAGGCAATGGCCGTGACTATCTAACAGACAAAGATATACTAATCAGTCGATTTGGAGAAAAATGCGTCAAGAACCGAAAATCATTTTGCATACGCTACGAAGTTGATCACATGTTTATAAAACGACCCCCCGGGCGCTTTATCAGTGGAAAACCTGACGAGAACGGCCCACTCATTGGCACCATAATTTTCATCTTGTACCCGGAAAAGGAAATCAACCTGAGTCGGATTTATCAGCAAAGGGGGACCACACACTGCTCCATGAGCTGTGATTTGGCGAGGAACACACTCGAACTTCGGACGTTGGACCATTTCGGAGAGAGAATGGCTCCCAGTTACTCCATCTACCGAATCCTCATTCGAGGATGGTCTCAGATGTGGGGATCTGCCCACTTACGTCAAGAATACAGGCTTCCAGAAGCTTTACAACTACATAAACCCCCTCCACCAAGGAGCTGAGTGTCGAATTTTCCCACATACCAACTCATAGTTGTTTTATACCCCATTGACACCAGTAAATAATCATGGCGCCCGAGAACATGAAGCAGTGGACCGTGCAGGGCAAGGCCAACGGCTTTGACGAGCTTGCCTACAATGATGCGCCAGTCCCCAAGGTTGGCGATAACGATGTGTTGGTGAAGTTCCACGCCGCCTCGCTCAATTATCGTGACCTTATCATTCCACGGGTATGTCGATGACGACAAAACCTCTCTGTAAATTTGTCTGTCCCCTGCTAATGCGCGCTGCCAGGGCATGTACCCCTTCGCCATCAACTTCCCCGTTGTGCCAGGCTCAGATGGAGCCGGTGAGGTTGTCGAAGTGGGTCCTAAGGTGTCTCAATTCAGCAAAGGAGACAAGGTGATCACCTTGTTTAACCAGCTGCACCAGTACGGCCCTGTCGATCCCAGGGCCGCCGGATCTGGCCTGGGTGGTGTTATTGATGGTACCTTGCGTCAATACGGTGTCTTCAACGAGAATGGTCTGGTGAAAAGCCCGAAGAACCTCACCCACCTTGAGGCCAGTACGCTCTCGTGTGCTGCTCTTACCAGCTGGAACGCTCTGTATGGCCTGAAGCCTCTCCAGCCAGGACAGACTGTTCTGGTGCAGGGAACTGGCGGCGTTAGTTTGTTTGCACTGCAGGTAAGCCTTTCCGTCTAGTTCTATATTAGCCAGTTGGGCTTGGAGCGGGAGATCTAACGAAATTTCCATGATAGTTCGCTAAAGCTGCTGGAGCGACTGTTATCGCTACTACCTCCTCTGCTGAGAAATCTGAGAAACTGAAGGAGCTTGGCGCAGACCACGTTATCAACTACAAGTCCGATCCCAATTGGGGCGAGTCTGCTCGCAAGCTTACCCCCAACAATGTTGGTGTGGACCACATTGTCGAGGTCGGAGGCAGCGGAACTCTTAATCAGAGCTTCAAGTGCATCAAGTTCGAGGGTGTCATTAGCATTATTGGTTTCCTCGGCGGCGTTGACCCCAAGTCTCAGCCAAGCATTCTTGATACTCTCAGCAACATCTGTACCGTTCGGGGTGTTTATGTCGGAAGCAAGGAATTACTGAACAACATGGTTAAGGCTATTGAGGCTAATGATATCCATCCTGTTGTGGACCCTAAGGTCTTCACCCTCGACAAGGCTAAGGATGCTTATGAATACATGGTAAGGCTATCTGTGTTTCTCAAAGGGATAACACCTTATGCTAATATTCTTCACAGTGGGCCCAGAAGCACTTCGGAAAGCTAGCGATCAAGATCGATTAAACGTCCTTAGAAGCGCAGATACCTAACGTAACGGATATGACTGGTCAATACAACTTTTATAGAGAATAAAACAATCGATGAGCATAATACACTGGGTCCTAGGCTAGCACTTCAATTAACTAACCTAGAGCTCCAGCTACCATCGCCAAGAAAAGGCTTGGTATCTCCAGAAACGACTCGCAGTCAGTGATACGAAAGCTGCTGACGAACAACTACAAATCCACCAAGATCTCCGTAGCAACACGTTCCCCTGATCGAATCGCGCCGTCCATGAACCCAACCCAGAAAGAAGAGGTCTCTGTTCCCGCAAAATGGAGCTTTCCGTGCGGTGACTTTAATGAAGTACCATATGCCGTGAGCACACCAGGAGGTGCATACGCAACAGGCCCTCCCCTAGAAAATTGTTCAAGATCCCACCGCTGGATGACCCAGTTCTGAACATTAGCTGCTTTGGGCCCAAAATAGCGAACTAGGTCTTCCGTGATCTCTGTGATTATCTCACGCTCGGGCAATCGATCTAGTCTCCTCATTTCGTCCGCCTCGATAAAACCCATCATGACACCGAATGAACCATCGTCAGGGGAGCTATCGAAAGTAATTCGTACGGCCCCAGTGTCGCTGACAACCTGCCCGTTAAGGCCGGCCTCCCGCCAGAACGGAGTAGTGTACGTAGCGAATGCTTTTCCAATAGATCCCATTGGCATTCGTTGGGTAAGATGATCTCGCGCTGCTGGCAGCAACGGCTGATAAGTGATACGGGATGCCAGGGGAGGAGACATGGCAACGACCACGTGTTTTGCTATGACTGATTGATTATTCGAGGAGACAAGGTAGGTCTCACCTTTCAACTCGATGTTTCGAACAGCAGCATTGAAAATGATATTGCTCAATCCGATCCTCTCAGCAAGTTTGATTGCTAGCAACTGGGTCCCTCCCAAGATACGTTGCTCCTGTGCTCCGCCAGCTACATCTATGAGGCGCTCGAAGGTTCCACGCGTAGTTGCATTACCTGCAGCCGCGATATACGCGAGTGTGTATAAGAGCGACTGTTCTCGAGGCTCAGTGGAAAACACCGATTGTAGACCTTGGGTAAGCAGAAACTGGGCATCCGGATGGGGCGCTTCACGGTTCATCCAGCTTTGTACAGTCTCGCTATCCCATTCGATTGATTGAGAGTGGTTCCATGGGGAATTGACATCCAGCTCAGTCGCCATCGCATCCAGTAGCAGAAGTGCCCGTCCAGCCTGCACCAGGCCATCGGGCGAAACAGGCACATCTCCGGTCGTGAAGGTTCCATTGAACGCGCTGCGTGTTCCGTTTCGGAAAAGGGTCGTATTGCCTGAATTAAACGTTTTGAAAGTCGACAAGCCAAGTGATTGTGTCAGGTCGAGGACTCTGTCCTGAGTTGGTCCCACGAATTGAGCGCCGACTTCTACAATTCCCGTATTTGGTAGTTGGTTATTGAGGACGCGACCACCGACTCGGTCTCGAGCTTCGAATATCACAAATGACTTGCCAGCTTTTGCAAGATCCTTTGCTGTGCTCAGACCGGATAGTCCGGCTCCTACTATTGCGACGTCAACAATGGGAAGGTTCTGGGATCCGCAGATAAGTGGGAATAGGACAAATAGGATGAGCTTGGGGATAGAGTACATATTGATAATTAGTGTTCGAAATAAACTTGTCTATGAATCAACAACTGCGAAATAGTAGTCAATGTGTGATAAGCTAAAAAGATGTGCTCTCAATCACGGTTAACTATGGCAGATTAAATACGAGCCATAAAAGAAAATATATCTGTGTTGCCGTGAACTAGATCTGTCACGAGATGTGGCAGGTGATTTCCATTAATATCACTTGACTGACACAGCTTGTAGTCATGTTGAATTGATATCCGTTAAGACTCCAGATTGGGGCAAAGAATACTTCCCGTGATTGGAAGATATATAAGCCAATGATGGAGCAGAAGAGCAGAGCTAAACCTGTTCCCCTCACGCCACTTCAATGGACGTTGTTTTGCACGTTGTACACCTCATCGCGCATTAAATCGATCACCGACTTTTCCCCTGACCTTCCCTGCTCGGGTAAAATAGCATATAATCTTAATAAACCCGCTTACTCTCGAAACTCCCTTGCCAACCCCAGCCAAGTCACTTTACAATTACACCACTTTCAATGCAGTTCAGCACTGGAAAAGAATCAAACAATCCAGAAGTGGGTGCAGGCTCAAATAGAAATCAATCGCGGACCCAATTTATTCGCCCGGCGCAGATGAGCTTATTTTCTCGGATCACTTGTTATCCTCCCTTGGGGCAAGTAACGTGCCCCCAGAGAGTCCAGCAAGCTCTAAATCCCGGGAAAGATGATACGGTAAACATTTGCAGTACATTATGATAACTCTATCTTCTAATATTGTAACAGGTTCAATTTACTGTCGTGATAGAATCAAGCCATTCACTCCCCGAGCAGCCATGGGAAGCTCAGATATGGCACAACATCACGAGCGCTGAATGGAGTGCTTTTCCTCTTCAGCAAAGCTCAAACCCGGTGGTGCCTCTCATGAACAAAACTGAATCAGAGTATAAGTTTCATCGCCATGTGTTTTGCGGAGAGATCCCGCTACCATCACATGGAGGCTGCGCACAGTTTACTGTCCGGTATAGGGTCAGTCAAGATAACGATTGGCAATGGGTGAATCAACAGCAGAACACCAAGGATGGAGAATTGGTGTTTTCTGCAAGAGAGCCTGAACAAGAAGATATCAAACTGGCACAGCTCTCTCTAGCATCTGCAAAGGAGGAGTTTGGCAAGTATTTCGATGGCCTATCTCCTGATCTCGAAGTCGAGTCCCGCAAAAGTGAGGCCCCTGGATCAACCTTGTGGCATATTTCTGGAAAGGCCGGTCCGGCCCAAAATAACCAGTCTGGATTCACTAATGTCGTCCTTGGGGTGCCTTCTCGGACAATGCTGTACTTCGCTTTGGTCAGGGTGTGGACTCCGTGGCTTGGACCCAGACACGGACGAGGAAAGTTTAGAATAACAGAAGACGCCATTCTTTGCTCATTCCTTCGAGAGGATGGGGAGCACGTAGTAATTCTGGCCGTTTCGGGCATAAATAGCGTTTTGACTGTCCTTGGGTCCGGTGATAATGGTGAGGTTGTGATCAAATCGCAGAATGACAATGCTACTGCATCAGACCTTCAACTACTGGCATCCACAGCAGCCAACTTAGAGGTAGCAATAAGCGCAGTGATTTATGAGGCGCGGAAGCTTGTTCGGCCCTATGGCACAGAGACTACTGATCGGATTCCAACTCCAGTGTCTCCTCCAGGGGACGATGTCGTTCTAGTCGAAAAAGACCCCGAAGCACAATGGCTGTCTGAGTGGTACGATGGCCTGACATACTGCACATGGAATGGCTTAGGGCAAGATTTAACGGAAAAAAAGATTTTCGATGCTCTTGATACAATGAAATCCCATGGAATCAACATCTCTAATCTTATAATCGATGATAACTGGCAAGCTCTAGACAATGAAGGTGATTCCCAATTCAAGCGGAGATGGAAACAGTTCGAAGCCAATCCAGATGCGTTTCCTCGAGGACTAAAGAAGGCTGTAGAGGCCATCCGCCGAAAACATCCGAATATCCAGCATATCGGCGTGTGGCATGCCTTGTTCGGATATTGGGGTGGTATTTCACCTGACGGTGATATAGCCAAGGAATTCAAAACGAAAGAAGTGAAGATTAAAGATCCAGCAGCCGGGGGTCCAATTGCCAAGGCGTTTGAGAAGCAGTCACTACTTGCCATTGACCCCGATGATATTCAACAATTCTATGACGAGTTCTACAGTTATCTTGCCTCTACTGGCGTCGATGCCGTGAAAACTGATGCTCAATTCTTTCTTGACCTATTGAAAGAACCGGAGGATCGGCGCAAGTTCACCAGGGCCTACCAAGATGCTTGGTCCATATCCTCCCTGAGATACTTCGGAACAAAGGCTATCTCGTGCATGTCAATGTTTCCTCAGGCTATTTTCAATTCACAGCTACCCACCAACAAACCTACTATTCCACTACGGAATTCCGATGACTTCTTCCCAGAGGTGCCAGCGTCTCATACATGGCATGTCTTCTGCAATGCCCATAATGCACTCCTCACTCGCTACTTGAATGTCCTACCTGACTGGGATATGTTCCAAACAAGTCATCCATATGCCTCTTTCCACGCAGCTGCACGATGTGTTTCCGGCGGCCCAATCTATATCACCGACGAACCGGGGAGCCACAACATCTCCCTCATCAATGAAATAACAGCCCCAACTACCCAGGGAACTACGGTAATCCTTCGTCCTAGTCTAGTAGGCCGCACCATCGACATGTACCACGACTACAGCGCTGGCCAGGTACTGCGGGTGGGTACCTATACGGGCTGGGCCCGAACTGGAAGTGGGATTCTGGGCCTCTTTAACGTTTCTGATCATCGGAAAACCAGCTTGGTGTCTCTGCATGAATTCCCAGGTATCCATGATGACTACGATACGAAATATATAGTCCGATCTCACACAAGCGGCACCATAACAGATCTCATGAGGCCAATCGACCGACACGCGCTCGTAGGAGTAGTGTTAGAAGATAAAGGCTGGGAGATCTTGACCGCATACCCCATCCAGTCCTATACTTTGAAGCGCAAAAGTTCAAGTCACACCAGCGAACCAAATCCTACGCACACTGCAGTATTAGGATTGCTCGGAAAAATGACTGCTGCAGCTGCCATAGTGAGTTCTGACATTCACGTGGAGGCGAACGGGCGTCTCCGCTTCGATATCAGTCTGAAAGCGCTTGGTACATTGGGTATCTATATATCTGACCTGCCTGATTGGAGTATTGAGGATAACTTTATGGTCACAATTCTTGGTTATCCTGTACCACGGAAGACTGTTTGGAAGGAAGGAGATGATGAAAAGTCCAAAGTACTGGCTGTGGATATCCTGACGGCATGGAAGGACATGAAGTTGAAACCGGGATGGAGCAACGAGGTTATTGTGCAGATATACTTGGGTTGATTGCATATACGCACAAGATACAGCAAACAAATATGTCAATGATCTAATCCACTATATTGTTACTAGACTATTCTATGAATACTTGAAACAAACAGACACAATTGTCTTCCAAACGCTCATGTCATACTTGTAGCAGCGTCATATCTATAAATCAAGGAGAATAAACGAACAGAACACTCATTCCAAAACAGCTCGCCACCCCCGTCTAGGCACAAAACCCTCCACACCCTCATCCTCCAAAACCTCCCTCCCCAACCTCCCAGTAACAACACTCCTCTCAACCTCAGGCCCCCGAACATTAAACGGCTCAAACCCTAACAACCGCCCCATCCCAGGATCCCATTTCCTCACCCACTTTTTCCCACCAGGCCCAGACCCAGCCTCAGCCACGAACCCAGAATTCACCCGGTCAAGAGTAACAAACCATCTCCGCTGGTGAACCGACCCAATGGAGTTAACAGCCCCAGGATAGGCATTATTAGTCCGAATCTGTTCGTCTGTATCATCTTCTTCATCCGAGTGTTCCCCACCCGGAGTCTCAGACGCAGATAGAGTTTGATCCGAAACGCCAGGAGCCGGCGCCCCTGTTGAATCACCTTTAGATGGAGGTGGCGAGGAATCAGAAGACGAGGTACTAGGCCCTCCTTTAAGGTTTGGAATTGTTCGACGACGCCGTTTTCGGGGTGTAGTAGGATTTCGTCTGAAGTCTATGTTTTTGTCGAGACGGAGGATGATGGTGTAGTTTTTGGGGAGTTTTGTTCCGTGGAGACGGAGGCGGATTTTGCGCTGATTTTTTTTTAGAGATTTGGAAATATGGGAAGAGAAACTTTTTTGCTTTTCTTTTTGAAAAGGGTTATTTGGGAACATACATTCTGAAACGCTTGGCGGAGTTTTTCACTATCGGTTCTTGAGTCTACGGTTGATATGGATGTATCTGATGAAATGTCGGAACGGGAGTCGTCTGTTTCGGGTTGCGTTTGTTCGGGTTGGTAGGGCAGGATTTCGTATTCTCCTGTATCCCAGATGATCATGCTTCCTGTTCGAGTGGATGCGGTTTCGATGAGATGGTTCTATGGCTGTTCCTTAGTTTCTATGGCATGGTAAAAATAGATATAGAAATGGGGTAGAGAATACATACCCATAAACAATGAACCCGCGTCTCCGTCGCATTTCGGTTCAACCGTCGACTGTTGGGGTTACCCGGTAATCCATACATGATGGACCAGCTAACAGAACTGGAGTCCGAGAACTGCAACCGGAGATCATAATGCGATCCAGCAATGGGGTGGTCATGCTGATGAATGACGAAGTGTCTTCCTTCTGAAGACTGGTTGCACTGGTACAGATATACCCAGTCTGGGATCTGCAATCGAGGTGACTGTGATACTACAGGCCGGGCAGCTTGACTGAGTCGTGAAGAAAAGATGGATAGGTGATCTGTGACTTCGACCTGGCCGGCTTCAATGGCGGCTAGATTGTGGCGCTCTTTGTCGGTAAATGTTTTTGCTTGTTGCTCTGAGGCTTCTGGCTTGGATGAGGCATTGCTCAAATGTGTAGCCTTTGTTGTGGACCTTTTCCTAGGAGGAGATACTGGTGCATCAAGGCTGGAAAGTTTGGGGATATCATTGTCTTCTATGGTTGGCTGTGTGGATTGCTGTGAATCGCGATAACGTTTCATGCTTTAGTAATGCTGTTTACTCGAAGAGGTGTAAGTAAGCCTTGAGGCTTTAATCCTAGACTAGATGAACTGTTGTAGCATTCAAGCGAGAGAGCGAGATGATGTTATAGTCCGGCTTAGTCATTCGGTATACTGATCCTGGACTCGCCAGTTCACAGACTGCTTCCAAGTAACCATCAATATTACAGGTTCACGGAAATCCGAGGTCCGCGCTGACTCGACTTTGTGGGGAATTTATAGTATTTATGCATGATCATTACTGCGTGTAGACATGTCTTACTATCTGCATGTAGCCTTGCCTCAACCCCTCATTGTGAGTTGGCAACCTAGCAAAATCTGCCGTCATCTACCTCACGATGGATTCTCTACTGGGTTCACACTCATCGAGTGACCAAGCCCATCCATCTGTTCAAATATGCGATTGTCGAATACCAGCACTCTGCAATTGACAGAGTTCGTAAGTAACTTTCCTCCATATGCGATTTTATCGCACACATGGTCGTCGGAAGAAGTCCCCTTCCAACAAACCCATTCGTGGGAAGCACGCTATAAGCAAGGATACCAGAAAATTCAAAAATGTTGCGAACAAGCGCTTGCGGACAATTTGGAGTACGCATGGTTGACACCTGCTGCATCGAAAAATCAAGCAGTGCTGAGCTTTCGGAAGCCATCAACTCTATGTTCCAGTGGTATAAGAATGCGCACGTGTGCTACGTTTACCCTGCAGACGTTGAGGGCCCGTACAGGAAGGACACCGGAACTCCTCTTTTCACATACACAGCAGATGGTAACCCGAGTCGATGGTATACCCGAGGCTGGACGCTCCAAGAGCTTCTGGCGCCGTCAAACGTTGTCTTTTACAACCGGGAATGGCAGTGGATAGGGACTAAATGCCAAATGCTTGAAGCGATATCTAACATAACACAAATCGACGTATTCAATCAAAATAAAATTGATATTAAGCCCACCTGTGTATGGCAGAAGATGTCATGGGCCGCAAGGCGAGAGACGACCAGATAGAAGATAGGGCATACTGTCTCCTTGGTCTGTTTAGAGTGCATATGCCTCTTCTCTACGGCGAAGGGAGGAATGTATTTCGCCGTCTCCAGGAAGAGATCATCAGAACTTCAACCGATATGAGTATCTTTGTCTGGGGTGGATATGACTTTTCCTGGGGGGTTCTTGCCACCTCTCCCACATACTTCGCTGATTTTCCATTTATTCCCAACCGCGCACTAAAGGCTATGCGGAGGACGCAGCCCTATGAAATGACGAGTGCTGGACTGCGCATCATCTTACCTTTGCTATCTATTCGCCGACGCATTGGATCTGGACCAACAAGCAGGAGGACTTGTGAGTTTACGGATCCTAATCAGCTAGGCAAAGGAGATATAGTGGTGGCTGTTTTGAATTGTGTGGTGATAGCTGGTCGGCCGGAGAACGCCATCGTTGCTGGGATCATTCTACGCTTATCAGACCAAGAGGAAATTTTTTCTCGCATTTGTGTATCCAATTACCTACATGTCGAAGTAAACAACATTCCCCAGCCGAAGGAAGTGGAAGTATTTATCGATTGCTCAGGCCCTCCACCTCTCCAATACCTCAGCAGACGCAGAACTTCATGCACAGTCCAGTTCATAATTCGGCAATCAAGTTCAGTACAAAGGTTCATGCATTTCGATCCACATTATTCGGGCTGGAAACCAGTCAGTGTTGAAAATAGCCTTACACTACGAAACAGATATTCTATAGGCCTGGAACTTCTATATGATGGAATACAGTGCGCCATCATCTTTACGCAAGATACACAAAACCTGCGGTGCGGTATCACACTAGAGTCTAATCTATGTCATGCTATTCAAGAAGCACCTATGCGAAACGACTCATACGTTCCTATCTTGGACAGCAGTGCTGATGGAGTCTGGGCAACTGCGCAGATGCCAAATAAAGTCAGCGTTGTCGTCTCAGCCCTAAGAAATTATGATGTGGGCTTTCGGGCGACATCGGAGTTAGGAGACTATGTTATTGACATTTACTTCAGTAAAGACTTGAGCATATAGTAGTTAAACAACAAATGTGCCAAGTTGCTAGGCTTCTAGCCCTGTACACGAAAAATATGCCCCTAAACTGGTGGAGCCTTGGAAATCTCGAACGAACTCCATCACAGTCCATGGCTGACCTCTCGCTCTTCTATATATGAAGGACTCGTATCCCCCTTTCATGGACAGATTCTACTCTGTTTGTTTTCTTCCTTCTTTTCCCTTCTGTCAATTTGTCAATATGAATGATATCCCGCCGAACTCCACAGTCCAGCCCAAAGCCACAGTGGGTACTGAACCACACAAGCCCTAAGTCGTGTTCCACCTTAGCACGTTTGACAATCCTTTCCCCCATCTAAGTACACACTCAGCCAAGATCTCCCGTAGCCCAAACTTATTTACAAATAGCCTACGGAGACCCTTGGCATCTTCCATAAACTGGAGGAGCTTGAGGGAATTATTACCCAATTTTAGTTTCACCTCGAACTACCGGATCGCGACGCCCAATGCTCGGATGAGCTGGCAAAACAATGCAGTCGGTCGCCGATTATATCGGAAAAGAGATCCTAAGTGAACGACTAAAATGGTTGCCAAGCTCGCTTGTACTTATGGATGGATGCCACACGAGAGAATGAAGCATGGCTGCCCACTGGTTTGCAGCTCATCGAGGTAGCACCCATTGTGATGATCTGGAAAGGCTCCTTGCATTGGGCCCTCTTTCAGCTGAGCCCTCCCGTCTCGTCTGATATGTGTTTTGGTCTTGGTTCGCAAAGGCTATCCAGCCGATGTACAGAAGAGGACAGTATATAAACTAATCCAATTATGCCATTATTCCCTCTGAAACTCTTCCCTTGTCGAACCAGCATCTTCCTTCCGCACAGATCCCACGCCCACCCATCACCATGTTTTTCTCGACCTCCCTCAGCCTTATAGCCACCCTCGCGGTCTCCCTCTACAACAGCCTCGCCGCAGCAGACACCTACGATGGCGACTGCAAGGGCGACAACCCCGTCAGACTCCGCATCGGCAACGGAGGCGCCGGCCAAAGCGGTCTCGTAAAAGGTACCCGTACCCGACCTGTACCTGTATACTAATACACATCCCCAATCCACCCCAATAACCCATAACCCTAAGTCAACCACCCAAACTAACTCTCCCACCTACAGAACTAGCCACTCACTTCATCCAAAACCAAACCAACAACTGCCAAGACACCAGCAAAGCCTTCACCATAGAATGGGTAACCGGCGACACCACCGAAACAATCAACAGCCTGAAATCCAAAAAGATAGACATAGGAATCACATACCACAAGACAGCCGAGCAAATCGCAATCAACAACGGTTTCGCCTCCGGCTGCAAATACAAAGATGAGAACACCACAACACCCTGCTTCGGTGACAACAACTGCAAGAATTACGAGGAACGGCCGTGCTACATCTTCCGTGATCACTTCTACCTGGCTGGGCCGAAGAATAACACCGCCGATATCCAGGATGAGGATGATATCACGGAGACGTTCTCGAAGTTGTATAATGCGGGGGAGAATGGGACTGCACGGTTTTTGAGTCGGTTTGATAAGTCGGCGACGAATATTAAGGATTCGGAGTTGTGGATTGCTATTGGACAGGTATGTCTTTTTCATCATCTTCTTTTTGTTTCTCCCTGGGGAGGGGTTTAAGTGAGGAAAGCTAATTCGGTGATTTGGGAAAAGGTTCCCTGGGCAATAGCCTACTCCAAATGGTACCACCAGTACATGGACTATCCGATCCAGGCGTTGACCGCCGCGATCAAACTCGAGGAATATACCGTCACCGATCGTGGAACGTACCTCACGCTCCGCAACACGGACAAGGATCTTGCGGACCAGCTGGAGATCTACAAGCGCGGCGATGAGTACGAGGAGCTGCTCAACCCGGCCGATATCATCATCTCCAAGGACTCAGATAACAAGGAACTGGCGCAGGACTTCGTGCAATGGGTTCTCAGTGGTGATGGCCAGGATGTTATTGCGAACTTCCACAAGGAGGATGGGTACTGTCTGTACAAGGGTTTCCCGACTGATGATGGTGAGGATGTGGAGGCTCCGGACTGCAAGTGGGAGCTGAGCTAGATGATGATGATTTCGGTTTGTGGTGGATGGAGTCTAATAATTAATTTATAACATATATATGTGGAGGGCATAGGTAGATACGGATATACTTATAAGAATAATCTCAATCTACTAATTCTATTATCATAGGGCGTTTTACGAAATGGTAGTTTGTTAATTCTTGGATATACTATGATGACTGGAAAACCTTGCGAGTTATATGTTCGCAGCGTTCAGGTCCAATGGTATTCTTAACCCTAAATTACACTACTGAAGGTTTCTTGACTCATGCGAGTTGAGCGTACCTATAGAGCACTTCCGAATAATATACGATCGAAGCATTGCACAGAGCAGAGAACGTTATATGAAGCAGTAAGTCAATCTTCGCAATGTCAGATCAGACTCTCCATTGATAAACGCAAAGCAATTATATAAAAGAGCGGACAGGAAATATTGAGCCTTTTCACCTCAAGATAGAATGAACAATAAAATTAATGCAAACAAAGAGCATAGCGAAAGGTCAACTAGTAATCACCAGTAGGCGCTCCATTAGCAGGAATATGCTGGCCATGAAACCCAAACCCAACAGGCCCATTGACATGTGCTCTACCCAGTTCCTTTAGTGTTCTAGCATCAAGACAAAGCAGATAGCTTTTACCTGAGTATCCATCCAGAACCACGCTGAGGAGGATTCCGTCGTCTTCTTCTAGGCCGTCCGGACGGGGAACAAAAATCGGCTCTCCGGGAGACTGGGCGTGGTGATTCCACAGAAGCGTTTCCTTGCTTTGGCTGTCGAATTTGATTATTCCATCGAAGAAAGTCGATTCGTCACGGGCAGTTATGGCGTACGTGTATCGGTGCTTTTGCGTGACCAGCTTTGGATTCATAGTTGGCAACTCGGGAGAGAAGGCTTTGCATGACATCCACTCAGCTGTCGCAGTCTTGATCTCGGTGCTAGGGCTGGTAGGGATATTTGAAAGACGAAAACGGGCAAATTCCGAGCGGCAAGTGTCTTTCTTTATCTGGGCGTGAGCTTTCGCTTCGGCCGATGAAGAAACGAGGTTCTCATAGTATAGAGTGTGCAACGTATCGGTGTTATCGAATCTGACAAGCTCTGCTACAATGTCCACTCCGGTGCCACTTGCTGAAGACTCTTGCCAGGCATTAATCGTATGGAAGCAGAAGAATGGAGAGCTTTCATATGTAGCGACGAGCCCTTGGCCTTGCGTGCGGTCCACCACATACCACTTGGTAGACCGGGTTGCATCGAATGACTGGATGGCTTGCAAGAAGCTGCCTTTCTCTAGCATGGAGGGGTTGATATGAGAGTTCCACACACATAGAATAACATAGTCCTTTGAGAGAAACAAAGAATGGAGATATGCAGGTGTTCCCTCGAATGTAGCAAGGATTGTAGTTTTCCCTGTTGAGGTGGACACATGGAAGACGCGATAGGTTGAAGATTTACCAAAAGCGAGGTTGAAATTATAAACGTCCCCCGTTATGGGATCGGAACGTGCATGAGATGCCGACAAAGGCCCATCCAGGTCAGGATGTAGATCCTTTTGTGAGGCCAGGCCTACGGGTTCAAGGGTCTCGGGGTCGAGCTTCTTGTAAGAAGTGGAATCTGTCTTTGCATATAGAGTTTTTATCCCTGAAGAACCGGTCCAGCGTCCGATATTCCGCTGATTTTCATCCATGGTCTTATTAAGCCCTGGCATGTTGACGGAGAGTGTCACGCCGACGTTGGCTGAGGAGGGATCAGGGTTAAATTCGCTCTGTGCCTTCCGAAATACTGTCTGGCAAGGATCACGCTTTTGGCCAAAGCTGATTTTCTCAAGACGGCCGGTCTTTCTCGCTTGCTCGATCAAATAATCCGTCGAGAAGCGGGAATTGTAAAAGACTCTCAGGGAAGAGTGGGTAGTATCTGGGGCAACAAGCTGAAAGCGATGGGTTTCGCTGAAGCCATCGAACCAGTGAGATACTTGGAATGTGTCCCCACTCTCCCTTTCGACCTTATATTTGCCTGGTCCTGTGCGATAGAGCACTCCTGCAGCATAGGATGGAATGCAGCCGGTGACCGTGAGCTCTATAGGAGACTTCTCTTCGTAGTTTGCATCAAACTGCCCATGGTCAGCATGGATATGAACAATGCAACAGTCCCACCAGGGCCACCACTACTTACGCCTCGATCATTTGGCCAATTGTTAAAGTGAACCTGGGATTCTATAACACCAGTTGCGATAGGCATCTTTTTTGATTATGACACGGTGCTTCAATATGCGTAACAAAAAAAATATATGGTTCCGGTGTAAGGAGCGATTTGGATAAACAAGGTATTGGCAGGCTAAGAACAAACCTTTATATAATGGAGATGTTCTTAAAGAATTAGCAATGAATGATTGATATTTAAACCGGCTGATGCCGTGGCAAAGTACCTCGGCGTAGCTGTGGAGGTAATCCGCCAGGTCATGAATGCGGAGGTATGACGATCGTATCCGCACCTCATGCTCCAGTGGTTCACTGGGAAGCACGGATGCCCGTAATAATAAGTTATTACATTGAAGGTGTCATTGTTCCAGGGGCGTTCACATGGTTTCATTGCAGATTCCAAGGGGAAAAAAAAAAAAAAAGCGCCGAAGAAGAGGTCAATGCTTGCGGAGTTCATCGGCAGGACAATAAACGCAGAGACAACTCAAGAATTGACAGGTGCCGAGCAAGATGCAACGTATATTCTTTGTAGACATGGCATTTTAGCTTGACCTTTTTAGTTTATATCGGCGAATCGGCTTCGTTTTGTGTAGGATTTGAATAATTCTGTTCTCTTTGGGCAAACTTAAACATTGTCCAGAATGAACATATGCTATCGAAGCCTTCCAGGGTCTGGCATGGATGGTACTCTCCCTGAGTTAACTAAACGGCCATAGGCTTCAAACCAAGCGTCTCTGCCTGGGTAGAAGGTTTGGAGCCCAAGATCCCAGGTCGAATGGTTCAAGCTACGCTTGTCGATCGGTGGGCTTTGTTCCTGACTCGAGTCGCTAGATCCACGTTGTAAGGTCACTTCCTCCCTTTGGTGGAGACGTTGGTAAGTGCATATTCGGTTGCGGGTGCAGCACTCCGAGCACGGCAGCTCTCCACTACATGACTTTTTTGCTTTTGCACAGCCATCACACGCGTGCTTTTCCTTGCCACCATGGCGTGGTTCTGGTATACACTGACCGGATGCTATCCGAGCGGAACATGACTTCCAATGGCGCCGCAGGGCATCCCTGTGGAGTATTCTGCGTCAGCATCGCTAGAGTTTGCCTAAAAGCCCTAAATGCGGCGAGAGCCAAGAACGTACCCTCGTTTATACGGCGAGCCACAAAACTCACATCGATAGGGCCTTTCTGATGTGTCTTTTTTTTTTACTTTTAGTCAGCTACGTAGTTAGGGACGTGAAGGTGGTTTACGTACGTGTAGCTATATGGCGCTTAAGATGATCGTATCGCTGAAAAGCGGAGAAGCAAAAGTGACATGACCACAGGCCGTCGAAGTTTCGGGACTCCACATCTGTTGTGTTCTGTGCCTCAGTGAGTTTGCTTCGGATCATGATTGGTGATTTGTAAAGTAATCGACTTGACAAGATATCTGCGAAGAAAGGCGTATACCGAATCCTTCGGAGGTACGCAGTACGGATAGACCGGGGAGGGAACCCGCGACTAAAAGCATGGAGCCTTTTGGGTCGATGACAGTTTAAAAAGAAACTATTATCTGTAGTCGCTTAATGGAGTTCGAGTCAGCCGACTACACACAATGAAGATATCGCGGGAGATGCCTAGGGAGATGACATTATGTTGGCTAACATTAAACAGGCCGGCGGCATTCCTCCACATCCGAAACTCTATTTATCCGGTTTCCTCTCATGTGATTGGCTATGATCCCTTGACACTGCTGGGGCAATACGAAGCTACCTCTTTAGGAAATCTTTAGGGCCTTAGGCACCTTTCAGCATTCTCCGAACAACACAAGCATTACTTGTTCATACTGGACATTGAGGACTCAAATCGTTCTGAGATCTCACTAAGAATGCTATGGTAGCGATTCATATGTCAATGGGGTTCATCTTACAGCGAAACAAGGACAGATGCTTTCTTCGTTAGGTACTAGTATGCTGCATAAACTACTAAGAATTATGACCCGTAACTGCTCCCCAAATATATGCTGACCAACTGCCTAGTATAAGAAGGACAAGGGCACTAAAGCAGCATAACGAGATCCACCAGCTGCGACGTTTATGTGTCACTAAACTGCGTTCCCTCATGCGGTCGATAATCTCAGGGCCATAGGTAAGCCTCTTCTTCCGAGTCCACTGCAAGAGGCCCAGTTCATCGGTCAGCAGGGCTCCAATAAAAATTGCCAGGCCAACTGCCACGCTGCACGCTGCTAAGAAAAGATATACCCGCACCGCCCGGCGGTATGAATCATCATCTGCGTCTTGGAGCGCCCCTGTGATGATTCGGACGATGATATTCATTCTGTCAAGCTGGTCAGTCAAGTTCTCGTTGATACGGATTATACCAAACGCACGCGTTATTCATGGTCACTTTGATTGCATATGCAGACCCAAACACAGACTGATGCCATAGGGAGGTACGGATTCCGTCGATAATGGTGGTTGGGCCCAAGGCAGATGCAATGGCATAGATGCCAAATGCGGCGCCAGTACCTGCTGTGGACGAGGCAAAGTTCACTAACGTCATGCATAAAAGCATACCAGCTCCGCAAACGCACACTGACTCATAGTGAGCTTAATGGGTTATATAGTGTAGTCACGTATTTGTACTTACGAACAGTTGCGCGATTTCCAGCAATGTCGATAAATGCGCCTAAACAAGGCACTAGAAAGAACCCTATGAAGAATTAGCACGGATATAGCAGACATACCTGGGGTTGCTTACCAGAATACTGCGACAAGGCACTATACCAGCCAGCCTTGATCGAGTCTACGTTGAAACGTTTCTCCGCCAGTTCGGTTGCATTTTGACTGAAGACCAGTGCAGCACTTGTTTGGAACAGCGAAAACGCCAGAATACACCAGAACATCCATGGAAGTTGAAAGATCTTCTTGAGCTCAAACTTCTTGTTCTTCTCAGTTAGAACTTCCCCGGTCGCTTGGTCCTGCCGACCCTGGTAGTGTCGATTACAGTAGCGGCTGTAGAGCCAGAAAACAACGGTTGCGGCATTGGTGAATAGATTCATAAACACCGACGTCCAATATACCCAGGCAAAATTGCCGGTGTTCTGTTTCATAGATTAATAAAGCTTCAAATATAGTCAGGGGGTGATACTTACTTTAGCAATTGGATTGGCTGTCGATTTACCAACAAAGCCGCCGATCTAAGTAAGCTAGCCTTAGCCCTTTTCCCTTCTGCAAAGGAAGTGATGAGAGATATACCTTCCGCATGGCGAGTTCGAGTCCAAGCGTGGAGGCAAAACCATTGCTAGGAGGGAACCACGACGAAAACATTTTGTATTGCGCAACTTGCGTGGCGATATCGCCCAGCGCCAGGATAACTCTGCCTCCGACCATGAAATTAAACGAGCGAACCGTAGTAGCGGCGGCAACTAGAATGGACCCGATCGTGTAGACGACATTCCCGTAGATAATCATTTCTAAGTGGATTGAACACATATTAGTTCGTGCTCCTACCATTAGGTCGAGCACAAATCTACTAACCGGCACCTCCCACTCGATCAGTTACAATGCCGCTACCCAGCATAAGCAGGGTTACCATGAAGTCTTCGCTTGCCTCGAGGAGAGAAAACTGGGTATTCGAGATATGCATTTTCTACATTGACGTAAGTTAGGTCATGTTCGTGTCGATCAGTGCTGTGGGCAAGGTACATACCTTCTTAATGGTGCTTTTCATAGCACCTGTAACACCAGAGCTCCATGACGAACCAAAACTAATAAAGGAGATAAGTAAGACGGCGATTAGCTTGGCCATCAACGGTGGCGGCTTTTTTCCATCTCCATCTTCTTCTGTTTGCTGATCCTGAGCCGGTGACAAAGGTTTAACAGGTTCGTCAATTGTAGCCGTAGCGATCGGCTTCTCGGGAGCCTCCATGATACTATTCAAGCTTTTGTTCAGCTAGGGCGTGGTCCTCCGCTTGAGTCGAGAGCCAGCGTAACTCCAGAGATGCTCTGGATGTGAGGAATCGAGTGAATGTCGAGGGCGGACATGACGGATCGACGTAGTATTTATTGAAAAACCCCGGAATGTGGCGTGGCAGCGAGCGGCCAAACTCCGTTGGGCCAAAGTTATCAGATTAGATTTCAGTGAGCTTGGTACGTAATAATAGCTATGTCCAAATGGAGTACCTCTCCGGTGTGTCAATCTAGAAACACGAGAGAGAACAATTGGCCCTAAAATTTGGGAAAAACACCCAGGTTGATCTAGTGTGGGAATTAGCGACATTGATTGGTAGTAACCTTTAAGACAGGAACCCGCTGATTGATAAGATTAAGCGTACGGAAAGTGCCCGAGAGCCAAATAAACAACTGATAGTGGGGAGCTTTTTTCTTTCCCCCACCTGCTTGAGACCAAAGCACGCGGTCTCGGTCATTCCACAGATTTTTACCTACTCTACCATGCTCAGTGGTACTCACTGAGATCAAACTGTAAGTCGGTCGGTATCCTGAGCACTATAATCTGCACGGTGTCTTTGTGTGTGTATGCATAGGCTATATTATAGTATGTCCAGCGGCGTTGAATGATTTTAAGACATAGACCGCGTTTTAGCCACCCTACGAAATCCCCACTTAGCTCCTAAAACCTACGTAGAATCCCGAGATACACTAGGGACCCAAAAATCCAGAGGGCTCTTAAGCCGACGAAACCCGGCTCCTCTACCAGTTCACGTTCCAGATCCACGTGCAAGCTACCACCGATCACGATAAATTGTGATGCACTTTCCACGTGGTTCTCCCATCCGTCTGATATATGTGGTTGTGAGTAAAGTCAATTCTTCAAAAGTCACTCATAGAGCCTTCTACAGCGTGTATGGTATCGGCGATCATGTCAGATTCTCATCTGCAGGGTGTTAGATGCGCAGATCACTAGCCCTCGCTCTGTATATGTATATGTATATGTATGAGTTAAACTTCTCGAAGAACCCAACTTTAGTGATAGAATGATTGCCTATACACTGGTTGACTTCTCACCATTCATAATTAGCACCTGACCATCAAGCATTACAAGTTCTGAATGCCATCCACCACACGACGTGCCACTTTCCATTTTGTGATCCATCATTCGGAGCTACAAAAGACTCAGGTGGACGTAAATCTTTTTCAGGAAATGTTTCCCGAGCAGTGAGCTTGTATGTTATATCGCCGTTACCTGTGCATTTCTTGTGGAGCCGAGCGTAGGTAGTTGATGAAGGATCCACTGCGGCTATGGAAGAGCTCCGCCGGTATGACAATATCCCCGATAAAAAGCCGAGAAAAGTCTTAAATAACCCAACGTAAAGGCCTATATCGGAGGCAGTCCATTCTTTTTGGAAACCCTGCCATCGCAGCTCCTGCCTTCATCTTGGTCCCATGGAGAAACACTATCAGAAAGCTGGTGTTTGTCTGAGCTTGCGCAAATGCATAACCAACAGAAGTGACGCAGTGCAGCAATCTGGAAGATTCCCTTTTTTAAATCTTTTTAAAATATATATATATATATAGAAAATCGCCATCTGATTGGAATGCCTGGCTAGAACGTCCGTCAATTGTGTCCGATGCTGCCTTTCTAGCTTTTGCAGAACAGGAGATGATGAAAAGCAGGGCCCTGGTAAAGGTATCAAAAGGCAACCTGAGTGACGAGAACGGCAGGTAAGACTACCTATACAAGATCAATACCACATAGCCCATCCAGGCCCATTTTGTACCAACATGAAGTGTGAGTATTGGGTAGAGTGATATGTCAATTGCAATTGCTACGAATACCAATATTCTAGGACGTGTGAGATGACGGTATAGCCATATGAATATCCGGCATTAATAAGGGAGTAGCCCAACCGACGTTCGAACTAGACATTCTTTCAGCAGCAGAGAACACACAAGATATACTTGGCGGCAGGGGAATAAACAATTGGAGAACTTCGGTTATTGTAAGAATTTATCCCAATCTGAAATAAACTTCGATAGTGACCATGGCGCTTTATATGAACCTTTACTAACGTGAATAGTGATTCCACATCGCCTCACAATGAGCAACCTAGAAGTACTGTGGTAGTTATACCGGCGTGCTAACTAGGGTCCAGAGCGTGAGAGCCGGGATTTGAGTACCCTCGGTTCTCGCGGGGTTTCTCCCCTATATCGAAGTGCCGGCTTTAACGTGGATCGGCGATCGGATAGTTCTTCTCTTAACACTCTAGACCATGCTACCAAATCACAAAAATCTTTATTCAGGTTAGTCGGTCTAGAATTAGTGTCATCCAGAATGATGGCACCCATAGTTGGATCCTTCCACGAAATAGTCCGTATGAGACAAAGAGTCGTGTTTGCACTAGTTGAATAAGGATCCACTTACACATAGTATACGTCTTGATGGGTAGCTTCGTGAAAAGATTACTCCTTTATGTCCTTCTTTTGTACTTTGACAGCTCTCCAGGATTAGATACTTCTGCCCTATTCCCAATCAAAAAACGGCGCAGTGCAACTCACTGACTAGTGGTTTTCTCTTAGTGCAAGATACGAAAACGCCAGCCAGGCATTCAAGAATATGTAAAAGCTCATTCGGTTCATAAAAAAAATATTATATCATTAGACTCTACCAATGATTACCGAGCATCATATTTTGAGGTTTCACATCGACGGATAATGATCTTCGCTCTGTAATGCGCGCAAGCCCATCCGGATGCTCAATTGCTAGAAATGAGAGCTGCAAAGTCGGATATGTGGAGTCCGTACACACTACATATAGATGATAATAGCTTTCCACAGCTAGCGGTGCAGTATTTTGCTAAAGTAAACATGTATGAGAAGCATGGTTTCAAATAACACACTGTACATACCAGTTGTATTGTATAGACCAGATGCGTCGTTGACCCACCTTCACATTTCCCAGGAAACACAGATGTAGTGGATGGGCTAAGCTCTTCATTAATAAACGATAAAGGGGCTGTATCGACTTCCATTGTCCAATACTAGCGGTTTCTGATTGTTATTATCCTAATGTCTCGTTGGTGATACCTGGTGAGTATGGATTGTTCGTAACAGAACAAGAGATCGTGCAGTTCTATGATTTCAATTTCGTCATCCCGATGCGGAGCCTGCGTCATGTAGATATCATGGTGGCTCAATCTAACAACACACATAACCAAGTGCCTCGAAACAACAAACTGAGTCAAGGAGAAAGGTGTACAGTAGACGAGACAGATGAACTTCTAAGTCGGGTTATCACATCAACTTCCCCGCTTGGACCGACTTGATAGTTCAATTCATCCATTATCCGCCTTCCTATTATGGCATGCGGCGCAGTGAACGAGCAGCCCGAGAGAGTTTTCTTCCTAGGTGATGTGAAAGAAATGGTTCTCCCATTAGCATTTACCCAATCACTGGAGTGAAGTGGGACCCAGACACTATTTTATCAGGGCGATCAGGTTAAATTATGGTTTTGGAGTATGGCTACGAGTCAGTGATCTGCCACCTGATCGCAGCCTTATATGTTAGGGCAAGTCTGTGCGCCCTCCAAACGGAAATACTCGCAAATCGATGACGAGAATCTCGTATTCACTTGGAGAGATCCTCTCTATGGAGTGTGCCCAGGCTTGATTGGCGACTAGGTAGACTTCCTCTCGGTTGCCTTCTTTTGTGTGTGTGTGAGAGAGATATATATAGGAATAGCCTCAACGTTTTGATATAATTGGGTACGGTTCGGTTGTGTTACCACCCAGTCTTAAAACCTGTCAGTAAAAGTCTCTGGAAACTTAAACCAGCGGAAAACTCATCCAATTCGACCTCGTCTTCTTGAGCTAGGTTTCGAGCAGAAGCCCCTTATACCTACTAGTATGAACCGACATATACATCGTGATCTAAGAAAACCTGCTGGATAGCTCCGATGCGGTCGCAATGTCTGGGTCTCTATTGCCTGGGTGGGTCGCGAATTAGAACGAATTCAAATATCGTTTGTGTTCACTAGCACCACCACTCAGAATGTGTTCTCAGTGCTTTTGAACAAAGACTTACCAACTTTGGGACACAATGGCGTATGGTTCGAAAAGTAGTGCATTGGTGGTGGCGCGTGAGTTCGCTGGAGTCTATGAGAGAACCATATTCACACATGGTAGCAGGGCAGGAACTTTGGTCTGCATATACTTTCGCGACTTGCTGGGTTAATGATAGTCTCTCTTCCATAGTCTTCTTACACCTCGGAACCACCAAAAGTTCCCCCGAGAGATGCATTATCACCTTTCCTACTCTCTTAGTCTTCTCCTTTCGGTTTTTTTTCTCCTTTTTCTTTTCTTTTATTTTAATTCCCGGTGTAAATCCCAGACACAGTAGGTGTGGATCTTCCAATTACAGTCCTTCCTAGTGTGGACTGTCATCCACTCGATCCTCACACGCAGACCCTTCCTTTTGACATGATTTAGATAGTTTTGCGTGGTGAGTTTTCCATGTACTTAATTAAGTCTTACAGAGGATAGTGCTCAATTGATATCCAGCGGCATTGTATCCAATACGCATTAGCTACATCTGGTACAGTGATCTTTACTTCATACGTTCAACTGAGACAGATGAATTCCTGGAAGAGCAGACGTGGATCGTTATCTAACTGAATGCGGCTCTCTAAAACGCGAGGTAATCGATTGGTCACTGCATCCTGAACACAGACCATTGTCCGCGAGTCAGAAACGACAAGCATGAGTCTATCTTGGACCAAAACTCTCACGTCATCCTAAAGAGACGACCTCGCATTCTTAGGGATCTGGCCCCGCACCTTGTTGCTCTGGTAAGGGTGGACTCGTCCCTCATGAGAGTCATCATTGGCCATGTATTGGTTTATTCTATTGCTTCCCCCTATTGGTCTCTTGATTATAAGCCCGTACAAGGCAATCGAGACGGCGCCAATTGGGGCTACCTGCACTGAGATAACGCCCCCTCAATTCGGCCGAGCCTGTCGGCGACACCGAGCGGAACTCGTGCTCGTTACCTACCCTACCTAGGTATGGGGATCTAGAGGCAATAGTATGACAGGACGAGCGGAGCCCTTCTCGGTGGAGGGTCAGTTGAGGAGAGCGAGTCTGGACCTGAGATAGGTCAGTGCCCACGGGGATTGTATCCACCTTTCATTTTCCCTCGGTAGCCACAATCGCAATGGCCGAGAGGGCCTCAACTGCATAAGTCGTTGTACCAGGGGACCAGGTGGGGACCCTCTTTCAACGCACTCCATGCATGATAGCATAGGATCCCAGGTCAATGGTTCGGTCCCAAAAATGGAGATCTGTGTGGCCTATCGCCGCTGCCAACGGGGCAGTGTTTGTCTTTGATATGTAACGCCGGATACTGATCTCCAAATCTCATGAACCATAATGCGCTTCTACGGTCATATGCTACCAGTATATGTTGTATGGTTAACCAATGACTGTTGTGTTGCTTCAGCTTTATCTGGTTTACTTTTGTATATTCCCACTGTACCCCCGGTGCACTGTCAACAATGGTCATTTGACATCACACAATGACCGAGTTACTTCCATAAGTGGAAACTGACACGGTCTGTATTGGCTTTTCATGTGGCCTCCACGATAGAGTTATTGGCTCCTTGCTCAGTGGAGGCAAAGACGGTACAGAATTCGCCAAAAACTTCGACTTTGCCAGTGACACGCACTTTGACCCCGGTCCAACCAAGTTTCCTGTGGCCTGGCTTGGACGAATGCGTCATGGAAAGACTGAAAAAGGTTTCACTAGATGTGTTTTGCATGTCCCAACGCTGGTGGGCCCTTTGTACCGGGATTTGTGCCCATCTCTGATGGGGTACAAGACCGGGCGAAACTTTGGTCTCGTTCACCTGGACTGTTCGATTGCTCCAATAAATGTGGCAATGAGTTATAGTGTGCTTCGAGCAAGGCAGGGATTGCCCTCATGAGCCATAGTTCCGCGGAGCCATCGTATGAGGGACATAACATTTGTTTTCAGGGTGGGTGCTGGAAAGTATATCCAGCTGTACGTGGAATTCTGTAGAACAATGCATACCGAGGCCACAATCCAATCCTAGCTGTGGCGGCCTTCGAAGGAGCTATAAAGCATAGCCAGGTGCCTGTCTATTCCCTTTTTTCATTTTGCTTCTTATTTTTTTTCTGTTTTTCTTCCAGCTGTGTTTATGGCACATTCTTTGTACCCGAAGACGATCTCTTTCCCTTTAGAGACCCATCATATTAGAGAAGTTTCCAAGCCCATCATGGCCCTTCCGTCTGCATACCGCGAGAACCTTGAGGCGGCACTTGACCCCAGCCGCCAAAAAGGTCAGATCTTCAAGCTTACAGCTCCAGCCGACGAGCTTGGTTGCGTTGACTTCGGCTCGAACAACACCCTTTCCCTTGGTGGGAGTGCAGCAACACGAGAGGAGTTTCTCCGAGAGCTTGCACGAAATCCCAACTTTGCTATTGGGACCGGTGGCAGCCGTCTCCTAGGCGGAACCACTCAATATATCGACGAGCTCGAACGGGACTTGGCCCATTTCTATAATGCAGACGAGGGCTTGATTTTGCCCTCCGGATATGAGGGTAACGTTGCGATCCATGCGACCCTTCCGCAGACGGGAGACGCTATTATTCACGACGCAAAGATCCATGCCAGCACGCGGGATGGCATGCGTTCCTCAAAAGCACACATCATACGACCATTCGCGCACAACGACCCACACTCCTTGTACGACGTTCTCGAGGAAGTCAAGCTACTGGAGCCAGCAATTGCCGATGGGCTCAATACCGTCTTCGTGACGATTGAATCGATCTATAGCATGGACGGGGATGTGGCGCCCGTGGCTGAGATCCTAAACGAAGCGAAACGGGCCTTGCCGAAAGGTAATCTGGTCATGATCCTTGACGAGGCGCACTCCCATGGTATTGTCGGGCCAAGTGGAGCTGGTCTAGCGTGTCAGCTGGGTCTAGAGCATGAGTTTGCTGTCAGGTTACACACCTTCGGCAAGGCCATTGGAGCCGGTGGTGGTAGGCTTCCTGCCCCCCAGGACCTTTATACTGTACCAACAACCTTCGACTAACCAAGTTATCATAGGTATTATTCTCTGTGACGGTCTGATTAAAAGATATTTGGTTAGCTATGCACGTAACTTCATGTTCACCACAGCTCCGGCCTTCACTTTCTTTGCCACCATCAAGGCTGCGGTCACTGTCATGAGTAGTAAGGAGGGTGACTGGGTAAGAGTGACCCTCTCCACACAGCTTTTTGAAGTTTTGCCAGCCTAATACACCTTGACATTATCAGCGTCGAAAGCAGCTCCAAGACCGGATTTACCACTTCTACGAACTCCTCTTCCACCATCCCCAGTGGGAACATGTTCGAAGATCCGGAATCCTGAGCATTCCCACCACCGACCATTTTGTGAAAGGTTCTTCGTTCCTTGTACCCATCATCCCCCTCATCACACAGCCAGGTTACAGCCATAGACTCGAGAAATGGCTTCTAGACCGCGGCATGCACACGCATGGAGTGCGGTATCCCGTTGTGCCTATGGCGAAGGAGCGAGTTCGAGTCATGATACACGTTGAAAATACAACAGAGCAAGTTGAAGCATTAGTCAAGTCCATCATGGAATGGGCGGACCAGTATGCGCCGTCCCTGTCTCCAACTACAATCAAGTTACGCCTGTGAAGGGAAGCAATGTTTGTGTGGATGTTAACAAATTGTACAGAGGTAAACTGGATGAACATCATCCGTGATATTTTTCATCTTCCTTAGGAAAACTGGCTTGTGTACAGAAAATGTGTTTCCTTCTGTGTCAGTCTAACTCTCCTTTCGCAATTACTCCTTTCCATCACCATTATGAGTATTAACGTTACTGTGTTGCCATTTCCTTCTTCTCTTTTGATTTTGTATCGTTACTAAATGCTCAACCAACCAATCCATACCAATTAAAAGCACATAGAACTACTACTCCTAGTCTACATATATATGGACTGTTTCTCAGGAATTTTGTTGGATGGACTATGAGCGGAAAGAATTCTAGAGAAATACTAACATATAGCACATGAGTAAACATACGTCTAGACCGTTTCAATGCGAAATATCATGACTTCGACAGTAGATAACACTCGCATGACTTACTGTTCGCTCTCCGAGCCACTCACTCAGGTATGCAGACCCACAAATATGACAGCACAAACACATTCCTTACACCAATTCCAATTCCACCTGAAGACACCTAACCACTCGGGTATCGCTCCGTATCCACAAATTCCACAGCCAAGATATGCGGACAATCAACCTCACTCCCTGCAAGAGGGCAACCCCAATGCAAGGCATAAAAAAGAACAAGAAAGGCTCCGCCACCCCCTCTACCAAATCAACATCACCATTCATGGAGAACAACACACACAGACACACAACATCGGCGACCTCATCCCAGTCGATTACACCCAGTCTCATACGACAGAGTATGGGTAGTTAGTAAGTAAACGCCCTTCTTAGAAACGCCCCATCGGTATCGCCGACCCCGGATTCGATATCCGCAGCGTTGAATACAAAAGTTACCGAACCATACCCAGAAGAAACCGATCTCATTGGCCGGAACCCAGGAAATGCCGTCACCAATGGGGACTATGTTTGTCGCCGATTGATTCTCGCCCGAATCAATCCAACTTTCCTCAGTCCGTTCGGGGACCACCCGATACCGAATGCGGATAGGAGACTTATCCCCTTTGAGAACTTTGAACATACTGCTAGTCCTACCGTTGGACTAGTTCAATATTCTATACTTCTGGGGGATGCTTGGAGTTACTATGTTGTCCCAGAACGTGAGATCTTGGGCTTTTGAGTAATGAGGAATGTTTCTTGTATTGGAATTTCTTTCCCCTCGCCACGGGGGATAGATATTATCGATGAAATACTCCGGTTAAACTTTTGGTATTTCCCTTTTTCCTTTTTTTTTTGTCTCTGGCCCTCGGGGACCACAGGGAGGGTTGACGCAATGGCTAGAGGGATGGATCGCAGTGGTCCCCGAGTGAGAGAAGTGAAATTCTTTATTCCCGATTGATTGTTGTTTCGTTGGGATTCTACTCGGTCTGCTGGTATCCTCTTTTTATATATATATATATATATTTTTACATCTTTATCTTGGGAGGTCGTGCTATATGTGCGAAAATGGATTTCTAGATTTCAATTCTTGGGATAGCGTGGTGCTCTACCATGAAACCGTACGTTGTCTTGAAAAGTTGGATATCATATAATACCATTGTTGGTGATCTTTGCCATGTTCACACCCGTACATACATCCCTGGGTGCTTTGCTGCTGTTTCAGAGTTCATCGGGTCTTCTTCTTCACAATGGCGCAGTCTTTGGCATTTCGTCGCTTTTGTCAGGATCTGTTTTGCGTCCGACCCGGGACAATGTTCCCATCATTGCTGGGTTGTTGTCTAGCGTTATCCCTATTTACCTCTTTGTGCCTTCGTTGATACCGCTGTATCCGCCGGGGCCGAATTCCTGGGCATCGGTGGCCTCTACGCTCGCGACGGGGTTCTTGTTGGGTTGGGGGACAAAGGTATGCATGCAGATCTGACTGTGTATGCAGAAGAAAAGCTAACAGAGAGCCCACACTAGAATGGTCGAGGGTGTACATCTGGCCACATGCTCTGTGGTCTATCCCGTCTGTCGCCGCGCTCCTTCATCGCAACAGCTATCTTCTTTACATCCGCTCTGCTCACGGCGAATCTGATCTCAGGAGGCCAGAACATCCCTCCTTGTCCGTCTGGGGTGCCCTGTTATACTCCCGTATATCCGTCAACAGCGGAGCTCATATTCATGATCGGGACTACCGCCCTCACATTCGTCACCAACTGGTTCGCTGTGCCACAGAAATTGGATAGATCAGAGAAGTCGAGAACACTATTCTCTTATCTGGCAGGGCTGCAATTCGGCATGGGCCTCTTCTTCTCCGGAATGGCAAACCCAGCAAAGGTTCTGCGCTTCTTCGCTTTTCCAACCGATCTAGCCCGTTTCGATCCTTCATTGGCTCTTATAATTCTCTTCGGGATCGGACCCTCGCTCATTACCTTTTTGACCGCGAAGCCGGGACAGAAGACCGACGGATTGGGTGGCAAACCGACACTGCCCACATTGGCGGACGGTTGGAGACTCCCAACAGCCACTGTGGCGGACATTGATTGGAGATTTGTCGCCGGTGCAGCAGCGTTTGGTGTCGCCTGGGGGTTACGGGGAGTGTGTCCGGGTCCCGCGGTGCTTCGGGCAGCTCTGCAGCCGGCATGGGGCGTCGTCGAAATGACCGGGTACATGCTAGGAAACCTGGTATAAATGGCATGAACCTGTTCCCATTTGTTAAGAATATCTATAGATGTTGGTGAAAAGCGTGTCCCGTTGATCCATGGAAAGCCGGGCGCAAGGATCGTTGCAGGAAAAGCGCCATTAAGAGCTATGCGACACGAACATCAGCACGGTTCATCATGATATAGAGCTAGAAGTGTAACATATGTAACATAAGACTGTACATATTAGGGCCATGGAGGCAGTATATAAACCACTTGGAATTAATTTTGGTATATCTTACAGCTCAGTTTTCTTGTTCAAACGGTCAACGTTCTTTGCGGGCGGCGCTCCGTCATTGGGTTGGGGCATGAAACCCTCCAGTTCCATCCACTCGGCCGCAAATGCTGTAATCAGCAGGCTCCAGTCTTCCACGGTAGCTAGATCCAGATGTTCGCCATCGTCCGGGACGCCCTTCTCATTGTGCCACACCACTGGGAATCCTTTGGCGGGATGAGCGTCGATGACGTGTAGAATTTCAACACCACGTTCCAGGAACGGTAAATGGTCATCCTGTATGCCGAGGAAAGTGGTAATGTCATGCTCTGACTTCGACATATCAATGAACCATGCTGGGTTAGATGAATCAGCAGAGGACTTGAATTGCTTAAGGTCTCGAAACCGCTTCTCTAGTTGAGCAAGCTTCTTATATGCCCAATGTGTAGAGGAGAAGTAGGACTGTATAGTAGGACTCTTAGATCCGAGGAGATCCAAAAGAACGAACAGAGATATAGAAGACAGAGGGGTCTTGTACGTCGACATGGCAGGGTTCATCTCTGAATCCCAATACTCAGCGAGCGAACGCGCCCCGTACAACGAATCCGTTGCGGTCCATACTTTGAATGCTTCCTCTCCATCCAAGAAAATCACCTGGATACCCTTTTGCTCCTCCAACGACGAGTCGGTGTTGCCCTCTGCTTGCATCTTCTCCCACTTCTTGGTCAAAGCAGCATCAATGCTCCTCATGGAATGCATAAGCATAGCGCAAGGGGCGGCGCTGTCAATGGCCCCGATGAAACCCTCTGGCGAGTATTTACTATCATAATGCGCGACGAGTGTAAGCCTTCCAACGTCGCCCGGAGCTGCCCACGGAGGATCACGAGACGCAATGAGATTTACAAAGGGAACCTCCTTTCCTTTCGATACAGGTGTTGTCGACGTGGAGTTCTGGAATTGGATATTCCAGCTTGGCAGGGTCGTGCGGAAGAAGTCCGCAAAGTGCTGGAGGACGGCTGCAGAGCCCGCCGTCCCGGAGACTCGAGGCCTTAGGATAGGCGCCAATAGTGCTCCATCATGAATGTTGAAGTCGTTGTTCGGACGTGGAAGGGCATTCAGTGTGTTATCGGAGATTTCCTCGTAGGCTTGGCCAACAAGTAAGAAGTACAAGAGGGCAATGCCCATCGAAAGCAAAGGGCGGAAAAGGCCACCGTTAGCAGAAGACATGGTGAGGTCCGAATGCTAACAGGGATCACGGTCCCTGTTCAAGCGACGACCGCGGATAAGCCCGAACTCGAACAGACCTCCAACAAAGGAGCGAGCATAAAAGACAGCTTCAAAACAAGGGATGTTTTAAGTTGACAGAAAGCTGGCCGGTGGTGAACAACGAGAGCTGATCGGCGCCAAGACCGTCGCGGGTCACGTTCCGGAGATCATCCGCATTCCGTCATCTTTTTCGAATGCGACAAGCTACGGCAACTCTTCTCGACCAATGCAATTGCCCATGATGCGACCTCAGATCTTATTGCATCCGCAATTGCGCACGTTGCTTCCCCGTGGTGTGCGGAGAGATCTCAACAGCACCATATTCTCTCGGCTGAAGACGACTCAAACGCCATTTCGACTCTCCAAAAATGAGACCCCGGCTCTGAAACCGAAGGAAAGCAATGCGGCAGTTGGTCGGAGCTCACCACAGTCGGCCACGGCACACGCGAAGACAACTATTCGACGAGGTACGCTTTTGTGGTAACTTGAAAACGGAACATTGGTCCTGACGGAGTGTTGCAGGTCCGCCGGAACGCATATTGATCTACCATGGTGGAACGGGCAAGACAATCTTTCTGGGGATGTTGCGGATCACGACCATCTTCCTTTTTGGTGTGTCGGTCCTGGTTGTCGCACCGGCATTTGCATCCGATGAGTTTCCTTGGTATTTAGCTCCTGCTGGTAAGAATGACTATCTACCGTGACGATTCGTTGGCTAAACACGTTTGTGCAGTTGTTGTTGGCGGAGCTCTACCCATGCTTTTCGTTTCTTATACATCGGCTCCCTTCGTGAACTTCGTGCACCTCGCTCTCCCCGCTTTTGCCCGGCGTTCAAAGGAACAGACGATTCAATATGCGAAGAACCTGCCTCCGACAGCCACATTATATATTAACACTATGAAGTTCACGACTATTCCACGACAGACCGAGGTGCGACTGGGGGACTTGGTTCCTGACAAGGCCATCCTTCGTCCTGTGAGCTTTCGCAACAAGAATCCTGCCCCGCTGCCCTGGTGGGCAGGAAAGACTCTACGGCAATTCTACGCGGCAGAGAAGAGTCAGCCTGGCAGAGAATCCACGACATTCTACCCCGAATTGTGGGAACATGTATACAAGCAGATCCAAAAGAATCCCTCACCAAAGAGATGAAAATTCAAGGAAATATCCCCCGTTTATATGACTGTAACATAAAGCTCATGAATCGCTAAGGTTAGAGTAGTGGCTGAATAATTCACTACTTCTCTCTCCTTAACGAATAACTCTTCGCATTCACTTCTAACAATTCACTCTTACTACACTCCCTCAAGAAATATTCCGACCATTTTCGCTGTTACTTTCTCTGTTCCTTTCATGAGGGCAGTGTTTCCCTTTTCCCTGTGTTCCTCGCTGGTAGTCTTTTCTCTCCTCACTTTACAATCGCCCACCTCCTCTCTCTGTCTATCTTCACGACCTCTCACTTTCCCTCCTCCCAGCTCCATCGACTCTACACTTCTTCTCTTAGTCTTCTTCCATCACCTATCGTCACCATCCACCTGTACCCAAGCATTAGCCATCTACTTTGGAACAGCCAACATGTCCAACAAACCCAAGCCCGACACTCTCTTGGGTCTCACCAACTCCGAGCAGAAGGTCCTCCTCCTGAGCATCGTCTGCACCGACGAAAGTAATAAAGTATGTACACCTCACTCCCCCTTCAAACCCAAAACTCCAAATTAACATAAACTCGAGCTCGATTTCGGCAAACTAGCCCATTACGGCGGGTACAAGAACTCAGCCTCCGCTAGTACAACGTATCGAAACGCAAAGCGCAAGCTGAACGACTACACGCCAGAACCACCCACCGCCGAGGGCTCCACAGCCAACACCCCCAAGAGGGGTCGTCCCCCCAAGAAGGCCGTGGCCCCAGAACCCCCAATGGCTGCCGACTCGGAGCCCGCGGAAGAAGGAGCAGCAGCACCAGCTCCGAAAGCGAAGCGCCAGCGTATCACAAAGAAGGGTATCGCACAGGTGATCAAGAAAGACTCGTATGAGTATGCCCTTCTCCTATTGCGCAAGAGATGTCAGAGTGAACACTGCTAATCTAGTGGCCAAATCAATCGCAGCAGCGAAGACACCGTTAAGTCTGAGCCCAGTTCCTCCATGGCCAAAACCAAACGTAGCATTAAATCTGAGGATAGCTCTGTCAAAGGAGAGGATGTTTCGATCAAGGAGGAGATGGCGTCCATTAAGCAGGAACCGGAGGATGTCTACGACGAATGCAAGACCGAGGATGAGACCCCTATGTCCAACGAGCAGCTTGATGCTCAGCTCGACGCTATGTACGAGGCTGCCCAGGCTGGTGTCAAGGCTGAGGCGGAGGATGATGCTTAAGTTGTCATCATCGTTTCTTGCTATGATGGTTTTCAGAGCGGACGGTGGAGTTATCTAGGAATCTTTTGTTTCTTTTCTTATCACTAATTGGCTACTATTTCGTCAAATAGGTAGCGAGAATTTGGATTGTTGCTCAGGATAGGAAGATCTAAGGGTCCGGTATCTGGTGGTCTATCTAGCGCTGTGTTACATGGTACATAAACTCAAAAAACAAGAAAGCTCCGCTCTTATCATTCAATGCTATGGGTACTCTAAGTGTAACTCGAGGATCAGCGCTTTTGTTTTATAAAGAATCTGTGTTTGATGGTCGAATTATAATGAGAGATGTTTCACGGTTGGGAACAAAGAAAAACAGAGACAGTCGTCCCTGTCAGCAGGTATACTCAAAGGCCATTGTAAATAAAAAAGAAGTCGTCTTGAATTTAGTATTCCCTATATAACCACGCCGGCCGAAGGTTAATCAATTAAGATCCCAATCAACACATATTAACACATTCCCCAACTCCGAGCAGAAACCCCTTTTATAAAGAACATGACGGGGCAGACTTAAACAAACACCGAATGAGTGAAGAAGCACCCGGAGTATAGAGTAGCAAATGGAATCACAGAGCTTCAATAGCCTTAAGAAGTACGTCCAGGCCTCTGTCGGTGACTTCATGGTCATGGACTTCGGAGGATTCGCGCAGGGCCCAGGCGACATCGCTCCACCAACCCAACCCAATGAAACCACCACCTTTCCGGCGTTCAAGACTCTCTTTGAGACGACTAGTGTGTTCCCATTGCTTTGCGGCGACCTCCGCTCTCTCGATGACCTTGCTGGAAATACCGCACATGGCGGCACAATGCATACCGAAACTACCTTCGGCAACGCCGTCTTCGAGTTTATACAGGAACGTAACACGTCGCTCCTTGTCGTCCACATGGATCTTCATGCGTTTCGGTGTGATCTCAGGGTGTCCTTCAAACTCAGCCGCCAGGGAGTGGTAGTGGGTCGCGAAGAAGCCCAAGGCTCCGATGTGCGTAGCAACATGGTGCAGTACGGCTTGGGCCACGGCTACTCCATCATATGAGCTGGTTCCACGACCCAATTCATCGAGGATAACCAAAGATCGGGGAGTAGCCTCAGAGAGAATCTTCTTTGTTTCGGAAAGCTCTACGAAGAACGTCGACTGAGCGGCGAAGATATTGTCATTCGCGCCTAGACGGGACATGATGCGGTCGACAGGGGTCAACCGTGCAGACTGGCAAGGCAAGTAACAACCGATCTGAGCCATGATGACTGCAACACATGTCTACAAAGCAATGAGTTAGCGAATTGCAACGAAAATCAGAAACGAGGACGTACCATTCGAAGGACGGTAGATTTTCCGGCAGCATTAGCACCAGTGAGAAGATCAATGTTAGCACGGTCACCTCCCAATTTGACGTCATTCGGTATGAAGTCTTCCACAGCGGAGAGGAGGCACGGATGGCGTAGTTCCTCGAATTCGAGTACGCTTCGCTCATCCTCAACAAAGACAGGGCGGCAACTTGGTTGTCCCAGAGATGAGGAAGCCTTTGCAAGACTTATCAAACAGTCCAGCTGAGAGATAATCTTGACCGCTGCTAGCCACGTCACATAGTGTTCGTCAAATCGGGCATAGAATCGGCTGGCGACTTCTTTCACAATCTGACTATGTGTCTCTTGGGCTTCCTGTAACTTACGGATGATCGTCCGAAGTTCAGGGAAATAGTACCGTTTCACTTGTTTGGTTGCTGACATCTGATCCCAGTTCTTGGGAATGTTCTTTACCTTGATTGGCACTTCCAATTGGTAGATCTCCTTGCCATTGTCACGGTAGCAGATGGCAGTAGAGCCTAACTCGCGACGAACTCGCTTCAGAAGACTATCAAGCTCGCTGTGGAGTTCTTCGATATGGTCTTGGGAGTGGTCGAAGTCTTCTTCAATGCCTGGTTTTGGTACCAGAATACCATTCTCTCTTGCTTTGGTGCGGTCGAATGCTGTTTTCCAGTATTCAAGCAACTCATTCAGGTCCGGCATCGCACTTATCAACTGACCAATAACGCCTTCTCCAGAACCACTATCCTTAAGAAGGCTCACGGTGTATTCAATTTGCTCGAAACCCTCCAGCACGCGCAGGAAGTCCTGAGCCTTGCAATTAGCAGCATGAATACGGGAAATCAGTCGTTCCAAATCAGGCATTTTGGTTAATTGTGAAGAAAACTGATCCCGAATGCTAGGATCCGCATTAAGAGCATCAACAGCATCCAATCTGGCATTGATCTTCTTCGCATCTATCAGCGGGTGGCAAACCCACTGTTTGAACATGCGTTTTCCAAATGGTGTGATGCAGCGATTCAAAAGCTGGAATAGCGTCCCATCAGAGCCGCCATCAAATGAGTTTGCAAAGATTTCCATGTTGATAAGGGTTTGGCCATCCAACACTAGGCTAGAAGCCTTCTTGATTGGGTCGTACGAGGAGAAGTTACCGATTGTTATTAAGTCACGGTCAAGTTTCAAAAGCCGGAGATATTGCACCAGCGCCCCAAAGGCTGACATCACTAGTTCTTTATCGCGAGCAGCTCGCAGAGCTTCCGGCCACACCTTCAGGTTGTCATCATCCTCGGAAACAAAGTACTCGCTGACGTCCAATTCCTTCACCGCGATGTCGGCTTCCCAGAACTCTTTCCCTGGCTTCAAATGGTTCCAAAGGGTAGTGGGGCCTGTATTGTTCTTCAAAATGCGCAGTGCCTTCTGTGAAATTGTAGACTTTTCGAGAAGAAGTTCTTGCGGGCGAGTCTGGGCCACGAATGTTTCAAACTTTGTCATGTCGGCATCATCGACGAACTCTGACAAAAAGAATTGGCCCGTCGCTGTGTCAACGAAAGCTAGGCCAAACGCAGGGGAATCCTCTATGATGGCTTCCTTGATAGCAACACAGTAAGTTGACATATCATCCTGCAGCATTGAGCCCTCAACCAGCGTTCCAGCAGTAAGGACAGAAGACAGCTCTCTCCTGATGACCTTGTCTTCTTTGCCCCCTTTCTTGCCATCCCTCTCGCGCATTTCCTTGCCGAGGGCGGACTCTATCTGGTCGACGCGAGCAATCTTGAACCCCTTGGCGACAAACTGATTTGCCCAGTGATCTAAACTCATTTCAGGAACGCCAACCATACGCATGTTGACGCGATCGGTAAGTTTGAGATCGAATAACTGGTGTCCAATGGTGGCGTCATTTTCATAAAGCTCGTAAAACTTTCCCTTCTTAAAGAACACGACCGTGTCCCAGAACTTCTGCTTGATCTCCCAGTACTGTTTTTCGAAGGGTGAAAATTTGGCCCAGGCCAGTGGAGGTATATAAAGGGTACGAGGGTCGTAGTCAGGGTGGCCGGGGGAATGGCCATCTATATCCCGAATATTTGCCAGCCAGGCATAGCGTTGCTCTGGCTCTGTAACATGAGCTTTCTGTTTGATTCCACTAGCTGGGCTCTTCGACTTCACGGGGACTGTTCGGTTCTGACGAGGCTCAGCACTGTCCGGATCGTACGTCCATTTCACCGCCGAGCCAGAGGATGCATCTGGAATGTCCAAGTCTAGATCTTCCTCCAAGGATGGAACTGGAGGTATAGAAGAAGACTTGGGCTTCGGTTGAGTTGGCCTCTTGCGTTTCTTTGAGGCCTTCACGTCCTCATCTGAGTCATCCGCCACAATAAAATCATCCATATCTGAAACAGTCAATGCCTGTCAAACTGCAACGAAGACTTATGAGACCAATAACTCACCTTCATCCGAGTAGCCGACATCATCTCCACCTTGTTCAAATTCATCATCGCTCTCGGGAGACAACTTTCTTCGCTTAGATACTTTACTACTTTTCCGGCCTGGGCGGAATATCTTTTCGTCGTCATCCTCGCCTTCTGAATCGGACTCGAAGTAGTTGACCTGCTTTTTAGACTACAGGCAATCAGTATACACTATAATACAGAAGCCTTGGGGACATGGTGTCTTACCCGTCGAGATGGGGAATCGGTCTTAGCGTCATTAGAAGTCGCCTGCTAATATAGTGAGCGAAGCTCCATTGGCGTCAAATGTGAGATCCTGCCAAATCACTAATCATACCTGAATATGGCTCTCATCTTCCTCAGGCTCAACCAGATCACTACTCGGTACTGGGCTAAGGTCCGAGAGCTGTGGGAGACTCTTCTTCTTGTCGCTCTTCACGGACCCTCTAGCAGCCCCGCGCTGCTCCGATACCCTCTGGGCAGGCGACGAAGCTGGTTCAGCATTGCGAGCAGTAGATGGAGTCGACGGTGATGACTTTTGGAAGAAACCTAGAATTGACTTCTGGTTCTTCATGTTCTGGGTGCTAGAAGTAGTTCGTTTGAGCACTCCGGAGGGAGGCGTTGCCGCCGGGGATGAGGATGCGGGCGGTCCCTTTGCCATTCTGGATTGATTGTGGTAAAGATAGGATTTTGAAACTCTATTAGAACATATCGTACAGAGTAGATAGTGAGAATCTATTCAACTCAGACAGATAGGGGTAATGCCGATGTGACGCTCTTGCGACAAGGGCAGATGCTTTCCTGCCGGGCGGAGAGTTCGATCTATCAATTCGTCCGAAGGGCGTCGCGCGTCGACGCGTTTAGTGGTTTTCCGCCTTCATTCCGTCAATGCCTCAGGCGTCACGGGGCCTACACGTACTCCGTCAAACTTGCCTGAGGTTGGGGCGGATAAGGTGGATCCGGAGTGATGCGCATGGTCAGCCCTAACACCCGCCCCTTAAAAGGCTTAAACAAATAATACGCTTTTCAATTGTCATACTACTTAGCAGACTAATGTTAGCAATATGCCGTCTCATACCGAATCAAAGTATGAGTTTGGTGGACCGTGAGCTCAACTCTCCTCCAGTACTGGTGTATTAACTGACTACTTCTAGTTTGGGTGCTGCTGCCATCACAGTGGGCCTCCCCATTCTGCTCTTCGTCTTCGCCTTTACATGTAATGATGTGACTGGCTGTCCAGTACCATCACTATTAAACCCTCGTACCCTAAGCTGGGAGAGGCTAAAATCCGAGACTGGATGGCCCCTTGGGGGCGTCTGGGAGCTTGGCAGTTGGGAGGTGACCGGCATGGTGCTTGCATATTACCTCCTTAGCATGTTCCTCTGGAAGGTTCTTCCTGCACAGGAAGTACGCGGCACAAAGCTGGTTCAGCACGGTCGTCCATTAACGTACCGCTTTAACTGTATGAGGATTCATGTGAAATGCAGCTCAACACTAGCCTTTGCTGACATTCCTACCTAGCTTTCTCGTCTAGCATTGTTCAGCTAGCTGTCTGCGCCGTTGGAACATATCTAAAGGGGGCAGACTTTGTTGTCTGGACGTACATCGCGGACAATTATGTGCAGATATTGACCGCCAACATTCTGATATCGTATTCCCTTTCCGTGTTTGTATACGTTCACAGCTTCAGCGTGGACACCAACTATCCAAACAAGGAGCTTCGTGAGTTAGCTGCTGGTGGAAACACTGGCAACTTTGTATACGATTTTTATATCGGTCGCGAGCTGAACCCTCGCGTAACTCTCCCACTCTTCGGCGAATTTGACATCAAAACCTGGTGCGAGATGCGCCCCGGCCTAACTGGATGGATATTGCTCAACTTAGCATTTATTGCCAAGCAATACCGCACTTATGGCTTCGTCTCGGATAGTATCCTCTTCACTGCTTCCGTACAAGCATTCTACGTGCTTGACGGTCAGTATAACGAATCCGGCATTCTTACTATGATTGACATCACCACGGATGGCTTTGGGTTCATGTTGTCTTTCGGAGATCTCGTTTGGGTACCCTTTCTCTACTCAACCCAGTGCCGATACCTCGCTGTTTATCCCTTACACCTGGGATGGGCAGGCATCGCCACCGTAAGTGCGGTCTTCGCACTCGGGCTGTACATTTTCCGCGCTGCCAACACGCAGAAGAACGTTTTCCGTACCCAGCCTAGTGATCCAAGTGTGGCGAATTTGTCGTACATTCAAACCAAACGAGGAACAAGACTGTTGACGGCAGGATGGTGGGGCATGTCTCGCCATATCAATTACTTTGGGGACTGGCTGCAATCCTTGCCCTTTAGTTTACCGACAGGACTGGCAGGCTATACTATCATATCGGCCGGTAGTGCAGCAGCCTTATCAACGGACTTCAAGATGCTTGATGGGCGTGAGGTCGTCCAGGGCGAGGCCAAGGGCTGGGGAGCCATTTTTACCTACTTTTATGTGCTTTACTTTGCCATCCTCTTGATGCACCGTGAGCGGAGAGATGATGCTATGTGTGCGAAGAAATACGGAGACGACTGGGAGGAATACAGGAGGACTGTGAAGTGGAGGATCCTGCCTTGGGTCTACTAGATGGACGGACAACCTGGCAAACATCTATTACTTTTGTACATCAATTAACTGGAGAGGTATATGTGCATGGCGGGCCTTGTTATCTAGTCTTATGGATCACAATCCTGGACATATTAATGCTTGCATTCAGGCTATTCTAGGAAACTATAATAATACTTTCAAACACGGAAGAATTGTGAAACTAGTTGCATATGGTTAGCCGGATACACATACTTCAACAAATAGCAATCCCATGGATGCGCACATATAAGCCATACGAAGATTTAGCTCTACGAGACGAGCCTCATACATGTATATGAGATAGACACGTGTGGATTAAATAGAGTAGGGGAAAGCGATGGGAAATGAGGCAGGGTTCCTAAAATGGCACTGCCAGGTAGTTATGGCAGGGACTAAGCATCGTACAGCGTATCTACAAGTCTAATATAATACATGAGGGAAGTATGGTGCGAGTGCAACTATAACCTACTCACTCCAGCCCTTCTTTCCTCCTCTTTCATAAGAGGCAGGGCCTTTCTTTTTCAGTTATCCGTAGCGGGCTGAGGAGCGCTTTCGTCCGATTCCCAACCAGGGGCACTGAGTCCGAGCCGTTTAAACTCCTCGTCGCTGACGATCTTGACCGTCTTGAACTTCCACTTACCCAACTTGAGGAATAGGATATTACCATCGACAATGAAGTCTTTGGTCTTCTCCGCTGGCCAGGTTAAAATGGGTGTAAAGGCCAGGTCGTCTGACATTGGGCCAGAATCTCCCGGGCGGCTCCCCACATAAGCCCCTTTGTTCGAAACAATGCGATGGCCTTCACCTTTAGAAGTAACCAGGCCCGCAGACCACAGGATCTTGTGGAAGTTTTGGCCATAGACCAGAGACTCGGGGAGAGTAACCTGGATGCTTGGCATGTTCGTGAAATTAGTTTGAGGAGCATACTGATTTCCTGACTGAGGATTTGTGAAACCCGACGTCGGTGACTGGGCGTGGCTAGCAGGTGGACTGGAGTTTTTTTGCAGGGGAGTAGGTTCAGCTGTTGACGACCGTGAGCGGAACAATTGACGGTGTTGGAGAGCAACTGCATCCGCCTCTTGTTTGCCGTGGATAAGCTCCACGAACTCTGCCGCCAACGCGTGCTGAGCAACCCGTTTGGATGGGTCTTTGTTTTGCTCTTCCATGAGCTTGGCAATCTCGGGTAGGGGAAGGAAAGTAAACATTTTAAGATAGCGCTCGACAACATCATCCGGAGTTCGAACAAAAAACTACTATTTGTTAGTGATCTTCTTTAAATAGGGCACACCGTCGAACAAACCTGATACAGCTCGAAAGTAGAGGTCATATCCTTGTCAAGCCAAATAGCGTTGCCGGCAGACTTTCCAAACTTTTCACCATTTGGTGCCGTCAGCAGTGGCGTTGTAAGCCCAATAGGGTTATCAATATCCTCTTCCAAAGGATCTCTCTCCTGCTCCATGGCCGTGTTCTTGCTAATGGCCTTCACGGAGTCCATACCGAAGAGAATGTTTCCATACTGATCCGTGCCTCCTACTTGGACCTGAACACCCTTCTTGAAGAGAACCCACCAGTCCCATGCCTGCAACAGAGGGTAAGAGAACTCTGAGAATGACATGCCATCACCTTTCGACAGCCGGTTCTTGACACTAGATTATATGTCAACAAATATGTCCAGGAAGGAAAAGGGTGCATAGAACGTACGTCTCCCTGCCAAGCATAGGGCCAAGTCGCATGTGAGCGCCTAGGTCCCGAAGAACCTCAATGAATGGTACCTTATTCCACCATGTGTTGTTATTTACCAAAGAACGCTTCCATGCCCATGTTTTCTCGTATCCATGTCTCTTGCCGTACTGTTCAATGCTTGCGCCCAGCTTCTTCAACTGCATGTGCATGCTGGCCATGTTCGCTTTTCGCACCGAGCTGTGGACTTGCTCTCTTCCTTTCAATCGTCCTGTTGGGTCGCCAACACGAGATGTGGCACCACCAAGCTGTTTCGCATTAGACAAGCAGATAGATATTCTCGGTAGAAGTATACTGACCACCCATGTTACCGGCAAACCCCATACGTAACCCCAGGCCAAAACCATGAACGGTAGCATGTGGCCGACGTGTAAAGAAGGAGCGGTAGGGTCTACTCCCGCATACATCCCTGCCCTCTTCTCCGTGAACACTTTATGTAAAAGCTCCCGCTCACTATAGGCCCGAACGGAAACAAGTCAGTCACAACGTCCAGCAATTACTGAGAGTAGCAATAGCTTCTGATAATAACTTACCCGACAACATCATGCAACAATCCTCTGTCCTCGAGATGTTGTGCAAAGTTCTTCCGCTTGCCAGCTTTGATCTCTTCGGCGAATTCAGCCCACTCCTTCTCCGCCTCTTTCGTCCTCCGTATGTGCTGCTGTGTGATCCATCTTGTTTGCTCAACGACACCACCACTAGCCGTGATCCTTAGCTCAGGTCGACCGACATTGGACAGCAATGCACTCTTTTGCAGGGTCTCGGCCGTCCGTACATAGTTGCGAACGCTCCATACTGACTGACGGATCGGGGAAGCGACTGGGACGCGGAGACGCGCCGCGCGAGGTAGGGTTCCTAAGTGCGGCCTCATCGGACCAGATTCTTGCAAAATCAATCAATCGCAAGCAAATATGCGATTGCCTGTGTGTGAAATTGAACCAGAATGGGAAAGCGCCTGGCTGATATTCAGTAACTTTTAATCTGATCTCCGACGATAAGAAACCGACGGAGAATCTTTGATGCGGAGCTTATTTCCTAAATCGTCAAGACGATCCAGTTGGTAATTTTCGCCAGTGAGCTTTACATTCACACATCGATGGGTTTCATTATTATGCCCTTTTCTTAAGTAAATGAACCCTATGAAGGTATCTTCTGCTTCGCTACCAAGTCTTTAGCCTGGATTGTACGGATTACAAGGTTAGGTTAGTTAAGACGGACTACGTCTGAATATATGGCCAGATAATTTAAATTATGAACACGTTGATATTGCAAAGTGCTCGCTTGGTACATAAGTATAAGTAATTGAAATCAGGTCGTCGATGTGCAGAGCCCTGTCATCAAGGCACGGTCCAAGGACAAGCGCCATTCCAGAGTCATTGACACACAACTTCCTCGTGAGAGGAGAACACCGCCAAGTATTGTGTTGTATCAGAGATGCCTGCATCGCGTCCGTCGAAGTAACAAGGTGGTGTGCCGAACGCCTTTATCACCCTCCCTCCGTCAGGATCCAAACAGCCCTTAAGCCCCGAAAGGAGAGCCGCAAGGTTCCATGAGAAGAGATAGATCAACTATTACACGCTAGGCTTTCATCATCTATCATCTGTTAGCAATGTGTACGCATGAGTCTGAAGGAAGCAAAATGTATATCTCACCTATTCAAAACTTGGAAGGATGAAGAAAGAAATTTAGACGCGGAGCTTCGGAGATTTTTATGTAGTGGGCCATTTAACGCTAATCCCTGTTGGTTGGGCGGAAGGATTCTGCCACATCTTGCAATTATTATTCTGAATCTACCATCTTTCAGTCAATGATACGTTTTGGATTAATGTTAGGGATTGGACTTGTAAAAAATCTCTCATTTCTTCTCAATTGAACAGCTTTCCCTCGAACTTGATATCTAACACAAGTATGATCTTGAGTAGAGTGGGGCAGCTTCCTCCGCGCCTTTGCTCAAGCTATATCGGGATCTCGAACTATCTCCGCACCAGTAGAACAGGATTGAGAGCAGGTATCCAAGGTCGTACTTATCCTCCAAGATTGTTTCATACAAGGTCCACCCTTTGTGAACAAAATGACACTATAGTGGAGCACCCGCAGTTCCTAGAACAATACAAGCAAGCCGGTACATATACCTTGTATCCTCGCAATATCCTAATCTTCGAGCAACCTGAGAAGCTAATGCGTTAGCTATGCAGTTGAATTCCCTGCTGCTACATACGATTTTGAGTCGTTTCTCTCCAGGGCTACCCCAGACGAAGAAGTGGTACTCCATGGCTATCTCGGGGTCCGTAAGGATCTGTCCAAGAAGCTCGCCTTTGTGCGCTTGACAGATCCAACAATGAGGCATAGCATCCAGCTAGTCTCGCTCGCCAAGAACGGTGCATTGGAGAAGCTGAAGTCTGTGAGAGCCAACAGCCCCGTTGCTGTCCGAGGAAAGGTTAAGGCGAAGCAGGCGAAAGGCTCCGAGATGGAGAAAACCGATCCCTGGGAAATCCAGGTTGACGATATTCGGCCACTAAACGACTTCCCAAGTGATATCATAATGAAGTCCGATACTGTTTTTGCTCCGAAGCAGCGATTCCTACAGTTGCGTTCGGACAGCGAGTTGCGTGATGCGCTGCGATTCCGCGCTCAAGTGCACAATGTCTGCAAAGAAGAGCTGGAACAATGTCAACCACCGTTTGTGGAAATCGAAACGCCTCTTCTGTTCAAGTCGACCCCCGAAGGTGCTCGTGAATTCCTTGTACCAACCAGAAAGCGCGGCTTGGCGTATGCTTTGCCTCAGAGTCCGCAACAGTATAAGCAGATCTTGATGGCGAGTGGGATACCAAGATATTTCCAGTTCGCCCGTTGTTTCCGTGATGAAGATCTCCGTGCAGATAGACAGCCGGAGTTTACTCAGGTAATGGCGCTCCTCACCGTATCAATCTATCTTTAATCTACATCTCTAACAATTTGACTAGCTCGATATGGAAATGTCTTTCGCAACCGGGGAGGACGTTATGCGGACCGTGGAAGGAATCATACGTAGACTGTGGTCAACTTTGATGAAAGACCCCGCGCCATCAGGCCCCTTCCAAAGGATGTCCTACCAGGACGCCATGAGTCGCTATGGCTCCGACAAGCCCGATACCCGGTTCGGAATGGAGATCTCGCGAATTGAGCACCTTCTTCCAGTGGACCTTGTCAGCAAGATTACACCCCTGGCCCTCCCTATAGTTGAGGTCTTCAAAATCGAGAATAACGAGAATGATCCCGCTGCTATGTCCGAATTCATCTCTCAATTCCTTGACTCTCCAGCCGGTGTACCCTTCAACAACAACCCAGAAGGTGGCCCAGGTATTTTCGTGTACGACGCAAAGAAACCCTTATGCGGTTTACAGCCGTTCGGCTTCGAGGCCGCTGAGTACTTAGAAGAAATACTCGAGCTTGACCACGGTGACCTCATCGTAATCCAAGCCCGTGAAGAAGCCCCCTTCTCCGGCGGCTCGACTCCAATCGGTGACCTCCGCCGCGCCCTCCATTCCGCAGCTGTCACTTCCGGATTCAAACCTGCCCCCACGGGCTTTGACTTCCGCTGGATAGTCGACTTCCCCCTCTTCTCTCCTTCAAGCGACTCCGAGCCTGGCCAAGGCGGCGCAGCCGGAATCTCATCCACGCACCACCCTTTCACGGCCCCCAAGACTGCTGCTGACGTCGACCTCCTCCTAACAGACCCCACAAAGGTTGTCGCAGATCACTATGACCTGGTCGTCAACGGTGTTGAACTTGGTGGTGGCAGTCGTCGTATCCACGACGCTACGGTCCAGGAGTTCATCCTTCGAGACATTCTCCAGATGCCCGCTGAGCGGTTAGCGGATTTCTCCCACCTACTAGAAGCTCTGCGAGCGGGCTGCCCGCCGCACGCTGGTTTGGCTTTGGGATTCGATCGTCTTGTCGCCGTGATGCTGGGCAAGGAGTCTGTGAGAGACGTCATCGCATTCCCCAAGATAGGCAAGGTTGGAGAAGACCCGATGGTTAAGGCGCCTAGCGTTATGACTGAGGAGGCGTTGGAGACATACCATCTTCAACTTAAGGAGTGATTTTGGTCTCGTGGCTACGACTAGCCAAGAGCTGTATATATACGATGGGTCTGTACTATAGATAGATGTAACATATGATACCCGATCTCTTCTCAAGTGGTTTCTAAAAGACCCGTAGTGTATTTGCATTCTAGGCCATTTGGCCAATAGCTATCGATGAAATAATGCAAGATATAGAAGGAAATTCATGGCTATATATACCTACAGTTCGGAGATGTCACGAAGAGCAACCATGTCTGTTATACAAAACGCCATCACCGTACCAAAAGGGAATCAATCTAATACACAGGAAACCAAGACAAGGCTACAGCGGAGGAATACCACTGAGTAACTATGCCGCGTTGGCAGGACGAGAACTGGACACAGATGCCGACTGAGATACGATCTGGTTTCCTGTCTCTCCATCTTCACCTTCGTCGTCATAGTAGAGATAATCATCCTCGTCTTCTTCGGGTTGACCGAAGGCGTTCCTCCAGACACCGTCCCATAGGCCCTTCTTCGTAACGAGACCGCCGACAAGCAGAATGGGAAGTTGCCAGATACTCGCCCAGAACAAACCGCGGGCCGTACCGTTGGCACCTTGATGCTGCCAGAAATGGTATGCTTCTTTCACCAGCCAACCGTTGGCGATGGAGCTACTGACCAAGAAGCCGTGGCCGACAACACCAACATACCAAAGGCCAATGGAGATCGGGAACATCAGAACGGAATAACGCAACGCGACACGGGCATTGCGAGCGGGATTGACCCAGCAGAGCATCTTGTATCCGGCTCTCTTGTATTCCTCGCGGATAGTGTGGGAGAGGGCGTTGAAATGGGGGAATTGCCATGCGAATAGAATTCCTCCGAGCAACCAGCCACCAATGCTATCTTGGCTGAAGAGCATGTCGCGCCATGTGTCGTGGCCCGTTGTTGCTGTCTGACCTGCCGCTGCGACCCAGCCCATCAACGGAGGAATACCTCCGACGATAGCACCGACCCAGGTATTGATTACATGTATACGCTTCAATGGTGTATAAACGAAGGCGTATAGGAAGATGTTAGCAGCCGACAGACCAGTCACGGTTGGGTTGGTGCCGAAGTATAGCAGAGCGAGACCCGACGCGGCTGTAGCAACGGCGAACAGAAAGGCAGCACGGCGAGAGACGAGACCACGGACGATGGGGCGATTTCGTGTCCGGGACATAAGTGCATCATATTTGGGTTCGAACATCATATTCAATGTATTGGCGCTGCAGGACGAAAGAAATGTTCCCGCCGTGAGGTAAAGAAGGGTAAGGGTAGAAGTTGAAAGGGTCGGAAGCGGCGTCATTGATGGGTCGAGAGCAAGGAGAGACGAGATAGGATACATGCCATAAGCAGATGTCGTAGACAGCACGATCAACACTGAAAGACGAGGTTTCGTGAGAGCAAGATAGGCGGCTATTTTGCGGCGGATAGAGGTTTTGGGGAGGGCGGCTGAGAGGTGCGACAACTGCGCGGAGGCATCTGGCGGAATAACATGATCTGCTTCATTATTCCCAGCTGCCTCTTCCTTTAGGCGTTTCCTTCGGCGATGAGGCAATTCTGACTCAATTGATTCCGTAGAGGTCGACCCCGCCTCGCCTTCGCTTCTGGAGGTATTGGCAGCATTCGTATGCGCGGAACTGGTGGGAGATAATGACGGGGGAATGCCATCCTTGCTCGGTGTGCCCTCAATGCCTCGGTTAGCAGAGAAATACGTCTTCTGGAGGACGGCGGAAGAGGATTGATCATCTGCAACGCTTGACTGTGATCGCGCGGACGACAGGAAGCTGCGGAGGGCGGAGGGAGGATGAGGACGGTTGTTGCGTATAAGACATCGGGAACACACAATGGACGGATCCCGGGTCGATCCCAGCCTCCGGAAAGAGGAGCGGAGGAGGATCATGGTGAAAAGGACATTAAGGAGGATCTGTTAATATATCATTGAACCTCGTAGAACGAGGTCAGAGTTCATGTTGCCCTATCGTGACGGAGAATAATTCCTTCGCCCGGCGGTAGGGACCATAACCGCAGTTCGGCGAGTTGTTCTGACAGCTATCAATCAGTCCACTTATCTTCAAAAAAAAGTTCCGTCCTACAACTCTCACCTCAGCGATCTGGCTTGGGCCTTTCTGTTTTCATATATTTACAACAGTTAATTCAAGATGGCCGCTTCCATCATGGAACCCCTCCAGCAAAATATTATCACCCCTCTCCAACCTTACCTCCGTCAGATCGTCTCGTCGCTGCCGGAACCCGTCCACGATACCGTCACCTCGCTGATCGGATCGTCCTGCCACAACACTCTTTTGGTTGATCTTGATGTCACCAAAGATCCTGCCTGCACGTCCCTTGCTATCTCCAAGGCCCTCGGAATTGCCATCGTGGGTGCCAGCGCTATCGTGAAGGTTCCCCAGATTCTGAAATTGATCGGATCTCGCTCCTCGACCGGCGTGTCCTTTGTGTCGTACGCTCTCGAAACTGCTAGCTTGCTCATCACGCTGTCGTACAGTGTGCGCAACCAGTTCCCTTTCAGCACTTATGGCGAAACCGCGTTGATCGCCGTACAAGATGTAGTGGTGGGTGTCCTGGTGTTGACCTTCGCTGATCGATCAACTGCGGCTGCGGCATTCATTGCTGTTGTTGCGGCCAGCGTGTACGCTTTGCTTTTCGATCAAACTTTGGTGGATGCGCAGACTATGTCTCTTTTGCAGGCCGGTGCGGGTGCCCTGGGTGTTGCGAGCAAGCTGCCCCAGATCATTACCATTTGGCGCGAAGGAGGCACTGGACAGTTGAGTGCTTTCGCGGTATGTACCAGGTTTTCTTCCGCTCTCAACCAGCTTGGAAACTCGACTAATGTTGATCTAGGTGTTCAACTATCTTGCCGGTTCTCTGTCCCGTATCTTCACTACCCTCCAGGAGGTAGACGACAAGCTGATTCTGTATGGCTTCATTGCCGGCTTCACTCTGAACGTGATCCTGGCAACCCAAATGATGTACTATTGGAAGGCGCCGACGAAACCCAAGAAGGCGAAGAAGGCAGCTCCCAAGCCCGTGGAGAGGGCTCCTGTTGCACAGAGCTCGGGCGCATCTGCCTCTCCCAAGCCGTCTGGAAAGACCCCCACTACGCGACGCCGTGGTTAGTTCCGGTATTGATTACTTTCCTCAGTACGCAGTTTTAATGATACAACGTAATACATTCTCTTCACGAAGTGTTCTATTCTCATTCCCTCGTAACTTCCCCAGACTATCCGTCCAAAGTATTACCTCTTCCCCGGCTCCGCCCCAGTAGTCATAAACCTCAAAATATCCTCCAACGGCACCGCAGGCTCCACAAACTTCTGCTGGTGATGCTGTGCAGCCGAAGCAGGCGCAATATCAAACTCAAACCCAGCCCCAGCAGACTGCCTCCTAACACCGACAATCTCCATCTCATCCTCCTCCCCTTCCTCCTCATCCTCACTCTCACTCCCCTCATCCTCCAACACCCTCGCCAGCCCCGTAACAACATTCTGCACGCCCATCTCCCTCTCCTCGAGCGTAAAATTCCCTCCCCAATTCCTCCGTCTTGCCTCCTGATTCGCCTCCACGGGCGCCCAATCCCACAACTCCGCCAGTTCCGCCTCCGCCAGCCCGGATTTATCCTCCAGCGCAGATGCGCCCGCCTTGCGACCGCGCGCAACCCAGTCCTCGACGCGGGGGTCAAGTTTCGTCCGAAGAAGCTGTTCGAGTGTGTTGGCCTGCGTACGGCCTGGATAGTCAGGGCCCGGATAAGCGACGAGGGAGGTCAAGAGATCACGGTTGTCGGAGAGGTGGTCGGAGACGCTGAGGAGGTTGTTTGAGATGATGCTAGCTTGGGATTGGAGGGAGGACCTTTTTTTTAATCATTTATCAAACATTAGTTAGCTTATTTACAACAATCACCTTGCACATGCATTCATGATTCAGTGAATTGAGGCACAGCCGACTAAGCAGACAAAAGAACTAGTTGGAACAGGTATAGACATACCAGGAGGGCAGAGGATCACTTTGATTCAGACTTGTGATTAGGGACGCCAGCGAGCGCGTGAGCTGGACCAGTCGCTGGCGAGACTGTTCAAGGGTTTTGAGCTGTTCTTGCGTTGGGGTAGCCATTTTCCTCTTTTCCTTTCCCTTTTGGGGGGGGGTGCTATTGGTGCTTTGACTTTTGTGTTTTAATGGTTTGTGGTTGAAGTGCCGGGAGGTACTGTATTGTTGGATGCGATTTGGAGATCATAATCCACGATGGCGGAGATTAGATGCTATCGCTTGATCGGGTTTAGTGTATGCACTCACTTTCCCTGGGTCCCCCTCCAATGGATTGAACGGATCCTCCGTACGTCCACCACCCGAAGTAAATACGATAAGCAGTCCTAATGCACTGTACAACTGGAATTCACCGGACATAACGGCCCACGAGCCCCTCCCCCCCTTCTGAAATAATGCTATGCTCAGCTTAGACTCTGGTTGATTTTACCGGTGGAAGATCCTGCAGAGTTCTATTATTATCATTGTCGGGTTTGCATGGGGGTGATTGGAGCTTGGCTGGGGGACATGAAACTTTTAGACGCCTGTCGGTCCAATCTCGTCTCTCGCTATGCCGTGTTTATTTTTAGAGTCTTGCATCCTTCGAGGTTCTGATCTTCTGGGTGAGTGAGAGGGGGAGGGTGTCTGCTGTATATAATCTGTTACTTTGACCGTAAGATTTTCTTCTATTTACTTTCTTGTTCTTTGTTTGTATGTGTGTGCGAATTTTGCTATGTATTTGCGACTATGATATATGACATGAGATGGAAACCGACTTCCATCGTGGAGGAATACAACATGGACAGGTATTATTTGGTGAATTAGTGTCAAGGAATGGAGGGGGTATATCGCGACGAGCACAGTTCTCTTCATCGAGTTCATGAAACATAACGACATGGCAAAACGCCAACGCAGACGGCTGAGATCGGAACTACTAACATGCACGAACCCATGCGTCATTTATCGGCCCAGGGACCTTTTGCATGAACCAGTCTTATGACCGTCAGTCACTACTACCGCTTCTGCTTGGAATCCTGGCCAAAGTACTCAGGGTACTCGGGGGTTTTCTGTTTCTCCCCGTCTGGGGAAAGGTTCAGGGGAGGCGTTGCGACAGCGGACGCGGTTACCTCGGCGAGATTCTTGGAATAGCCCACATCGCGATAGTGTCCATCGGTGTCGACGAAGCTTAACCCTTGCTGCTGTTGCCTGTGGGCCTGCTGATACATGGTGGGACTGTACATTTCGTGGTAGTTCGCCCACGGGGTACTGATGCCAGTATCATTCCACCGGGCATGGAGGTGGCTGGATTGTCGATGCTTTCGGGCCTTTCTGCGACGCCACCGAATGAAGAAGAAGCAACATATGGAAAGTGCGCACAGCAGAATCACGAATCCCAGGACCGGGAGCGCAATCACCAGAGCCAGGTTGACCCCAGGACCACCGGTTGAGGTTGGATTGATGAGGTCTACCGTTGAGGATGGTAACAGCGACTGGCTGAAGATCCTCGTTGGGCTAATCGGGAATGCAAAGCCAGTAGGTGTTCGAAAATGGCAATTATAACGAAGCGCTTCAAGGACTGCGATTCAGAGGTTCAAGTCAGCTATGCATGTTCCTCGGAATGACGGGGAATCTAACGCACAATTCGCCATAAAAACCTGCGATTGACCATTTGTTGGATCCTGGGTCTGGGTCTGGGTGAAATTATAGCACTGCTCGCATTGGGTGATGAGATTGTCGGCGAACGACGTAGTCCCACACCAGGTGTAAAAGTTGTTCGCACCCGGGTCTGTCAGATCAAACTCTAGGGCTCTGTCCAACGGCTGACAGTTCACCGTGCACTGCGTGGAGATATTGCTCACACTCTTAGGGTAGCCATAGACACAGGAGGTGAACGTATAACGAAGATTGTCTGCAAAGCTCGGATGGTTAGAGAGCATCAAGAGGCGGACTCGACATATACTTACAAAGTCCCCAGTCCAGATCCGTCTCCCCAGAAGATGGGTCACTGTAAGTACTTCGCAACTGACAGTCGACACACTGCTTGAATTGAGACCCTTTGTTGGTGGAAGTGAAGTCCGTGTCTAGACAGGTAATCTCGGACCCCGTGGTGTTGGCCGATTGCTTATTGCAAACGTTCGCACATGGCGATCCTGGTGTTGTCCGCAACGCCACAGCCAGCGGCACTAAGTGGCAGAGGAGAATTAAAGCTGCCGCCCAGATAGACGTAGATCTTGGAACTAGGCCCCAGGAGCCGGGCATCTTGGGGTCGGGAATGGTCACCAGATACTGTCTGCACTACGACAGCCAAGAGGAAAAGAGTGCCCGCAGTGCTGGCATTTAATACTCAAGAGCAACTGCGGACACAATGTGGATGAAAAGGAGAGGGGAAGCACCTCAATTGTCCGGTGCGGGAAGCAGAGGGTGACGAGACGGTTGAACTTGCGGTCTTTTCACAGTGACTGGACCCCGAAAGAGAGACCTTTCCGGTACCTTCGTGGGATTGATAAGGCGCAGCGTAGCATCCGTGGTACGATCATCGTGCTTTGGAAGCTGTCAAGCATACCCAAGCTAGTCAAGACTGAACAAGCATGCAGTGTGCAGCCGGGCGCTAAAGAGTACCTGTAAAAGACGGGCACTGGAAGGGGGAGATCCTTGCCCAGCGACAGGCGATTCGTGTGATGGGCGTGACGAGGGATTGGTGACGAGTGATTGTGATTGTGACGGCTTCTGCAGATGGTCGCTTCTCCTCTGCGCTTGAGGCTTTCCATTCGTCGATCTCCCTTGGAACCCCTCATCTTTTGGGTTTCCTACCGATCCTCATTGGCGGAACGATCATTGGTACGATGCACTGTGCAATTCTTGAGCTTCGGAACATCCCTCCGAAGTCGTCGACTGTTGTGTTGCCCATTTGCAGTTCTTTTGGAACCCGGCGCTTAGAAGAATCAACAAAATCACACTGTCCCTGCATTGCGTTGGCTTTTTTATCCCCAAATCAGGCTATGCAACAGAAAGAATTAATTAAAATGAATAAAATAAATAAATCAAAATAAAATAAAAAATAAATTCCTTGACGCCATTCACTATGACTTGATGCCATTATAATAACAGATAATAATAATAAAAATCATCATCATAATAAAATCATTGTATACAAATTCTAATCCCCGAGAAATAACTGTCGGTCATCACTCCGCTAAAATGCCCTCCGCGCCAAACATCTGTTAAGCGCAATTCACCATCATTGGCTGTCATATGACAGGGTAAATCAAATCGCTCATAGACTACTGCTAGTAGTGTACTTGGTCGAAACCGATTGATATGGAGCAAAAGAGAGAAAAACGACAAAAACAAAATGAAAAAAAAAAAATTAAATAAAAATAAAAAAAACAAATAGAGCCTCCCACATGAGATACGAATTAGATAATAACGCCACTATGCAAGTTTGTTATTTCTCGCCGGTGGCACCGAAAAGAAAACAGAGAGGCGAGACATGAAAGAAAAAGAAAAAAAAAAAAAAAAAAAAAAAAAAAAAAAAAAGGAAAGAAAGATCCAGATCGGATGGTCAGTGTTTGTCATGACTCATGGTAGCTTAACGTATCGGTCATTTGCAGGAACCTGTTCTTGCACAGAGAGCTCAAAGCATTATCTCGAATCCAATATAGTGGAAAGTCACTATCCGTAAAGATCGTCGTACGATGGAACTAACTCCTGTTCTGCAACCGGTGCAGGCTTCGGCCGAGGCATCAGTTTGGTATCACGAGTTGGTCGGTGTCCCAGTCGAGGGTCTTCAGACGGTACCGAAGGGATAGACGATGTATAACTGGTATGCCTCGAGCTTGATGTAGCTGGTATAGATGCTGTCGGTTCGGTCGAAGCGCTCTGCAAACTGAAGTGACGCATTCGTGATGTGACCGACAGCGGTGGTGATTTGGACGCACGCGAATAGGCATCGCTTTCCTCACGGGATCTCGTACGAGACCTGTCTCGTGGATATCGAGTCTTTGGACTATAAAGGCCGGATATGGAATCCTCTTCCTCATCAACAGAGGATTCGTCAAATCCATCCTTCACTGTAGGATGGGTTTTATGTCCTACTATAGGACTGGGAGGGGGCGCCTTTTTCTTTGATCCCCCTCGTACTTTTGCGTCGTAGTGTCCCGTCGGCATGGTCATGGCTGAATCAGTGGATGATGTCCGCTCTTTAAGATTTCCCAAAGGTAGAGTAGATGTGTGGCCATGACGATCGAGCGAATCAAGAGAACCATGTCGTCGACAGTGGTCCAACATTTTAACGGGTATTGAGGTGGGTGTTCCAACAGGCGATTGCTCATATTGACTCCAGGAGCCTGCATTGGGATACGTGATAGCTACATCTCCCCAGCGAGAGTGCAGCTCCGAAGAGAGCTTCCGCTTTCTTCGTAGTTTTTGGATAATACCCGTCATGATATCTAAAGGGCTTTTCATAAAATGAAGTCTGCCCACATATGCGTGGGAGGCGTATGAGCTTCAACTGATGACGAGTGGCTCAAAGCATACAAAAATTCGTCAAAAGAGCGCGTGACACATACCTTGAAACTGGCAAGCTATGCGTGTCGCCTTCTACCAAACCGTCAAGGGAGGTCAAAGACTATCTAAACGGAGCAGAAGACGGGAAATATTGAATTAATGGAGACCGCCAGTCTGCATGGGATGATGATATATCAGTATACGTCCATCGACGATATACCGCCCGTCAAATGACAGCTGCATGTTTTTCTGAATCGGCGGCAGAGGAAAGGTCTTTCGGAAAGATAGACCGTCAACGGACGGGTTCCAGGGCAAGTTTGGTGCGAGTAGGGGACGCGTCTTGGGCCCGGCAGTTTGGTTCGCCCCTCTTCTACCCCCTTCCGGTGGAGGTTGACAGAGCACCAGTAGATGAAGAACGACAGACCGATCTCCCTTGGTTACCGAGGGGTCTTCGAAAGCGGCACAACGACTGGCGATGGTAACTGGCCCTGGGAAGCTGGGCCGACCATGATTATGACAAGGAAGGCAACCGGGTCCAACATCCGGCTTCATAGCTCAAAAGATAGGGCCGAACGAGGGGTGAATATTACGGCGCAGTCATCTTGCGTCTACGGTCGCCCACCACGACATGGATGTCAAATGTAAACTGGCGTGGGTCTTGGCTTGGCGTGGCGCTTCATGGCCACCATCACACTGGCGAGCAGACAGGGGACAGGACAGAGACTATGACTTGGTAGCAAGGATGTTGTACAACTCCTTGCCGTTTATAGGTGCGTCGACCCCGCGAGCGCAAGCGATGCAACATCACCTCACAGGGGAGGTGGAGGGCATCCATTCGTATGACTGGCGAAGTGTCAGATGAGTTAATAAATGAGGCCCGTTGTGTTCAAGGGACCAAAGTCTCCTTACCTAACGTCTCCACAGACACCAACACCTGATTTGCACACGGAACCATAATTCCTTCCGTTGTAGAGGGGGGGAAAGAGGGGAAAGGGAGAAAGTCGTTGGCTGGCGCGAGAACAAGCACCCGGTTGATCGTCGCGGTTGAACCCGAACCATCCACCGAGCTTATCTACGCGCCGTGATGGGGACGACGTGGGATGGCCAATATAATAAACTCTTGTCCAAGATAAACGAATTGTTAATGCGCTGCAGCTGGACATTTTAGGATTTTTGACAAGGTATGAACGCCCAAGAGAACGTTCCCGTCAAATGACCGATGACAAATTCCTCCTCGAACAATCCTTGCCCTAATATCCCGATTGGGCAACTTTTGACTTGATGCTTGTAAGTAGCCTCAATCGCTGTACAACGGCGGTTAATATTCTTTTACGAGTTATAGTTATTTAGTGTTGATCTTAGTAATTAAAAGTTTGCTCGGCTCAGCAGTCCATTTACTGCAAGAAGTAGTGGTTGAAGTCTATCAGTACTTATTCGACAAGATACCTGTAGTCTGTCCATTCATTGTACAGTAGACTGCCAATGCTATAGCTTTAGGCCCACGATAGATCATATCCCACCTCCAGATCGTTCTATTGCCTACTTCCTGTGCAATTTAATTGATATTAATATTTCTTTCTCTTTGTTTCTATTTTCCCCTCCCTTCTTTTTGTACATCCATCTCTTTATTTCTTGAGTAGCCCATTTAGTCCCACTCTCAATACCCGTCGGAATGCAACCCTGCAGATGGTAAGGACGTCACGCTCAGAAGTACTACTAGTAGTAGTAGTAGTAGTAGTAGTAGTGGTAATAGGCACTATAGCCAACAAGACACAAGCGCCAGTGCCAGCTTCAATGATAGCTCCCTATAATAAGTCGGACTAATGGAGTCATCTTACGCCCTGTGAGAGTGGCCCCTCACAAGTATGCACCCATGTCGACTAAGTAAACTAAGTAAATAGGTGCCACCAACTCTGTAGTACTTTTTACAGCTCTTTCCTTTTTCCTTCCCTATGTATGCTCTTCTGTGCCGCAGGTGGGCTATTTCAAGTACTACTAGTAGCAGGAATAGCTCAGTTATCTCGCCTTTTTTTCCTTTTTTTTACTACCTTCATTCTACCAGTGGACTTGATTCATTCCCACAGATCTTGAACTCGAAATATGCAAGCATTTTTGGCTCTGCCCATGCCATTATGGGGAAGGAGCAATTGTATAAATCAGGATAGGAAGGGTGTCACCCTCCGTCTTTTCTCTCGCATTAGCATCGAACCACCCCCCTCATTAACCTACTTATTACATCAAATTCCACAATGGGTGAGTTGGAAATGCCATCCCGATAGCCTTATCACTCGCTAGGACTCAGTCTCGGCGGAAACGCATTGTATATTCCGCTATGCACAAGAGCAGACGACAGCGCATCCGTCAAAATACAATGGCAGCGAGACGTTATCCTCTGAGTCCATACTCTAGCGACAAAGGATATGCTTCATGATGATCATCAATTTCATTACTATACCTAACGCCACGGTATAGGAAAACAGATATCGTTACTGTTATGAGCCCATCGCGCTATTTCTCCAAAGAAAGGAAAAGGAGATCCAAAGAAAATAGGGAAAGAGAAAGCCACACCATACACCATACGCCGTACTGACCCATTTATCCATTCCGGTCCCATTTACCAGTCCAACGCTAACCAAAACCCACAGATCCGTCGCATTTGACAGCAGAAGCCAATCCTTAATGAAAATTAGTGACCAATCTCGAGAGCACAGGCTTTGGTCGCCGGAGGGACTGTGCCCCCTCTAAAGGTCGAGAGAAATTGGTGGTGCTACTATCCGAGTTCATCGACCGAGCACTCTCCAGTGACAGTCCCCGCTGCTCTGTTTGAGACGAACTTCTCTGTGTCTCCATTGGGCCTGTGTACTGCTGCTCGACGCCTCGAATAAAAGAGAATGGCCTTTCCTCAATCATACTGATCGGGTCCACCTGGGCCGGTCGATTTATTTTAACTGATGGTGGCAGTTGACTAATGGCCTGGTACTTCGAGGGGTCATAGGCGGGTATAGTGGTATATGCTGGTGGCGGGGTGTCCCCGGACAGTCTGCCACGAGGGTGGGTATGGCTTTGCTCTTGTGGTCGACTATATGAGTACATTGACGAGTAGGGTCGTGGCCGTTCCATTCCCTGGTTGCTAGAGGGATATTCCTGGGGCTTACAGCCCATCGGTGCATGCATGACCAGCATGTCCTCCTCATATTGTCGGATGCGATCCCATCTCCGTTTCTTGAAGAGAATGAACAAGATCCCCGCAGTGACTGGTGCGGTGTCAACAACAGACGTTTTTAGTGGGCATGTAGAGAAGAAAGGCTATACATACTAGCAATAGCAGCGACACAGCCCAAAACAACCCCGATAATAATCTGATCGGTGGCTGGGTCACTCGATCGAGGCACCAGTGACCTTCGGCAAAGAGGGAAAAACATATTGCAAGCTTGCGGGGTAAGATGAAGGGATCGCTGGCCGAGAGAATACAGTTGAGTTTGCCCCCTCAGTTCAGTTCATTTCAGTTCAAGAAGAGCGGAGACATCCCCCCATTAAGAACTCAAGTTCACCTCCAGCCTCGTTTCAGGATGGCTTGTTTGAGATCATTTTAAGTTCCGGTCAGAGCATCTACTCCAGCCTGGAGTCGCGGCTAGCCAGCGGAACAATATGCAGTGTATCCAGCAAGCACCAGTCGGCAACAAAAGCAATAACCCCAAAAATAGAAGGATTTCGGCGCGATTGCAGATTCATTGGCTGTCGATGCTCGGTTTCGGAGCTGCAAGCGCTCGGGTTGTCGTATCAGCGGCAGTTGAAGGATCGGACCCGCATTAGTTGATCTATTTTAAAGTGTACAAATGAGGAGAAATCGGAGATTCTGGTGAAGTGGTTGCGGATCTAATCTTAGCTTCTATCATTCTAGAATTCTAAACATGTTCATATCGGGTGTGATCAAGATATGCCAGGTCAGTCGGTACATTCTATAATTTTTATACGCCACGCTTTGTTAGAGGGCTAGACCCAAAACCTAACCTCGACATCTATAGACCTCAGTGTACATAGAGAAAAGCATCTCATTCAAGATGTATCGTACTAAAGTGTTTCAATCTCTCCCGTTCACTCGGCATATGGTCGATACACAGCCATTCCTTTGTCCGTAGACAGATCCAGACTCACACCTTGTCCAACAAAGTATACATATCCCTCCTGCAGGTCGAACGTTTTGACAGATTTTCCCTCGGACAGCTCTAGCCGCCCACATCCTTTGGTGACAAATAAAAGACTTGGGCCAGAAATAGCCTTGTGTGTTTCATGCTCTCCAGCTCCCAGACTAGTCGCTAAAACGTTAAACTCACTGAAAGGAGGCGTATACTCATCCGATTTCCCAGAGATACCCTTGTCACTCTTTCTCCGCGGCAAAAGAGCCTCGTCCACTCCATGTGGCTTGAAGGTCAGTGCGCGCGTGAATAAATCGATGTTATCGCGTTCTGCACGCGGACAAAAACCCGTGTTAATCACATTATCAGACCGCGCCATACACTCAACGATGTCACCACAGAGATACGCATGGATACTATCCGCAGGTACACAGACAGCCTCTCCAGGTCCAAGAGTCATGTAGTTCATCAGCAGCACGGCAACCAGGTTACCGTTATCGAACTCGGTGTATTGCTTGCTAAGCCGATCGAGCATCCCAGGGATATAACGATGCTTTCCGAACTGGGCTTCCGGGAGATCCTTAAGGCTCTGGATGATCTCCGAGACAACGATTGGGGGCAAAGTGAGGAGCGTCTTGCAAAGCTCCCGTAGTAGTGCATCATCGAATGGCCGATTGGAGGGTACTAATTGCTCAACTGGCTTAAGCTTCATGATCGCTTCGATTTCACTAAGGGGTTTGAAGCCAGCGAAGAGCTCGAAATTGGACAGCGCGACTGCGATTTCGGGCTTGTGATTTGGGTCATTGAATTGATCTGGGTTTTCTTTGTGGAGTTGCTCTGCTAGTGATTTGTCTGGGTGGACTTGGAGAGGAAGCGCTTTTCTGAATGAGAGGATCTGGTTATGGTTTGTTACGTTAAGCCATCTTCTTCTGGGATTCACGACATAAAATCTATGGGATTACAGCACTCACCTTCGGCAAGAACGGAATTTCTAGCCCATACTTACCCAGCGCTGATTTTCCAACGAGCTGTGGGTTCTTCTTCAGATACTCGGAGAGGAGCTCGCCTGTTGAAAGGATTCGAGAAGGGACAGCTGGGTATGTGCCCATCCACATCTAAAAGTGTTAGAAACAATATTTTCGCTATACCATGTGAGTAGCTCTAAGTACCTCGGAGTATGTTTGATCATCTTTTACATCCCCGTTCTTAGGGGTTTTAGACCAAAGCTGACCAGCTAACGAGTTCGTTCCTTGCTTACCCCATGGATCATTCTGGAAAAGTAAAATAGTTAGCATTTACTAGTTGAAATACTGGGGGAAAGACGTGGTTATACCTTTACTCCGCATTGGAGCTGCACAACGGGTTCCGCCATTGATGCGAATCGAGGTGGAGTAATTGACTTGATTCAGATCAGTGTCTTAAATAGCTTGAGTGGATCCGGAGAAAGAACTATTCAATTCCTGAGACTGATCGAAATAGGACAAGAGAAGAGAGTATTTATTTATCTGTAGGATGAAATGCAGTCCTGCGTTAACATGTCGTCATGGACGGAAGGTGTGCGCATGGAACTGATCGCAACTTCCTTTTTGGGAAATTCCAGGTCATGACTTCATACCCCATCGAGCCCTAACTCCAAGAACTTCAAGAACTTCCATGAAGCCAAGACTTTCCCCTTTTTAACAGATCCAGGTGAAGACAGCCGGCAAAAGGGATATCGACAGGAGGGATTCGGAATCAATATTCCTCAATCGTCAGACTGACGTCAGTACCGTGAATGCTTATGAACACCGGTTACAAGTCGGATTCCATGATCATGTTGTGGTATAAAAGTAGTTCTAGGTTTGTATGTACATTAGAGGTCGAGTAACGTAAGCTGTTCATTATACGTGTAGTATTCGTGGGAGTGATTCAGCCAACCACCAACGCCCTGTAAAAGCCCTAACGCAGAAAATGCTCATCGCGCTATAACGGTCGCAAATATATACGCCATCCTGAATGATGATCACAGTCATAAATCTCAAAATAGAAACATAGGCTTTTATCCATAAATGTCCTCCGCATCAGGTACCATGGTCATGGTCATACGTTTCGCAGCACGAAGTTTCTTCTTCTCCAACGATGAACCCGCATTCATTTGTGCTGCCATCGCCCACTCACTATACTCGCCACTAGTTCTGTATCCCGTCCGAGATGACCGGTGAGACCTCTCGAGCGGTTCAACATAGTGATCGTATTTGTCCTCATAACGAGAATCCCGCTGTTGTCGTCTGGGTCGATTATCCCAATCCTCCATACCGGCGTAATTGGACTGCATACTATGTTGCGAACTCGTTGAGTATCTGTGGCTTCCAGGCGAAATGGTTGCAGCCCGTGCATCGGCTGGGATATACCGGAAACGAGGTGAATCATGAGCACGCGAAGCCGCTTTCTCAGCCACCTCAGTAGAGTAGTCTTGGTGAATAGGCCTGTAGGCAAACTCGGTTCTTCGGTCGTTGTGGTGCAGATGCTCCTTTTCGCTTGGATCCTCGGTGGAATTCCTTGACCGTGGAGCCAAACGCATCGAAAGACGACGAGGGTTCAGTGTGCTCATAGAAAAAGAATTCTGTCTAGCTGGGACAGTATTCTCTGGAGCAGAGGCTGTATCGTAATTCCCCCGTGAGGACCTGGTAGAATTGCCTCTGGCAAGGCCATGGCCATAACCTCTGTGGGAAGGATGGTGAGGGTTCTCGAGTTGATTCCATGACCCCTCAGTCGGGGCTGAGATTGCTACATCCCCAAACCGTTCGTGAAGGGGCTTGTAGGAGTCACTCTTGCGAAAGCGGTTCAGGGGCCGTTGTACAATGTTTGCCATAATGAAGATAAGTCGACGTGTGGAATAAAAAGAGGACAAGTCAAGGTTCAAAGTGTGTATCAACCCAAGAGTTGTGAACTCAGAGGTATGAGAATGGGACGAGCCTATATGAACTCTTCACGATGGCAGGCGCTATGCAAAGTACCTGGTTACCAATAACAACACTGCAAACAAAGAAATAAGAAGATGACCAAATAATAGTAGTAGAAGTTGAATGCTCGCAAGCTGCTTAAACGCACAAGGAAAGAATTAAGGCACGCTGGATAACAAGGACTCTTGGAGGCATGAACCAAAAGGCACATCAAGACATGGAAGGATTCATGAGCCGATGCGCCTGATGAAGCACAGACCAAAGTATAAATCCAGAAGGATTTCGCCCGGGTTGATGTTCCAGTGGCATCGTAGAGAGGATGAAGGAGTATAAAAGCTTGTCCTTGAGCCAAGCGTTTCAGAGATGATTCTTTTTTTGTAGGGCAGTTGCCAACATTAGAAGCAAAGGTGGGAGAAGTGCGGGCAGGCGCATTAGTCTCCGCGCCTGGAACCACGGATCCATCGCTGATTGATCGACAGGTCCTTAAGTCCTGTTCCATTCTTAGCAAATTTCCCTTGAACTAATTAATTACCTTGATTGCAGGAATTAGTTCCGACCTAACACTGCATAATTCGGCCAAATTTAGAACCATCACCAAGCGAAGCGCCAAACAACCCCGCGACAGAATCGTGAAACTCCCTTCTTCCTCCTCTTCACCTGCATCACCCTAATTAGCCTGTGTGCTCTATAATTATCACCAAGTCACAACATGCATAATGGTTAATATTAGCAACAGCCAAGTTCTAGGCAGTATTGAACTCATGACGTCGATTGCTGGGGCGTGGAGATGAGTGGAAATGCTAGTCGGATACCTAGATTTTGTTTACCTAAATGTGAAGAATCTCATTGCAGTATAATAATCCAATCTTCGAAATGTCTTCAGGGTGCATAGGTTACTGATCATACTTGGTGATACACTCTCATCGAACCCTTGCTCATGGCCCCTGCTCGGAAACGGCAATGCCATTTGAGCCAACTTAAAAGAGGGGAAATAGGAGGCTAGAAGAAGAAATGAGAGATTAATTTAGGACCTCGGGTACTCCAAGAATGGCTAGAAATGGTAAATTTACATCGTAAATTAAGCCGCCTAGGTCAGTAGCGCTGAAGTCGTCCGGTCCACAGACTTAGGGTTCGAGGGAGGAGTCGGAGGACATAAATTCTGTGAGGTATCGCTACTAACATGCTTCCTGAATACTATCTAAAAGCCATAAAGAATATCTAGCTAGCATCGGCAGTTTTCTGAGGTAGACCAGCCGTAGACATTGGCCTTTTGGCCAAGTCGGAACATGCTGGCAAGTCCAATAGATGTTATATCACTCCTTCTTACGCCGGTTTCACGGTACCCTCATAATCAACTGTGTAGTGCTCAGCACTGATCTCCGCTTACGCTGTCAGTCCAGGCGATGTATATTATTCTTTCAGGGTTAGCTTATTTTGATAAGGCTAGTGTTGAGCATAATTCAATTCATATGGTCGTTCAAGCTGTACAAGGCAGGCAGAGCTAATGCGATCTGTGATGCATTCATACATAAGCTAAACAGTATAGTTACCGGGGCAGGCTATCTAGGTGTATATGCGTGCGTATATAATGATTTTACCAAAATATGATTCAAATAGCCGTCTATCATAGCCAAATCTTGCGAACCAGGGCAGATCTCCCTGTGGCTAATACCATCTCTGAGAACGCCCGTCTCCGAACGCCGCTTTGCAGCAGTAGCAAACCTATATCTGTCTAAACCAAGTCCCAATTCTAGATGTCGAAATTGACTAAGTGGAAAGGTAAAGAAATAAGAGGAAAGAGCAAAGAAAACATAGACACCACATCCCAGGTGGTGATCTTTTAAGATGCATAGCAGAGGTCCATCCGATCCTCGCTACATTTCACAGGCGGACGTCGGACTTCGAACCTGCAACCTCCTTATGGTGTAGTTGATGATTTAGGTCGTTCCGGACAAGGTAGAAATGTGTCCACCGACAGGTCGGGGACACAGAGCCAGCAGACCACATACAATAGGACATACCATCTGGCTATGTGCTTCGGTTGTAATGCAATATCACCTCACTTAAAAGCAAGCAGATCCCCGGCACAAATTTGTTAGTTGTAGGCAGGAGGTGAGCGGTTTGGATGACTTGTGGGTGTCATGCGGAGCGTGCGGTTTTGGGGAGAAGATATCAACTTGGTGGATAACTGGCGTGCCGGAGTCAAAGAGCCATCTGTGACATGGGTTGATGGCTGACATTGTGTGCCTACAGATGATCTCCTTGAGTGAATAGATGTGGTCGGTAATGACCGCAGCGACGGAAGAGCACCATGCGGAGCAGACCAGCGAGGTGGTTGGTGATATATTGCCCGACCATCTGCAAGCCCGAGTCGTTCCAAAGCCAGAGGTCGCGTCTCCTCGTCAGTGCCGGACTCAGTGAGGGAGAGGTCATCGTTAAGGTCGGGAAAATAACTCTCACGAGCTTCAGCCTGATCATCATCCGCCTCATCTTGCCGATCGGTGTCTGACGACTGTTCGGGCGACTGTACGCTACAGCATCTTCTTAGGAGCGGTCTTGCTCGACGACCAGAATTGGCCCTGATATGCTTGGCCTTTTCGACTTCATGACTGTAGGAGCTTCTCCGGTTAAGCAAGCGTCCTCGACCACAGCTACCGTCTATGGTTTCTGAATAGCCAGGTAGTCCGATAGTCCTTAAGGCTATCTGGCTCGAACTAAAGGCTACTCTCGCCCGCATCTGTTGGATAGCCGAGTCCAAAGCTAATTCAATAGCGCAGTGGTTTCGAATCCGTCTGAGTTTGGGCCACGTCGCGCGCTCCCCTGAAAGACATGCCTTGAGCATGAACTCTGTGGTCGGATTCTTTAGTATTACCGGGAAATGGGTGTAGAGTATTTCAGGGTAGATGTTAATATCGCCCGAGTATTTCTGGTTCACGATTGATACAGTTTTAGTCAAAGAGGTTGGAAAAATACCAAGTTCGGATAAAACTGTCAGTCGATGCAACACCTCATCCTTCGCGAGATGCGTCATGGTGTGGAACAACCGAGAAGCCAAAGACGGGGTCTGTGGTGTCCCATGGGTCGGGCCATCATATTTTGGGAGAAATGGAACCACATGAGGATTAACCTGCGACACAATGAAATGGTTGACATTGAACATTTCCGATAGACGGGTCATCGGTAAATCACCATCTACTGAGCCGTCGATGTACTGCCTATGCAAGTCATTCCAAGGGACTGCCTCTCCTGTCTCTGGATCCTTGGCCATGAGGACAAATGGTGAAAATACTAATGGAACTGAGCATGAGACGGCTCTGTGAAAGTTAGTCCGGCAATAGAAAATTTGTGTGGTGAAAGGGGAGAGAGAAAAAAAAAAAAAAAAAAAAAAAAAAAAAAAAAAAAAAAAAAAAAAAAAAAGGGGGGGAGGAGGGGAGGGGGAGGTTGTGAAAAGTTAGAACGTACACTGCAGACCAGATCAGCACATTAGGCGCTGTGATGTAGTTCAATAGCTTGGGGAGCTCATAGATGCCAGCACTAGAAACGCAGATGTTAAGTATTCTGCGCGTCCTATTATATGCTTCCTGGAATGTAATATCCCCAAGCCAGTTTCGCATGACCTTGGCTAAGTTCGAAATGTCCAGAAAAGAACCGTACTTCAAAAACCTGGCTGTCTTCTGCAGAATATTTTCCTCCTGGTTGGGGTCATTGAAAACGGCAAAGTCCCCATAGGCAAACGAATCCAGAAGCAGCGGCAGTTCATCATCTGTCCGAGTGCAGAAGACAGCACATACAATACTTCCAGCCGAAGCGCCAGAGATAATACGAGGGAGCAGTTTTGCCTGCCAAAGCGCTTTAAGCACACCGATGTGGTTCATCCCAAATGTTGCTCCACCTGAGAATAATAAGGCGCTCCGACCAAAAGCTTGCCTTGCTGCTAGAAGTTGATCGAGGATATACTTTAATTCCAGCCCATCACACCGGCCTTTCGCTGACAAATCTACCAGCGACGAGATTGTATCAAGGGCCGTCGTGATGTACTGATCAATCAAGTCCTTCGTACCGACGTGCGAGTGCCTATAGAGAGAGTCGTTACGCATGTTTCCTAAATCGCGGCTTAGGGAGGTGCGGATTAGGAAAATCATTCGGCTAATGTCACAGCTGATGCGCGCTTCTTCTAGTTGCTTCAGACGTTCCTGCACTAGATGGGGATCGTATTCGGAACTCTCGAAGGTTGCTTTCCAGGAGTTATTGTCTTCTAACTCGTCCAACTCGTAGGCGCAGTCCTTCCACTCTTTATATGATACAGCCTGGAGCATGCAGTTAGCAAGCATATCAGGCTGCAAGGGCAACTAGTTGCTGCGTAGTGGAGAAAGAGGAAGCCAATATCTGGAAAGAAAGTGCTAACATACATTGCGCATTTTCAAATATAGCACTTGCTTTCGATCATCGGTAGTAGTATGACCACCCTTGTCCACCTTGGAAGAGCCATCCTGGTTCACATTATACAAAGTGTCACCGGCCCAAGTTAGAGAGGACTTGATAACGGATGACAGCGAGGGAAGGGAAACGGCTCTCGGAAGGAAACGAAACTGAGTACCAGAAGCCTCCTTGACGGAAGACGGCTTTCGAACATGTTTGCTCTGGGTATGACAGTGAGGGTGCAGGATGGGAGAGTCATGAAGGATTGCCATGCCAGGCTTCCACTGACATCAAGACATTCGACCAAGAAACCGATAGCACTTCAAATGGCTACTATAAGAACAGATTGATGGATAGAAGAGACTATCTGAAGGGAAGGCCGGTCAAGGATAACACATGGAAAGGGATATGGAAAGTAAAGATCTAGTATCGCATCGGAGATAAGCATAGGTCAAGGAATTTAAGTGTCCGTCTATGACAATGGGGTGGAACAAAAACCGGGATGGTTTGGGGAAACTGTGCAAATCATGGATAAATCTGGGGGTGTGTCAGCAGCGCAGCCTAAGGCCCCGTCCGGAGTAGATCCAGACGTCACGAGGGACCCCTGTACGGCCCTGGTGATTGGACAGGTGTCCCCCTATCGATCGCCACAAGCGCTAATCAGCCCCAGGGAAACCGCTCATCATGCGCATCAACTCCTTTTCGCGGGGATTCTTCATTCGGAAAGCCCGTCTGAACACCGTTGAAGAACCAGCATTAACAACATCCTAATATATTCATCCCATAGCCACAGGAACACTATGAAGATTTACTTTCGGTTCTTAAATCTAAACTGCCAAACTCTATGTTCAAAAAGAAATAAAAACCTGGATATTGTAGACGATGATCACCAATCCTTCAGCTCAGATCATCTGCTGGATGATCTCATACAGCCCCACAAGCTGAATGGCGGGGATGATGCTACTAGTAGTATCAAGTCAATTAGTATTGCGAAGGCGGGCATCACAGCATCAAAAGAAATTCACCGGTCGTAAGATAGCTTAGGCCGCATAACGTATCAAGAGAGTTAGGCCTGGGGTACGGTCGAGTACTACTACTAATATATTAGTATGCTAGCAGTAGTAGTAGTAGTAGCAGTAGGTACTGTATTCATGGGGGGTTCTCCGGTATGTACTGTACGGGGCACTAGTTCTATGCGATAGTCTAAACATTACACCGCATATTTGGAAGCTGATGCAATACGAGATTCCAATGCAACCAAACATTTACAGTAGCAGTTATAAGGAGTGATGAATACACCATTCATGGGTATTGGCGGGCAAGAGTGACTGTTATGTAATGCTTACTGAGTAGTATTATACATAAATAAGTATTGCCTCAGATATTCCTTATCAACGAGTTGAGCCTAAATGCTCAGTCATGGGTCAATGGTCGGTAAGCTGCGATACCCATGTTCAACATGCGAAGCATGTGTAACGGTATCGAAACGTTTACGGAACCACTGACCCAATGACACCATAGGCCTTTAGACTCAAATCTCAGACTCCAGAGGATAAATCCCCACTATAAGCTGGGGATGGTCATGCGAAGGCAGAACTATCACATGCTTTCAGAGATGGGACGTGTGCATGTGAAACGGGCCTGCAAATGGGGAACGCGGTCCCATCTTTCAGTCCGATATTCTAGACCTCTCCTAAAGTGATCATAGAACTACCACTAAGTTACCTTTAATTCGCTATTTTGCACGAACAGTCAAGGTATCAGGCGCAACCACTTTCCCAGTGCATCTCTTGCCTGCGACTCGACCCCATCCTCTCTCCAGAAATGTCCAGCTCCGTCAATCTCGGCCGATTGAAATTGACTGCCGGGCACATGCGACAGTTCGTCTGACCATTTTTTTAATTTACTTGCAGATGTAAAGCTGTCCTGATTTCCGTAAATCGCTAGACTCGGACGGGCGCATAGCTGACGAGTTGGCTTGGGACATGGAATCTGTCTCCGTTGAGCTGGGCTGCGAGCCCCAATATCCAGAAACATTGTTGAGAAGAATGTTAGGAATAGATTGAGTGGCGGCAAGAGGGGTGACACGAGAAGGTATGATATTGTTGTTCCTGAGATATCCAGCGGTTCTTCCACAGCCAGGTGGTCTTCTGATGCCAGGTTTTGTTCTTGGGTTGACCCGTTGGCTTCCAACAGAGCCGAAACTTTCACTGCAGTTTGAAGGATTTCATGTGCCTCTGTACCAGCAATGATGTCTTTAAAAAGATCCGCAACGACATCAAGTGCAGGAAGATGCGATGCAATTAATGAGCCGTAGGAATAACCACCAAGGATGAGATGGATATCTGGCCAGTCAAGTGTAAACTGAGCATCGGGGACGTCAACGTTGGCCCCACCAGGGATACTTCCATCCCCTCTCTGTGAAACTTCTTGAGACCTCAAGGAATGCAAGTAGCACAGCATGAATCCGTAGAAGGAAACATAATCTGCTAATTCGGGCTTCGCGGTCCAACTAGTCCGTCCCCCGGAAGTACCGGCACCGCTACAGAGCAGATCAGTATACACCCACTCAGCAAGTGTACAGATACTAGAGGAGAGAGAAGAGAGAGGGCAGTAAACAAGTCAAGGAGTATAGGTAATGCCAGCCATGCACTTACCGAAAGTTGAATGTGCCCACGATGTATCCAGTCTTCAAAAGCTCGCCTCCGACAAAACTTACAACTGGGTCGTCGTAGCACCCACCGAGAGGAGCATATGGGTGTGCGATGATAGCCCCTCGTATAGTTTCTAACTGCAACGAAGAATGATGGGGGAGATAAAGGCGACAGTCAAGTGGAGTCTCATCGTGGAGTGAAGGGATGGTAAAAGAGTATGTGGGAGAGGGTAAATACATATTTTTTTTTACTGGATTTGGCTCAAGATTTCTATGTTGGATATATAGCAGTATCGCTAAATACCAGACAACTGAACCGTTAACGCAGCGAACGGTTCCTGTCTGTCACGCTGCCGGAGGGGGCGAAGTTGCAAAGTTGGTCAAAGCGCCTTCCCCAGGCGCTTTGTTTTAGGCACGTTGCCCTATGACGCTGGACAACAAGCCCAGATTGGCATTCTCGATCATAAATTTATAGCTACTAGTACTAGTCCTATATTACATGATTGATAGCTTCCTTCGAAAGCTTCCCTGAAGAAGAACTGCCAACATTTCTATATATTTAGTCATTATTCAAGATTCTTTCTTATGTTTCCGGAAGCAGCCACGCAGGATCCGGCTCATCATCTTCGTCTTCCGATCTAGAAATGGTGTCAGAATGATGTTCCTCGGTATCCTGTAATAGATCAGCTGGAGGGTCGGGGTTGTCGACTCCAAGTGGATCTTGATGTAGATCATGCGGGTTATCTTCCCCAGACTTGTCAAGCACCCTTCGTTCTGAAGATTGCGAAGGATCTTCATCCGAAATATCGAAGGCATCAAGGAGCATTTCTCGTGCTTCCCGCAATGCTTCAAGTTCAGCAGCAACGCAACAGACAAGCAATTTCCAGTTCTTCTCCTCTGCAACTCCCAGACAGTGTTCCACGTGCTCTGTTGTATTGTGTAGGTCTTCCAAAATCCCACGAACATGGTCGAGTTCGGAGTTGTTCTCAACAGCCCTAGAAGATTCTGAAGCTTGGGACTGATTTTGTAGTGAACGGCGCATTGCTACCTTTAACCGTCTTTCAAATCGATAAACTTCTAAAATAACCTGTTTCCAGACTCCCCCTCCTGCCTCAAGTGCCTGTATCTCAAGGCCTACTTCTTCTTGTCTCTTTCGCAATTCGGACTGCTCCGTTGTCCAATGCTCTCGGGCCATATCAAGCGTCCGACGTTTAGGATTCAATGAATATAATGTTGCACCATTAGCGGAGCTCGACTGGGGTGGGACAGGGGGGTTCTGAAGGAACTTTTGGATGTCCGACTCTAACAGGGATAAGGAGGCCTTGTAGGAGGATAACTTGGAGTCCACCGAGTTTTCCATATATGCTAGCTCTTCCACGACATGGCGGTGCCTTGCTCTCATTAGGGATAGCTTCGTCTCCAACTCATGAATGTCCGCCTCTAGCTTGTGACCTTCCTCTCGGAGTTCCTCGGTGCGTTGACTTTCTTTGTTGTTGTGGATTGTCGACACAGCCTCCTCAAGCCCGGCTCTTTTTGTAGTAAAACTGTTAATTTCATCTAGTGCATCCGTTCGTATGGCAACACGAGCTGTGAGTATTTCTCGCTCCTCCTCTCTAAGTTTCAGCAAGTCAAATATGGATTTGAATATTCCTTCGCGTGCAGCACGTAAACTAATCTTCTCCGTAACCGGTTGTCTGACAGGGACGGTCAAAGGCTTCTGGAGGATACTAGGTTCTGTGGAAGGGGTAGAGCTTCCAGTGGGTGTCTCGTTTAACTGAGGTCCTTGGAGACCTGCTAGGAGACCTTCGCTTTGAGCATCGATAAGAGCCTGTAGGTTATGTTGGATGTGTTTCGCTTGACGGTCAATATAAATTAGAGGATCCTGGTGGTAGACAGATGCTCTAATGGGCAGAGATAAGAGACGTGAATCCCCATGTTTCGGAATGGTTGTCGACATGATTAAACAGGAAAATGGTTCACCTGGTTTATGGGCTAGATAGAAGCTACTCGGACATTGAAATTGGAAGACAAAGATCTCTTATCGAATTCACAGAGAACTATAATTAGGGTGTCTAAAGCTAAGTCAGAGCATTGAGCCTGACTTAGATGTGTGACCACTGTTGGTAGCTCTAAACGGCTGTTGTCTTCTTCTCGGTAGGCTCGTGACCCTTTCGGGGAGCTTGAACCCATGCCATCATAGATCACGTGATACCTCTAGGGGTTTCTGCAGGAACCACGGGAACCTTTCCATCAGCCTGGAAGCCCGTTGACGTGTGCCTCATCTGCGAAGCTTCCTGATCACTCCGAATCTCTAACTGCTGTCCATTTTTCCTTGTATCTTTTCCCTCCATCATCTTCTTCCCGGTAGACATTGCTGTTGCTGGTCTTACGTATAGATTCGAGCCCCTCATCATCCCCGTGGGCCGATTTGACTATTCCAAAGCTCCGTTGAAGCTGTCGCCTCATCCCTCCAGCGACAGCATAATCCATTAGACATGGTTGGACTCGCTTCGGCTGCTGGCCTCGTCGGCTTCCTTTCTGAGCCAGACCCTGAGCTGCGGGTTTTCGCTTTAAAGACCTTAGATTCTCAGATCGATTTGCTCTGGACAGAAGTGGTGGATGCTGTTCCGCAAATGTATGTCTTCTCTCCGAGCTTATGACATCTCTCTCATCACACCAAACATTCGATCTTGGACGTGCTTTTATCCAAACCATCAATCAACTTCCTTCCAGGGGATCTGCGCTAATATGTTTGATTTAGAGAGGCTCTCTACGAAGATGAAACCTTCCCAGAACGCGAGCTCGCTGCTCTTGTCGCCGCTAAAGTTTACTACCACCTTCAAGAATATAATGAGAGTATGGTGTTTGCCCTCGGTGCGGGGAAGCTGTTCAAGTTAGACAATGGAGGCGAATTTGAGGAAACAATTATCGGTATGTTTGTATGCTCCTCGAAACATACAGGGAGGACCGTCCGTCTAACGTGATGTAATATCAGCTAAATGCGTTGATACCTTCATCTCCCTCTCCGCCGCCCAACGACCTGCCGCTGGTGACCAGCCGGCTAACCTCAATACTGCCTTCCCCACTTCCAGCGAAGGTGCTACGAGCACCTCTGCTAGTTTGACGTCCCCGATCACTCCGTTTTCGCAGTCCGCCTTGCCATCGAAGTCGCTCCTTTCCCGACAAGAAGTACCAGGTATCGATGCGAGTTACCCGGGTGGCGATGATGCTAGCGTTAACCAGGTTGAGACGCCACTCGTCCTGAAGAGGGGTGTTCAAGGCCAGTTGCAGGCCGTTATCGAACGTCTGTTCGAGCAATGCTTCATCCAAAAGCGATACCGCCAGGTGATCGGAATTGCCATCGAAGCAAAGAGTTTGGACGTGCTTCGGAAGACCATTATTCGGGCAAGTGAAGATGAGAAAATACAGAACGGCGAGTCTCGAAGGAGTGAAGAACTGATGGAATACGTGCTGGATATTTGTATGGGTATTGTACAGGAGCGTGCGTTCCGTAACGAAGTAGGTTCTGTCCCCGCCTTGCAAGAGCTCCGGAACTAATCCGCTTCCAAGATTCTCAAACTCATTCTTGAGCTCTTGAATGAGATCCCTAACCCCGATTATTTCTCGATAGCGAAGTGCGTGGTATACCTCAACGAACACTCTATGGCATCTGTCATTCTCCGCCAATTGGTCGAGAAGGGCGATGCACGTTCCCTCGCTGTGGCATATCAAATTTCATTTGATCTTTACGATAACAGCACGCAAGAATTCCTTCAAAAAGTCCGGCAGGAAATTGCCGAGCTGGTACCAGAAGCGGAGGTTGAAGAAAAGCAAGACACAGCGGAGGGTGACCGGGAGCCGAAGGAGTCTGATCCTCTATTGGAAGACCAGTCCAGCTCGTCACAGCCCAGGTCCATCGGGGCGAACGACGACAAGTCGAAGTTATCCTCTGAATCACGGGCCGCGTTTAAGAACATTCTTGAAATCCTTGACGGCATTAAGAGTATACAACTAAACTTGGAGTTTCTGTACCGAAGCAACAAGGCTGATATCGCTATCCTTAACAAAGTTCGGGATAGCTTGGAAGCTCGGAATTCTATCTTCCACACCGCTGTCACACTCTCCAATGCTTTCATGCATGCGGGCACCACACACGACAAGTTTTTCCGGGACAACCTTGAATGGTTAGGAAAAGCTGTCAACTGGTCCAAGTTCACAGCTACGGCTGCTCTTGGTGTCATTCATCGTGGTAACTTGAGCCAGGGCCAGAAGCTCCTACAGCCGTACCTCCCAAGGGAACATATTGCCGGTGTTGGAGGATCGGGCTCAGTCTACAGCCAAGGAGGCTCGTTGTACGCCTTTGGTTTGATATATGCTAACCATGGCGGTATGGCTGTTGACCTTATCCGCGACCACTTCAAGAAGGCGACTGAGGAGGTTGTTCAGCATGGTGGAGCTTTAGGTCTAGGTGTTGCAGGCATGGCAACTGGTGATGAGGGTATCTACGAAGATTTGCGAACCGTCCTGTATTCTGATTCAGCCATCAACGGTGAAGCTGTTGGTTTGGCCATGGGTTTGGTCATGCTGGGAACAGGTAACATGAGAGCTCTGGAAGATATGATTCAGTATGCCCATGAGACACAACACGAGAAGATCGTTCGCGGTCTGGCAATGGGTATGGCTCTGATCATGTACTCCCGCCAAGAGGCTGCTGATGAACTGATCAATGGCCTTTTGGGCGATCCTGATCCCACTCTCCGCTACGGTGGTATCATGACCATTGCTCTCGCCTATTGTGGCAGCAGTAGCAACAAGGCTGTCCGTAAGCTCCTCCATGTTGCCGTTAGCGACGTCAACGACGATGTGCGACGTATTGCAGTCCTGAGCTTGGGCTTTATCCTGTTCAGAAAGTACCAAAGCGTGCCTCGTATGGTTGAGCTCCTTTCGGAGTCCTACAATCCTCACGTCCGCTATGGTGCCGCAATGGCACTCGGTATCTCATGTGCTGGAACGGGCTTGGATGAGGCCATCGACCTGCTCGAGCCGATGCTCAAGGACTCCACGGACTTTGTGAGACAAGGAGCTCTGATCTCTCTGGCCATGGTGCTGGTCCAGCAGAACGAGGCCATGAACCCGCGAGTCAGCACCCTTCGCAAGGCCATGATGAAGATGATTGGAGATAGACATGAAGATGCCATGGCTAAGTTTGGTTGCGCCGTCGCTCTGGGTATTATAGATGCTGGCGGCAGGAATTGTACTATCAGCCTGCAGACGCAGACTGGCAACCTCAACATGCCTGGAATCGTCGGTGCTGCTGTATTTACTCAATACTGGTACTGGTTCCCTCTTACCCATTTCCTGTCGCTCAGCTTCGCCCCCACTTCCGTGATCGGCGTGGACCAGAAGCTTGAGGTACCTTTCTTCAAGTTCCACAGTAATACTCGGCCGAGCCTGTTTGACTATCCCCCCGAGCAACAGGTCAAAACTGAGGAAGCGCCCGAGAAAGTCAAAACTGCCGTGTTGTCCACCACCGCCCAGGCTAAGCGTCGTGCACAGCGTCGTGAGAAGCTGCAACGAAGAGAAAGTATGGATATCGATCAGACACCTACCACCCCTAAGGTTTCGGATCAAATGCCGGATAGAATGGAAACGGACGACACTACCACCAAGGCTGAGGACGACACTAAGGAGGGAGAGAAGGAGTCCGGAGAGGGTCAAAGAAAGAAGGCGGAACGGGAACGGGTGGGATATGAGCTCGAGAACATGTCAAGAGTCCTCCCCGCTCAACTGAAGTACCTCACATTCCCTGATCCGCGGTACGAGCCGGTCAAACGGGTACGTATTACCTACATGTAGTCATTGTGTTTAGATTGATCAGATATGCTAACTGTGCTACAATAGCCTACCGGTGGAGTGGTTGTTGTGTTGGATAAGAAACCAGAAGAGCCACGGGAGACGATTGAAATGAAAGCAAGTAAGGAGGTCAGGCAACCTGCGGCGGCGGCAGAGACACTCCAAGACCGACTGCAGGCCGCCATGGGCGCGGCAGCCCTCCAGACCCCTCAACGGGGCTCGAGCCGCTTGGCTGAGGCAGCCGCAGGAGCCGCTGCTGCTGCGGGTGTCTTGACAGCTGTCGATGAGGATGATGAGGATGACGAGGAGGCCCCCGTCCCCGAGGAGTTTGAATATGAAACCGACGGTGACGAGGACTAAGCGGGTGGTCACATCCGCGATCTTAGCACTAGTTGTATTTCTAGATTAATTATGGATCTACGTCTTATTGAAGTGACAGTAGTATTGCTGCCTGACGTCCTTAAATATCTACTTGCGCATGCGTTTCTTATGTGGGGCCGCTGAAATACATGGCATTGCACGGTTACATCGCATTTTATCTTCCGACCGAAGCTATCCACTTATTAGTATCTAGTCTACAGAAGACTTGTAGATGTTTAAATGGTTGAAGCTCGAGAGGTGACTACTTCATGAGAATGTCCGAACAGTAAGTCCCATTAGGCATGGCGAACTGGATGTAGTACATGCAAGTATAACTATCCGATACTAGTATGCACCTCGCATTGCTAAAATGTAAACTGAACAACTTGAGGAAAGCATCTCATCTTTGGTCGACCTTCATTGATGTCGTATGACATATGGGCTCAATTAGTAACTCCAATGCTAGTAGTTCTAACGAGTCCAGAAAGCTTTCAGCCAGACGATATATGATTTTACTTGAAATATATATACAGAGCGAACTGGCACTTTCTGAGAAGATCACATGAACCTCAAACGGTTGCGTTCATCGGACAAATTACTACTCAACTATCACTGTCGTCGCTATTGTCCGATTCGTCCTGGCAATCCAAGCTTCTCTCTGTCGCGCTAATAGCGACCACCACAGCGACGAGGAACGCTATGGGTATACGCCAGCCCGTGGCGCATGAAACTCAGGGAATCGGCTCAAGAGACACACAGGAAGGGGGGTGTGTGGCAGAGAAGAATCGTGGTTACATCGCTGTAGGAGTGTAGCTTGGCTCTATGACCGTTTTTGCATAGGTTATAGGAAGCCCCATATAAAGCACCGTTCCTATCCTTCCCCGATGATGATTTCTTTCGCGACCTCAGCCCGCAAAGATCTTTAATTTCTGGTCCCAGCCCCCTGTCGCGATCACGCAGCGCATCTGGACATTGGCGGGATTTTCACTACCAGCCCCGTTCTTGTCGTTTCCTTCTCCCTCCGCTGCGCCGTCTCCGCCGGGTACATTCTTGGCCACTCCTGGAGCCCACCGCAGGGAGGTGACGAAGCTTTCGTGGGCGTCGAGTGTCTTCACGCACTTTCCTTGTTGGTTCAAATCCCAGCATCTTAATGTCTTGTCGTCCGATACGGATAGGAGATATTTTCCTGCCGGGTGGAACACCAGCGCCTGAACCCAGCTATCATGGCCCACTAACGTCATGAGACACGTCCCGCGGCTGTCCCATATCTTAATAGTGTTGTCTCGTGACCCGGTCGCCATGAAATCAGCTCCGTTTGTAGAAGAAGGACGTTTCCCCAGTCCGGCCAAGGGCGCAAGAAATTGGTATGACGTAGGCGGGGCAAAAGCGCAGCATTCAATGAAATTCTCGTGACCAAGCATCGTTCGTTTATGTTCTATATTCGATACAGTAGAGATATCCCATAAGCGGGCGGTCATATCTTGTCCCGTGGAGAAAAGAAACCTCCCGTCAAACGAGATGCTAACATCCCGCACCCAGTCGGTATGACCGTTTATTGTCTTCACACAATACCCGGTTGTGACATCCCAGATTCTCATATCGTTGTCTCTGCTTGCGCTCACCAGCAGGTTTCTAGATGGTATAAAACGAACCGCGCTGACGATGTGATCATGGCCTTGCAGCGTCCGGATATTCTTATAATTGTCTGTCGGTTTCCATAGCTTAATAGACAGGTCGGAGCTGCAGGAAGCCAGAAGGACGTTATCCCGCGGCCCGCCGTAATCAACGTCCCGGACTGCTCTTGTATGGCCCTTAAGCGTCCGCTCAAGCTCTCCGAGTTCCCAGTCCCATATCTTTATCGTGCAATCGTCGGAGCCGGAGGCAATGGAGGAAAATGTCGGGTGGAAGGCAACACAATTTACTTTATCTCGGTGCGATTCTAGTGAATAGCGAACCGTACTCGGAAGCCAAGAGGCTGGATCTTGGTTGCGCTTTAAGCGGGAGGCGGGTGTTGAGTTATCGAGTTCGGATTGAAGCGTCGCATTTCTCGATTCAAGATCCATTATCTGTCGTGAAAGGAAGATTAGATGTCACCGCGCCGCTAGTGAGTAATACGGTGGACGGAAGAGAGGATCTGAAGCGCAGACATGCCTTTTTCTGCAAGCGGGCAATGCTTGTCCATTTTTTCTCCAGCATTCCTTCGTACCTTTTCGCTGTAGTTGGATCAAACACATCTTCGCTGAGGTTCACTTCTCTTCTGAGTGCCGCCGCAGTATCTGGTAGGTCGCTCGCCACGAGGTATGCTATCATTGACTTATGCCTATACGCGAATTTAGCTTTCGCCAGTGACCAGTTCGCATGGGGTATACTCACAGCTCCTCGGCTTGCCGATTAGTTAGTAAGGGAGGCATGGCGATGCGGGGTCGTATGAGAGACCCGACGGAAATGCGCTGTCCTGCCAAAAATGTGGCGACCTAACGGAATGTTCGACTTGCAGTACTGAAATAGGGAAATCGACGATAATGACGAGACGACCAAAGGAGTATTCATCAGTTGATAAGGATCGGTGAGGTCTCCAGGCCTTGGCTTGTCAATAGAGTCGTGCCCGGATAAACATATTTCCTATTCTTATCATCCAAAGCTTTCTCTTCGAGGACAACAAACATCAGAGATGTTGGTTAGACTGTCCGTAACCCACAGAACTGCCTGAATGGCGACGCGGCGGCACCCGCTGCCACAGAAACCCTAATTGGCTCGGGCGGGATGAGAATAAATCCGAGTCCGAATCCGGTAGTTTATCTACATACATGATACGACACAAACGAATCTAAACTTGTGAAAGCGTGACCGTGCGGATATATATTGTAGATACGTGGTGAGGACATCTTTCCATGAGTTCATGAGCTCTATAGCTGTGCTTTGGGGCGGTCAAAGTCAGATGCCGTTTCTTGGGGAGAAGCAAGCCGCTGTTACTATGACTATCAGGCTTGTTTACTCCCTGCTAGTTACGGAAGTATCACGGGATTCGATGACGGCGCTACGGCAACAGATCTATGATCCAAGGAACCCCTGGTTTATATATCTTTGTCCATGCCGCGAGACACAAGAACACGCGGGATTCTCTTAACAAGTACTACTTGGTACTGAACCCCGCTAGCTGACTTGATTCGACTGATACTCTGATATCTGACATAACCTTTTGCCCTAGATCTTGTATGTAAATACTATTGTCTAGGGTATATAGAGGCAGTCCTGACCCTAGAGCTCAGGCACGTAAACAGTTATTATATACGGTACAATACACTATTATGTCGCAGTCATTGATGAAGTTGACAATATGAGCCGGGGAAATATCAATTCTTCCACCTTTGCAGTCTGTCAGAGTACAATATGCAGAGTGGAATAGCAGGTCTGATTTCAAGGAGAGTACTCCGTAGTAGTACGGAGTATAGACTATACTCTAGGGAGTAGAGTATATACTGCGACAGAGACGGAGTATAACTATTATCGAAAGACACTATACCCTTTGTAGCAAACCGCCGGGAGCACGGCCACTTAGCAGTGTAGGAGGCACGGAGTATCTCTATCCTAGTATCGGCAACAAATCACGGAGATACGGCACATATTAACAATACTACGATAGACAGGGGCTGGTGGAGTTGGTATTTGCCTGATCCCATGGTTTCACATGTCGAGGTCCCATTTCTGATTAGTTTCCCAACGTTTGTACGGAGTAAATGTAAAGAATCTCCAAGTATCTGGGACAGATTGACGTCACGTGGCTAATCTCTCGGCAGCCTCGGCACTTGCCCGATGTAGACGGCCTGACCATGACGCAGTAAGACACCGATGGGCCAATCAACGAAAGACTAACAGGCCAGCAAATGACCTGCAGAATGTTTACCTCAGCGGCGGGCCTGACCGAGGTGAACAATCGATGACCCTGATTGGACGGGACGCTGGTCTCTCCTACTGATCGGGCATGTGAAAAAGGCCTCCCGCATCTGGGCAGTGCCAGCGAAATGCCTAAAAAAAAAGAAATAGAGTGACCACCTGCTATCTAAACATTTCGCTGGCTACCGAGGGCGCTTGTGCGTTGATCTCTGGACATTTTAGGCTTTTGTCCGAGTGCCTTACCTCCACTGCTTATTTTCCTTTATCCCAACTGGTTCTTGCGACAGTTCCCCGTGACGGAGACCTCCGTGTCATCCATATATCTATCCACCCTCTTCCCTCAGTCTTACCCCGGATTCACTTCTCCATACTACTCTGTGTTTTAGTGCCGAATACTCCGAGCATCGTGTCATCGCTGCACACCTCTTGACCCTAGAGAGCTCATAATCTCTCTCTCATATACTTCTTCTGCTCATATTTTTTGTTTCATTTCTACCACGATCATGTCCAAAACTTTTTCAAAGGAAGACGTCGCATCGCATAACAAACCAGATAACCTCTGGGTTGTTATTGATGAAGATGTGTATGACCTGACTAAATTTCAGGACGAGCACCCTGGTATGTTTGAACAGTTCCGTGGATCGTCACTTGTATGCTAACGTCACTTTGCATAGGTGGGAAAAAGAGTACGTCATGATGCCTACTATTCATCGGTGGGAGTGCCGACACTGACTATGCACCTCTAGTTCTGTCGCGAGTCGGAGGAAAGGATGCTTCGAAGCAGTTCTGGAAGTATCACAACGAAGGAATTCTCAAGAAGTACAAAAGCAAGCTGCAGGTTGGTTCCTTGAACACAAAAACTGCAGATGCACCGGCACCGGAACCAGCAGCAGCCAAGGAAACCCCCAAGCCTCAGCCGGCAGCTCCAGTGGACGTTGTATCGACCAAGCCGTCTGAGCCTCAAGACCCTTATGGTGACTTGATTCCCTTCGCCGATCCCTCATGGTATCAAGGTGTAAGTTTGTCTGTGACACCCCTTCCGGGAGACTACAGGCTAACCAATGATTCTCCAACAGTACTCCTCTCCATACTTTAATCAGACTCATGCAGCCCTCCGCGCAGAAGTTCGCCAATGGGTTGAGTCTGAAATTGAGCCCTACGTGACCGAATGGGATGAGGCCAAGAGTGTTCCCGATCGTATTTACAAGCAGATGGGTGAACGGGGATACCTTGCGGGAATATTGGGTGGCAAATTCCCCGTCAACCACACGAAGAACCGTGTGCAGTCTGTCGCTCCTGAAAACTGGGACTTGTTCCACGAGCTGCTCCTTACCGACGAGCTGTCCCGCGCCGGTAGTGGTGGTTTAGTCTGGAATTTGATCGGTGGCTACGGTATCGGTTGCCCCCCAGTAGTCAAATATGGCAAGAAGCCTCTGGTTGACAGAATCCTCCCCGGTATTTTGAATGGCGATAAGCGTATCTGTCTTGCTATTACCGAGCCAGATGCTGGAAGCGATGTTGCCAACCTTACCTGCGAGGCTAAGCTCACCCCTGATGGCAAGCACTACATTGTCAACGGTGAGAAGAAGTGGATTACCAACGGTGTCTATGCCGATTACTTCACTACCGCTGTTCGTACGGGCGGGCCTGGTATGAATGGTCTTAGTGTCCTTCTCATTGAGAGAGAGCACGGTGGAGTCAGCACGAGACGCATGGACTGCCAGGGTGTCTGGAGCAGCGGCACGACTTATGTCACCTTCGAGGATGTGAAGGTGCCGGTGGAGAACCTCATTGGAAAGGAAAACCAGGGTTTCAAGGGTAAGCCCTCTAGCGCTCTTGCTTCTCTTTTCACAGCAACTAACCGATTGTGTAGTCATCATGACCAACTTTAACCACGAGCGCATTGGAATCGTCATCCAGTGCTGTCGGTTCGCTCGTGTGTGCTACGAGGAAGCGGTGAAATATGCCCACAAGCGTAAGACGTTCGGCAAGAGACTCATCGACCACCCTGTCATCCGTATGAAGCTCGCACACATGGCCCGTCAGATTGAAGCGACATACAACTGGCTGGAAAACATCATCTACCAATGCCAGTCCATGGATGAGACTGAAGCAATGCTCAAGCTGGGCGGTGCAATTGCAAGTCTCAAGGCTCAGTCAACGACCACCTTCGAGTTCTGCGCTCGCGAGGCCAGTCAGATCTTTGGTGGTCTGAGCTACAGCCGCGGCGGCCAGGGTGGTAAGGTGGAGCGGCTATACCGTGATGTTCGTGCCTACGCTATCCCTGGTGGAAGTGAGGAGATCATGCTGGACCTGAGTATGCGCCAGAGTCTCCGTGTGCACAAGATGTTTGGCATGAAGTTGTAAATGAGCGCACTCAGTCTTTTTTTTTTTCTCCTATATTTATTCCCCATCTTTGTGCTTAACTTTGTTTGGATATCACTTTGGTTTTGGGTATATAGAGCTTTTCATATCCGGCTCACCTGGCAGTTTAGTGGTCTCCTAGGCTCAATTCACTGTACTATATGTTGCTTGGACCACGTCCTCAAAGAATAAAATAATACCACCTAGAACATAAGCGGCCGCCTAGCTTTGAAATACTTTCGGATCTAGTTCTAGTGTAATCTTGGGAATTTTTGACACGAGAATCGTGCGTTTGTCCTTACTCGATGTAACATTTTCTTAGTTATTAGCGCGAACGCGTATAAAGTCGCGGCATAACTGGCGGAGAGCCCCAATCTTTGTTTTTTTTTAAAAAAAAAAAAAAATGCAAGATGAACTTAAGACGGCATCTGCGTGTTTGATCAACAACCAGAGCAGCTAGGAGTGAAAGGAAATACACGATGGCATCGATTAGTCACCCAGTATGATCCAAAAGGTCAAGTATTGGGATTAGCCTCCTGTGTACAAGGCAGGCCTACGGAACAGGTTTGGCGAGTAAAATACCTTTGAACGTACTGCTGAACCATTACCCATATTGATTTGACATGGGGGAGTCTGGAAATGGTCTTTCCAGCATACAGGCATTTGATTATATGTGTATGGGCTGGTTGTAAGCACAATATATAGATCTCGCTCAATATCAACGCTTGCAATTTGAACGGCCATATCTAAGGGTCACTGTAGGATATTGCCTATGTACCCCGTGGCGAAAGCCTAAAGAGTCTATAAAGATCATATTGAATAAAAAGAAATAGCCATGGAGATAGTGAATCAGAGACTGTAGTAGCTACTACTACTAGTACTATAGTAGCAATGAGATCTAGAGCGAATGACGCTCATTGGCTCAATGGGAGCACTAGGAAAGAACTCCGCCGCCGCAGTTGAGCCAATTGCGCAACCCATGGATTTGTCTTCAACAAGCCTCCGACGAGTCTTATAAAGACCACTGATCTTGCGCCACCTCCCACTTCCTTTGCTACGGCTTGCTACCCTGGTGGGCTTCATCTTATTGTCGTCTGGTGTGGGCAGTTTCATCGGTTTTTTCTCGCCCTCTCACTTCCGATTGACTTACGTG